CCCATAACCTAATACGGGTTTTACCTTCAGGAAGCCCAAACACCCCAAATATTTTTTTTTATTTTTCTTTTTTTTTGGTCTAATTAACTCCAAAAGGTTGGAAAAGAGTTCCTACAAAGGTTTTGGACAGTGATTTTTACCCTAAGGCCAAAAACCTTACACCTTTCCCTAGCCCAAACACTTAATACGCCAAAAACCTTAAACCTTACCCTAGCCCCATAACCTAATACCCGGGTATTACCTTCAGGAAGCCCGAACACCCCAAATATTTTTTTTTCATTTTACATATTTATTTGGTGTAACCAACTCCAAAAGTTCTGAAACATGTTTCTAAAAAGGTTTTGGACAGTGATTTTAACCCTGTGGCAAAAACTTAAACCTTTCCAAAGCCCCTTAACCTAATACGGGTTTTACCTTCAGGAAGCCCGAACACCCCAAATATTTTTTTTTATTTTTCCTTTTTTTTTGGTCTAACTAACTCCAAAAGGTTGGAAAAGAGTTCCTACAAAGGTTTTGGACAGTGATTTTTAACCCTAATGCCAAATGCTAACCCTAATGCCAAAAACCTTAAACCTTTCCAAAGCCCCATAACCTAATAGGAAGCCAGAAATATATTTTTTTTCTTTTTACATTTTTTTTTAGTGTAACCAACTCCAAAAGGTCTGAAACGTGTTCCTAAAAAGGTTTTGAAAAGTGATTTTAACCCTAACGCCAAAAACCTTAAACCTTTCCAAAGCCCCAAAACCAACTAGGGCCCCGTTGGGGCACTGGCGGGCCCGAGCCGCGTTGCGCCGCCCCCAGTGCGACCGCCTCCCCCTCCCGATCGCGTCACACTCAAGGTCCAAAGATGGTGTGCGCACTTGTCTGTGGTCATTTCCCATTATAATGAATGGGAGGCGCAGTTTCTACCAAAACACTCGCTGCAGACAAACTACATGTCCTATTTGAAAAAAGTCTGGACCATGAGTGAGGGCACAAACACAGCTAGGATATATCCAAACGGCAAGTTGCTCCTCGTTACGGTGTTGCCGGGAGAGCGATGCGATTGAGCCATTGAGTGATGGGCAGGAAAAACTTGACTTTTTCTCCTGCCATGGGGGATGGGGGATGGGGGATGGGGGATGGGGGGGGGGGGTGGATTCTTTTAAGAATGTGGATATTTGGGTCATCTTTGGCGCCCCCAGAACGTAAACCGTGGGGTGCAGCGTCATGATTTTTAAAACTTTGAATGGCCATGGGGTGTAGATTGGCCTGAGCAAATTTGGTGTCAGTGGGACGAAAGCCTTAGGAGAAGTTAGCCACATTCCAATGTGTGCTAATCGGCAAAAAATGCAAAATAGCCCTTTAACCGTACATTTTACAGATACGCGCGCATTGACTTTTTCGTAGATCTTATTGAGATACATGTGTGTGTCAAATTTTGTGTCAATATGACAAAGCATACAGGTATGACAGTCAACAATGTGTATTTTCACCTTATGGGACAAGAAAAAATGGACTTTTTTCTCCTGCCATGGGGGGCGCTCTTTTGGGGAGTAAAAATTCCTTCACAAATGTGTTGATGGCTGGACATTGCATCATCCTAGAAAACTTGGAGGCCAGAGAGGACAAAAATAAAAAGTTATGACTTTTAAATATGTGGATTTTAGGGTTATCTTTGGCGCCCCCTAGAACCTAAACCGTAGGGTGCAGCGTCATGATTTGAATAACTTTTAATGGCCATGGGGTGTAGATTGGCCTGAGCAAATGTGGTGCCGGTGGAACGAAAGCCTTCGGAGGAGTTAGCGAAATTCCAATGTGTGCGGATCGGCAAAAAACGCGCAATAACCCTTTAACCGTACATTTGACAGATACGCCAGCACTGACTTTTTTGTAGATCTTATTGAGATACATGTGTGTGTCAATTTTTGTGTAATTTTGACAAAGCGTACAGGCGTGACAGTCAATAGTGTGAATTTTCACCTTATGGGACAAGAAAAAATGGACTTTTTTCTCCTGCCATGGGGGGGCGCTCTTTTGGGGAGTAAAAATTCCTTCACAAATGTGTTGATGGCTGGACATTGCATCATCCTAGAAAACTTGGAGGCCAGTGAGGGCAAAAATAAAAAGTTATAAGACTTTGAAATATGTGGATTTTAGGGTTATCTTTGGCGCCCCCTAGAACCTAAACCGTGGGGTGCAGCGTCATGATTTGAATAACTTTTAATGGCCATGGGGTGTAGATTGGCCTGAGCAAATGTGGTGCCGGTGGAACGAAAGCCTTCGGAGGAGTTAGCGAAATTCCAATGTGTGCGGATCGGCAAAAAATGCGCAATAACCCTTTAACCGTACATTTGACAGATACGCCCGCACTGACTTTTTTGTAGATCTTATTGAGATACATGTGTGTGTCAATTTTTGTGTCATTTTGACAAAGCGTACAGGCGTCAGGTGAATTTTTCACCTTAGGGGGCACTATGGAGCCATTTTGCATTGTATTGTTTGGGCAAGTTCAGAATATCAAATTTTTCACCAGGCCCGGTCGTCCTGCCAAATTTCATGAGTTTTCGCCAGTGGGAAGTGGGCCATTTTCCAGTTCAAAGGGGAGGAAAAAGAAAAAAGAAACAAAGAAAAACCACTTGGGGAATAATAGGGCTCTCGCAGCTGCTTAGCAGCTACGCTCGGGCCCTAAATACCCTGGTATTACCTTCAGGAAGCCCGAACACCCCAAATATTTTTATTTTATTTTTCATTTTTATTTGGTCTAACTAACTCCAAAAGGTTGGAAAAGAGTTCCTAAAAAGGTTTTGGACAGTGATTTTAACCCTCACGCCAAAAACCTTCAACCTTTCCAAAGCCCAATATCCTAATACCCGGGTATTACCGTAAGGAAGCCCGAAAACCCCAAATATTTTTTTTTCATTTTTCTTTTTTTTTGGTCTAACCAACTCCAAAAGGTTTGAAAAGAGTTCCTACAAAGGTTTTGTCAGTGATTTAACCCTCTCGCCAAAAACCTTAAACCTTACCTTAGCCCCATAACCTAATACTCAGGAATTATCTTCAGGAAGCCCGAACACCCCAAAAATTTTTGTTCATTTTTCATTTCTTTTTGGTGTGACTAACTCCAAAAGCTTGGAAAAGAGTTCCTACAAAGGTTTTGGACAGTGATTATATCCCTAACGCCAAAAACCTTAAACCTTTCCCTTGCCCCATAACCTAATACCCGGGTATTACCTTCAGGAAGCCTGACACCCCAAATATTTTTTTTTCATTTTACATTTTTTTTGGTGTAACCAACTCCAAAAGGTCTGAAACGTGTTCCTAAAAAGGTGTTGGACAGTGATTTTAACGCTAATGCCAAAAACCTTAACCTTACCATAGCCCCAAAAACCTAATACCTGGGTATTTCCTTCAGGAAGTCTGAAAACCCCAAATATTTTTTTTTTCTTTTTCTTTTTTTTTGGTCTAACTAACTCCAAAAGGTTGGAAAAGAGTTCCTACAAAGGTTTTGGACAGTGATTTTAACCCTCACTTAATTTTAACCATAGCCCCATAACCTAATTACCTTCAGGAAGCCCGAACACCCCAAATACTTTTTTTTCATTTTACATTTTTATTTGGTGTAACCAACTCCAAAAGTTCTGAAACATGTTTCTAAAAAGGTTTTGGACAGTGATTTTAACCCTGACGGCAAAAACTTAAACCTTTCCAAAGCCCCATAACCTAATACGGGTTTTACCTTCAGGAAGCCCGAACACCCCAAATATTTTTTTTTATTTTTCCTTTTTTTTTGGTCTAACTAACTCCAAAAGGTTGGAAAAGAGTTCCTACAAAGGTTTTGGACAGTGATTTTTAACCCTAACCCTTTTGTTTTTCTTCCCCCCTCCCCTCTTTTTTCTTAGGAAGGACTGACTCCTGAGGTTCTCATGCCAGGAAAAATGTACCTCCCTCACTCACGGTTTTAACCACAATCCTTTGCTACAACAGGGAGATTGATTCCCAAGGCTCTCGTGCCAGAAAGGAAGTACCTCACTCACTCACGGTTTTACCCACAATCCTTTGCTGTAACAGGAAGATTGATTCCTTAGGCTCTCATCCCTCAGAACTAAAATACCCACAATCCCTTGCGAGTGTATACAAATTTAATGTAGCAAAACTCAATTTAAAACAATAAACTACATTAAAATTAACTTGAAAGTTTAAAATACAACCAAGAGACATCCATTCTGGAATACAAACATCGAGAAGAGAACACAACCATGTCTGAGAGGAACAGCACAAACCATGACTCGAGCCCAACTCCTTCTTTTGTCAAAAGCACATTTAAGTGCTGTGCACTAAAGAGCAATGCTTGTTCCTGTAATTGAGACAAAGCACAGACCACAGGACCAAGAAGACGTACCACTGCCTCGAAGTAGACGCTGCGCTGCCACCTAAAAGAAGACGCCGCACCTCCATCACTCCAAGCTTCCCACCACCTAGCTTCGACCCGCCGACAGCACCGAGTCCCAGCAAACCTGGACCCCGGACTTAAGACACACCGCTGCCGCCACGGCTGGACAGCTGGAACCTTTTCCCCCCTCCAGCAGATTTTAGACTACTGGAAAAGAAACGCCTCACATCAACAACAACTTAGGACCACAAGGGTAAGTGTAAAAATAACCTCTCAAACACCTCAAAATTACTCTAAATAGTTAGTTTTGTTTGTTGAACTTGAGTTTGTGTCGTTTTTGAATTTGAGTTTGTGGTGTTTTTGAACTTGAGTTTGTGTCGTGTTTGAAGTTTGTGGATACTTATGAACTTGAGTTTGTTTGGCTTGATTTTTTGGCAATTGTTGAACTTGAGTCTGTGGTTTTAAGTAAACTTTAGTTGGTGGCAATTGTTGACCTAAAGTTTGTGGCGTTTGTTGAACTTGAGTTTGTGGCGTTTGTTGAACTTGAGTTTGTGAAGTGTTTGAACTTGAGTTTGTGTTTTTTTTAACTTGAGATTGTGGCAATTGTTAAACTTGAGAATCGGGTGTTGGTTGAACTTGAGTTTGTGGTGTTCATTGAATTTGAGTTTGTGGCATATTTGAAATTGAGTTTATTATGTTTTTTGAACTTGAGGTTCTGGTGTTTTTTGAACTTGAGTTTGTGGAAATTGTTGAACTTGGGCTTGTGTCTTGTTTGAACTTGAGTTTGTGGTGTTTGTTGAACTTGAGTTTGTGTTGTTTTTGAACTTCAGTTTGTGTGGTGTTTTTGAACTTGAATTTGTGTCGTGTTTGAACTTGAGTTTGTGGCGTGTTTGAACTTGAGTTTGTGGTGTTTTTTGAACTTGAGGTTGTGGAAATTGTTAAACTTGAGATTTCGGTGTTGGTTGAACTTGAGTTTGTGGTGTTTTTTGAACTTGAGTTTGTGTCGTGTTTGAATTTGAGCTTGTGTGTTTTTTTAACCTTAAGTTTGTGGCAATTTATGAACTTGAGTTTTTTTAACTTGAGTTTGTGGTCTTTGTTCAACTTGAGTTTGTGGTTTTTAGTGAACTCTAGTTGGTGGCATCTTTGAACTTGAGTTTGTTTGTTTTTTTAACTTGAGTTTTTGTCGTGAATGAACTTGAGTTTGAGGTGTTTTTTGCATTGAGGTTGTGGTGTTTTTGAACTTGAGTTTGTGTTGTTTTTGAACTTAAGGTTGTGGAAATGTTAAACTTGAGAATTGGGTATTGGTTGAACTTGAATTTGTGTGTTTTTTGAATTTGAGATTGTGGCGTGTTTGAAAATGAGTTTGTGGCATGTTTGAACTTGAGTTTGTGTTGTTTTTGAACTTGAGGTTGTGGAAATTGTTAAACTTGAGATTTGGGTGTTGGTTGAACTTGAGTTTGTGGTGTTTTTTGAACTTGAGTTTGTGTCGTGTTTGAATTTGAGCTTGTGTGTTTTTTTAACCTTAAGTTTGTGGCAATTTATGAACTTGAGTTTCTTGAACTTGAGTTTGTGGTCTTTGTTCGACTTCAGTTTGTGGTTTTTAGTGAACTCTAGTTGGTGGCATCTTTGAACTTGAGTTTGTGGCATTTGTTGAACTTGAGTTTGTGATGTGTTTGAACTTGAGTTTTTTGGTGTTTTTGAACTTGAGTTTGTGTCGTGTTTGAACTTGAGTTTGTGGCGTGTTTGAACTTGAGTTTCTGCTGTCTTTGAACTTGAGGTTGTGGCAATTGTTAAACTTGAGGTTTGGGTGTTGGTTGATCTTGAGTTTGTGTCTTGTTTGAACTTTTGTTTTTGGATTTTTTGAACTAGAGTTTGTGTGTTTTTTGAACTTAAGTTTGTGGCAACTTATGAACTTGAGTATATTGAAATTAAGTTTGTGGCAAATGTTGCACTTGAGCAAATGTTGCACTTGAGTTTGTGGTTTTTTTTTAACTTGAGTTTTGTGTCGTGTTTGCACACCAGGTGTTTTTGAACTTGAGTTTCTGTGTTTGTTGAACTTGAGGTTGTGGCAATTGTTGAACTTGATTTTTGAGTTTGTAGCGTGTTTGAATTTGAGGTTGTTGCAATTTTTAAACTTGAGATTTGGGTGTTGGTTGAACTTGAGTTTTTGAACTTGAGATTGTGGTGTTTTTGAACTTCAGTAAGTGTGTTTGTTAAACTTTAGTTTATGCTGTGTTTGAACTTGAGTTTTTGGTGTTTTTGAAATTTACTTTGTGTGTTTGAACTTGAGTTTGTGTTGTGTTTGAACTTGAGTTTTTAGTGTTTTTGATCTTGACTTGGTGGTGTTTTTGAACTTGAGTTTTGTGTTTGAACTTGAGTTTGTGGTGTTCGTTGAACTTGAGTTTGTGTCGTGTTTGCACTTGAGTTTTGGTCTTGATTTTGTGTGTATGTTGAACTTGAGTTTGTGGTGTTTTTGAACTTGAGTTGGTGGTGTTATTGAACTTGAGCTTGTGTTTGAACTTGAGTTTGTGGTTTTTGTTGAACTTGAGTTTGTGTTGTTTTTGAACTTCAGTTTGTGTGGTGTTTTTGAACTTGAATTTTTGTCGTGTTTCAACTTGAGTTTGTGGCGTGTTTGAAAATGAGTTTGTGGCATGTTTGAACTTGAGTTTGTGTTGTTTTTGAACTTGAGGTTGTGGCAATTGTTTAACTTGAGATTTGGGTGTTGGTTGAACTTGAGTTTGTGGTGTTTTTTGAACTTGAGTTTGTTTCGTGTTTGAATTTGAGCTTTTGAGCTGTTTTTTGAAGTTGAGGATGTGGAATTTGTTGTACTCAAGGTTGTGGAAATTGTTAAACTTGAGTTTGTGTGTTATTTGAACTCTAGTGTGTGTTGTATCTGAACTTCAGTTTGTGTGATTGTTGAACTTGAGTTTGTGTTGTGTTTGAACTTGAGTTTGTGGTCTTCTTGAAATTGAGTTTGTGGTGTTTTTAAACTTGAGTTTGTGTGTTTGTTAAACTTGAGGGTGTGGCAATTGTTAAACTTGAGATCTGGGTGTTGGTTGAACTTAAGTTTTTGTTGTGTTTGAACTTGAGTTTGTGGTGTTTTTTAACTTGAGTTTGTGGTGTTTTTGAACTTGAATTTGTTGTGTTTGAACTTGAGTTTGTGGTGTTTGTTGAATTTGAGTTTGTGTCGTATTACAACTTGATTTTGTGGTGTTTTTGAACTTGAGTTTGTGGTTTTTGTTTGAACTTGATTTTGTGTGTTTGTTAAACTTGAGTTTGTGTGTTTTTTTAACTTGAGTTGGTGGTGTTTTTGAACTTGAGTTTCGTGTTTGAACCAGAGTTTGTGGTTTTTGTTAAGTTTGAGTTTGTGTCATGTTTTAACTTGAGTTTGTGGTCTTCTTGAAATTGAGTTTGTGTTATTTTTGAAGTTGAGGATTTGGAATTTGTTGTACTCAAGGTTGTGGAAATTGTTAAACTTGAGTTTGTGTGTTATTTGAACTCTAGTGTGTGTCGTATTTGAACTTCAGTTTGTGTGATTGTTGAACTTGAGTTTGTGTTGTGTTTGAACTTGAGTTTGTGGTGTTTGTTGAACTTGAGTTTGTGTCGTGTTTGCACTTGAGTTTTGGTCTTGATTTTGTGTGTATGTTGAACTTGAGTTTGTGGTGTTTTTGAACTTGAGTTGGTGGTGTTATTGAACTTGAGCTTGTGTTTGAACTTGAGTTTGTGGTTTTTGTTGAACTTGAGTTTGTGTTGTTTTTGAACTTCAGTTTGTGTGGTGTTTTTGAACTTGAATTTTTGTCGTGTTTCAACTTGAGTTTGTGGCGTGTTTGAAAATGAGTTTGTGGCATGTTTGAACTTGAGTTTGTGTTGTTTTTGAACTTGAGGTTGTGGCAATTGTTAAACTTGAGATTTGGGTGTTGGTTGAACTTGAGTTTGTGGTGTTTTTTGAACTTGAGTTTGTTTCGTGTTTGAATTTGAGCTTGTGTGTTTTTTTGTCTAAAGTTTGTGGCACTTTATGAACTTGAGTTTGTTGAACTTGAGTTTGTGGTCTTTGTTCAACTTGAGTTTGTGATTTTTAGTGAACTCTAGTTGGTGGCATCTTTGAACTTGAGTTTGTGGCATTTGTTGAACTTGAGTTTGTGATGTGTTTGAACTTGAGTTTGTGGTGTTTTTGAACTTGAGTTTGTGTCCTGTTTGAAAATGAGTTTGTGGCGTGTTTGAACTTGAGTTTCTGCTGTCTTTGAACTTGAGGTTGTGGCAATTGTTAAACTTGAGGTTTGGGTGTTGGTTGATCTTGAGTTTTTGTCTTGTTTGAACTTTTGTTTTTGGATTTTTTGAACTAGAGTTTGTGTGTTTTTTTAACTTAAGTTTTTGGCAACTTATGAACTTGAGTATATTGAACTTGAGTTTGTGGCATTTGTTGAACTTGAGTTTGTGATGTGTTTGCACTCCAGGTTGTGGTGTTTTTGAACTTGAGGTTGTGGCAATTGTTGAACTTGAGTCTGTGGTTTTTAGTGAACTTAAGTTGGTGGCAATTCTTTAACTTGATTTTTGAGTTTGTAGCGTGTTTGAATTTGAGGTTGTTGCAATTTTTAAATTTGAGATTTGGGTGTTGGTTGAACTTAAAATTTTCACATTTATTGAACTGGAGTTTGTGGTTTTTTGTTGAACTTGAGCTTGTGTTTTTTGAACTTGAGTATGTGTGTTTGTTGAACTTGAGTTTGTGGTGTTTTTTGAACTTGAGGTTGTGGTTTTTTTTAACCTGAGTTTGTGTTTTTCTTGAACTTGAGTTTTTGGCATGTTTGAATTTGAGGTTCTTGCAATTCTTAAACTTGAGATTTGGGTGTTGGTTGAACTTGAAACTGTGACATTTGTTGAACTTGAGTTTGTGGTGTTTGCTGAACCTGAGTTTGTATCGTGTTTGAAACTGAGTTTGTGGTGTTTTTGAACTTGAGGTTGTGTGTTTTTTGAACTTGAGTTTGTGGTGTTTTTGAACTTCAGTTTGTGGCCCTTTTTTAACTTGAGTTTGTTGAACTTTAGTTTTTGGCAATTGTTAAATGTGAGTTTAGGTCATTTGTTGAACTTGAAATTTTGGAATTTGTTGAACTTAAGATTGTGGTGTTTGTTGAACTTGAGTTTTTGGCAATTGTTGAACTTGAGTCTGTATTTTTCTCTAAACTTTAGTTGGTGGCAATTGTTGAAGTTGAGTTTGTGGTGTTTTTGCACCTGAGTTTGTGTCGTGTCTGAACTTGAGTTTGTGTTGTATTTGAACTTGAGGTTGTGGCAATTGTTAAACTTGAGATTTGGGTGTTGGTTGAACTTGAAATTGTGGTATTTGGCAAATTTGAGTTTGTCGCGTGTTTGAACTTGAGTTTGTGGTGTTTTTGAACTTGAAGTTGTTGAAATTGTAAAATTTGAGATTTGGATTTGGTTGAACTTGAGTTAGTGTTGCATTTTGAACTTGAGTTTGTGGTGTTTTTGAGCTTGAGCTTGTGTGTTTTTTGAACTGAAGTTTGTGGCAATTGTTAAACTTGCGACTTGGGTGTTGGTTGAACTTGAGTTTGTGGTGTTTTTGAACTTGACTTTGTGTGTTTGTTGAACTTGAGTTTGTGGCGTGTTTGAACTTGAGTTTGCGGTGTTTTTGAACTTGATTTTGTATGTTTGTTGAACTTGAGTTTGTGGCGTGTTTGAACTTGAGTTTGTGGTGTTTTTGAAATTAAGGTTTTGGCAAATGTTAAACTTGAGATTTGGGTGTTGGTTGAACTTGAGTTTTTGTTGTTTTTGAACTTGAGATTGTGGTGTTTTTGAACTTCAGTAAGTGTGTTTGTTTAACTTTAGTTTATGCTGTGTTTGAACTTGAGTTTTTGGTGTTTTTGAAATTGACTGTGTGTTTGAACTTGAGTTTGTGTTGTGTTTGAACTTGGGCTTGTGTCTTGTTTGAACTTGAGTTTGTGGTGTTTGTTGAACTTGAGTTTGTGTCGTGTTTGCACTTGAGTTTTTGGTGTTTTTGATCTTGACTTGGTGGTGTATTTGAACTTGAGTTTTGTGTTTGAACTTGAGTTTGTGGTGTTTGTTGAACTTGAGTTTGTGGCGTGTTTGCACTTGAGTTTTTGGTGTTTTTGATCTTGATTTTGTGTGTATGTTGAACTTGAGTTTGTGGTGTTTTTGAACTTGAGTTGGTGGTGTTAATGAACTTAAGCTTGTGTTTGAACTTGAGTTTGTGGTTTTTGTTGAACTTGAGTTTGTGTCATGTTTGAACTTGATTTTGTGTTGTTTTTAACTTGAGTTTGTGGTTTTTTTTAAGTTGAGGGTGTGGAATTTGTTGAATTTGAGGTTGTGGCAATTGTTAAACTTGAGTTTGTGTTTTAGTTGAACTTGAGTTTGTGTCGTGTTTGCACTTGAGTTAGTGGTGTTTTTTATGAACTTGAGTTTGTGTGTTTGTTAAACTTGAGGGTGTGGCAATTGTTAAACTTGAGATCTGGGTGTTGGTTGAACTTAAGTTTTTTTGTGTTTGAACTTGAGTTTGTGGTGTTTGTTGAATTTGAGTTTGTGTGTGTTTGAACTTGATTTTGAGGTGTTTTTGAACCTGAGTTTGTGGTTTTTGTTTGAACTTGATTTTGTGTGTTTGTTAAACTTGAGTTTGTGTGTTTTTTGAACTTGAGTTGGTGGTGTTTTTGAACTTGAGTTTCGTGTTTGAACCAGAGTTTGTGGTTTTTGTTAAACTTGAGTTTGTGTCATGTTTTAACTTGAGTTTGTGGTCTTCTTGAAATTGAGTTTGTGTGTTTTTTGAAGTTAAGGATGTGGAATTTGTTGTACTCAAGGTTGTGGAAATTGTTAAACTTGAGTTTGTGTGTTATTTGAACTCTAGTGTGTGTTGTATTTGAACTTCAGTTTGTGTGATTGTTGAACTTGAGTTTGTGTTGTTTTTGAACTTGAGTTTGTGGTCTTCTTGAAATTGAGTTTGTGGTGTTTTTAAACTTGAGTTTGTGTGTTTGTTAAACTTGAGGGTGTGGCAATTGTTAAACTTGAGATCTGGGTGTTGGTTGAACTTAAGTTTTTGTTGTGTTTGAACTTGAGTTTGTGGTGTTTTTTAACTTGAGTTTGTGGTGTTTTTGAACTTGAATTTGTTGTGTTTGAACTTGAGTTTGTGGTGTTTGTTGAATTTGAGTTTGTGTCGTATTACAACTTGATTTTGTGGTGTTTTTGAACTTGAGTTTGTGGTTTTTGTTTGAACTTGATTTTGTGTGTTTGTTAAACTTGAGTTTGTGTGTTTTTTTAACTTGAGTTGGTGGTGTTTTTGAACTTGAGTTTCGTGTTTGAACCAGAGTTTGTGGTTTTTGTTAAATTTGAGTTTGTGTCATGTTTTAACTTGAGTTTGTGGTCTTCTTGAAATTGAGTTTGTGTTATTTTTGAAGTTGAGGATTTGGAATTTGTTGTACTCAAGGTTGTGGAAATTGTTAAACTTGACTTTGTGTGGTATTTGAACTCTAGTGTGTGTTGTATTTGAACTTCAGTTTGTGTGATTGTTGAACTTGAGTTTGTGTTGTGTTTGAACTTGAGTTTGTGGTGTTTGTTGAACTTGAGTTTGTGTTGTGTTTGCAATTGAGTTTGTGGTGTTTTTGAACTTGAGTTTGTGGTGTTTTTAAACTTGAGTTTGTGTGTTTGTCAAACTTGAATTTGTTATGTTTGAACTTGAGTTTGTGGTGTTTGTTGAACTTGAGTTCGTGTCGTGTTTGCACTTGAGTTTGTGGTGTTTTTGAACTTGATTTTGTATGTTTGTTGAACTTGAGTTTGTGGCGTGTTTGAACTTGAGTTTGTGGTGTTTTTGAAATTAAGGTTTTGGCAAATGTTAAACTTGAGATTTGGGTGTTGGTTGAACTTGAGTTTTTGTTGTTTTTGAACTTGAGATTGTGGTGTTTTTGAACTTCAGTAAGTGTGTTTGTTTAACTTTAGTTTATGCTGTGTTTGAACTTGAGTTTTTGGTGTTTTTGAAATTGACTGTGTGTTTGAACTTGAGTTTGTGTTGTGTTTGAACTTGGGCTTGTGTCTTGTTTGAACTTGAGTTTGTGGTGTTTGTTGAACTTGAGTTTGTGTCGTGTTTGCACTTGAGTTTTTGGTGTTTTTGATCTTGACTTGGTGGTGTATTTGAACTTGAGTTTTGTGTTTGAACTTGAGTTTGTGGTGTTTGTTGAACTTGAGTTTGTGGCGTGTTTGCACTTGAGTTTTTGGTGTTTTTGATCTTGATTTTGTGTGTATGTTGAACTTGAGTTTGTGGTGTTTTTGAACTTGAGTTGGTGGTGTTAATGAACTTAAGCTTGTGTTTGAACTTGAGTTTGTGGTGTTTGTTGAACTTGAGTTTGTGTCGTGTTTGCACTTGAGTTTTGGTCTTGATTTTGTGTGTATGTTGAACTTGAGTTTGTGGTGTTTTTGAACTTGAGTTGGTGGTGTTATTGAACTTGAGCTTGTGTTTGAACTTGAGTTTGTGGTTTTTGTTGAACTTGAGTTTGTGTTGTTTTTGAACTTCAGTTTGTGTGGTGTTTTTGAACTTGAATTTTTGTCGTGTTTCAACTTGAGTTTGTGGCGTGTTTGAAAATGAGTTTGTGGCATGTTTGAACTTGAGTTTGTGTTGTTTTTGAACTTGAGGTTGTGGCAATTGTTAAACTTGAGATTTGGGTGTTGGTTGAACTTGAGTTTGTGGTGTTTTTTGAACTTGAGTTTGTTTCGTGTTTGAATTTGAGCTTGTGTGTTTTTTTATCTAAAGTTTGTGGCACTTTATGAACTTGAGTTTGTTGAACTTGAGTTTGTGGTCTTTGTTCAACTTGAGTTTGTGATTTTTAGTGAACTCTAGTTGGTGGCATCTTTGAACTTGAGTTTGTGGCATTTGTTGAACTTGAGTTTGTGATGTGTTTGAACTTGAGTTTGTGGTGTTTTTGAACTTGAGTTTGTGTCCTGTTTGAAAATGAGTTTGTGGCGTGTTTGAACTTGAGTTTCTGCTGTCTTTGAACTTGAGGTTGTGGCAATTGTTAAACTTGAGGTTTGGGTGTTGGTTGATCTTGAGTTTTTGTCTTGTTTGAACTTTTGTTTTTGGATTTTTTGAACTAGAGTTTGTGTGTTTTTTTAACTTAAGTTTTTGGCAACTTATGAACTTGAGTATATTGAACTTGAGTTTGTGGCATTTGTTGAACTTGAGTTTGTGATGTGTTTGCACTCCAGGTTGTGGTGTTTTTGAACTTGAGGTTGTGGCAATTGTTGAACTTGAGTCTGTGGTTTTTAGTGAACTTAAGTTGGTGGCAATTCTTTAACTTGATTTTTGAGTTTGTAGCGTGTTTGAATTTGAGGTTGTTGCAATTTTTAAATTTGAGATTTGGGTGTTGGTTGAACTTAAAATTTTCACATTTATTGAACTGGAGTTTGTGGTTTTTTGTTGAACTTGAGCTTGTGTTTTTTGAACTTGAGTATGTGTGTTTGTTGAACTTGAGTTTGTGGTGTTTTTTGAACTTGAGGTTGTGGTTTTTTTTAACCTGAGTTTGTGTTTTTCTTGAACTTGAGTTTTTGGCATGTTTGAATTTGAGGTTCTTGCAATTCTTAAACTTGAGATTTGGGTGTTGGTTGAACTTGAAACTGTGACATTTGTTGAACTTGAGTTTGTGGTGTTTGCTGAACCTGAGTTTGTATCGTGTTTGAAACTGAGTTTGTGGTGTTTTTGAACTTGAGGTTGTGTGTTTTTTGAACTTGAGTTTGTGGTGTTTTTGAACTTCAGTTTGTGGCCCTTTTTTAACTTGAGTTTGTTGAACTTTAGTTTTTGGCAATTGTTAAATGTGAGTTTAGGTCATTTGTTGAACTTGAAATTTTGGAATTTGTTGAACTTAAGATTGTGGTGTTTGTTGAACTTGAGTTTTTGGCAATTGTTGAACTTGAGTCTGTATTTTTCTCTAAACTTTAGTTGGTGGCAATTGTTGAAGTTGAGTTTGTGGTGTTTTTGCACCTGAGTTTGTGTCGTGTCTGAACTTGAGTTTGTGTTGTATTTGAACTTGAGGTTGTGGCAATTGTTAAACTTGAGATTTGGGTGTTGGTTGAACTTGAAATTGTGGTATTTGGCAAATTTGAGTTTGTCGCGTGTTTGAACTTGAGTTTGTGGTGTTTTTGAACTTGAAGTTGTTGAAATTGTAAAATTTGAGATTTGGATTTGGTTGAACTTGAGTTAGTGTTGCATTTTGAACTTGAGTTTGTGGTGTTTTTGAGCTTGAGCTTGTGTGTTTTTTGAACTGAAGTTTGTGGCAATTGTTAAACTTGCGACTTGGGTGTTGGTTGAACTTGAGTTTGTGGTGTTTTTGAACTTGACTTTGTGTGTTTGTTGAACTTGAGTTTGTGGCGTGTTTGAACTTGAGTTTGCGGTGTTTTTGAACTTGACTTTGTGTGTTTGTTGAACTTGAGTTTGTGGCGTGTTTGAACTTGAGTTTGTGGTGTTTTTGAAATTAAGGTTTTGGCAAATGTTAAACTTGAGATTTGGGTGTTGGTTGAACTTGAGTTTTTGTTGTTTTTGAACTTGAGATTGTGGTGTTTTTGAACTTCAGTAAGTGTGTTTGTTTAACTTTAGTTTATGCTGTGTTTGAACTTGAGTTTTTGGTGTTTTTGAAATTGACTTTGTGTTTGAACTTGAGTTTGTGTTGTGTTTGAACTTGGGCTTGTGTCTTGTTTGAACTTGAGTTTGTGGTGTTTGTTGAACTTGAGTTTGTGTCGTGTTTGCACTTGAGTTTTTGGTGTTTTTGATCTTGACTTGGTGGTGTATTTGAACTTGAGTTTTGTGTTTGAACTTGAGTTTGTGGTGTTTGTTGAACTTGAGTTTGTGGCGTGTTTGCACTTGAGTTTTTGGTGTTTTTGATCTTGATTTTGTGTGTATGTTGAACTTGAGTTTGTGGTGTTTTTGAACTTGAGTTGGTGGTGTTATTGAACTTGAGCTTGTGTTTGAACTTGAGTTTGTGGTTTTTGTTGAACTTGAGTTTGTGTTGTTTTTGAACTTCAGTTTGTGTGGTGTTTTTGAACTTGAATTTTTGTCGTGTTTCAACTTGAGTTTGTGGCGTGTTTGAAAATGAGTTTGTGGCATGTTTGAACTTGAGTTTGTGTTGTTTTTGAACTTGAGGTTGTGGCAATTGTTAAACTTGAGATTTGGGTGTTGGTTGAACTTGAGTTTGTGGTGTTTTTTGAACTTGAGTTTGTTTCGTGTTTGAATTTGAGCTTGTGTGTTTTTTTATCTAAAGTTTGTGGCACTTTATGAACTTGAGTTTGTTGAACTTGAGTTTGTGGTCTTTGTTCAACTTGAGTTTGTGATTTTTAGTGAACTCTAGTTGGTGGCATCTTTGAACTTGAGTTTGTGGCATTTGTTGAACTTGAGTTTGTGATGTGTTTGAACTTGAGTTTGTGGTGTTTTTGAACTTGAGTTTGTGTCCTGTTTGAAAATGAGTTTGTGGCGTGTTTGAACTTGAGTTTCTGCTGTCTTTGAACTTGAGGTTGTGGCAATTGTTAAACTTGAGGTTTGGGTGTTGGTTGATCTTGAGTTTTTGTCTTGTTTGAACTTTTGTTTTTGGATTTTTTGAACTAGAGTTTGTGTGTTTTTTGAACTTAAGTTTTTGGCAACTTATGAACTTGAGTATATTGAAATTAAGTTTGTGGCAAATGTTGAACTTGAGTTTGTGGCATTTGTTGAACTTGAGTTTGTGATGTGTTTGCACTCCAGGTTGTGGTGTTTTTGAACTTGAGGTTCTGGCAATTGTTGAACTTGAGTCTGTGGTTTTTAGTGAACTTAAGTTGGTGGCAATTCTTTAACTTGATTTTTGAGTTTGTAGCGTGTTTGAATTTGAGGTTGTTGCAATTTTTAAATTTGAGATTTGGGTGTTGGTTGAACTTAAAATTTTCACATTTATTGAACTGGAGTTTGTGGTTTTTTGTTGAACTTGAGCTTGTGTTTTTTGAACTTGAGTATGTGGTTTTTGTTGAACTTGAGTTTGTGTCATGTTTGAACTTGATTTTGTGTTGTTTTTAACTTGAGTTTGTGGTTTTTTTTAAGTTGAGGGTGTGGAATTTGTTGAATTTGAGGTTGTGGCAATTGTTAAACTTGATTTTGTGTTTTAGTTGAACTTGAGTTTGTGTCGTGTTTGCACTTGAGTTTGTGGTGTTTTTTATGAACTTGAGTTTGTGTGTTTGTTAAACTTGAGGGTGTGGCAATTGTTAAACTTGAGATCTGGGTGTTGGTTGAACTTAAGTTTTTTTGTGTTTGAACTTGAGTTTGTGGTGTTTGTTGAATTTGAGTTTGTGTGTGTTTGAACTTGATTTTGAGGTGTTTTTGAACCTGAGTTTGTGGTTTTTGTTTGAACTTGATTTTGTGTGTTTGTTAAACTTGAGTTTGTGTGTTTTTTGAACTTGAGTTGGTGGTGTTTTTGAACTTGAGTTTCGTGTTTGAACCAGAGTTTGTGGTTTTTGTTAAACTTGAGTTTGTGTCATGTTTTAACTTGAGTTTGTGGTCTTCTTGAAATTGAGTTTGTGTGTTTTTTGAAGTTAAGGATGTGGAATTTGTTGTACTCAAGGTTGTGGAAATTGTTAAACTTGAGTTTGTGTGTTATTTGAACTCTAGTGTGTGTTGTATTTGAACTTCAGTTTGTGTGATTGTTGAACTTGAGTTTGTGTTGTGTTTGAACTTGAGTTTGTGGTCTTTTGAACTTGAGTTTGTGGTGTTTTTAACTTGAGTTTGTGTGTTTTTGAACTTGAAGTTTGTGGCAATTGTTAAACTTGAGATTGGGTGTTGGTTGAACTTGAGTTTTGTTGTGTTTGAACTTGAGTTTGTGTGTTTGTTGAACTTGAGTTTGTGGTGTTTTTGAACTTGAGTTTGTGGTGTTTTGAACTTGAGTTTGTGGTGTTTGTTGAACTTGAGTTTGTGTGTTGTTTGAACTTGAGTTTGTGGTGTTTTTGAACTTGAGTTTGTGGTTTGTTTGAACTTGAGATTTGTGTGTTGGTTGAACTTGAGTTTTGTTGTTTTTTGAACTTGAGTTGTGGTGTTTTTGAACTTGAGTTTGTGTAGAGTTTGTGTTTGTTAACATTTGAGTTTGTGTCTGTGTTTGAACTTGAGTTTTTGGTGTTTTTGAAACTTGAGTTTGTGTGTTTTTGAACTTAGTTTGTGTGATTTTGAACTTGAGTTTGTGTTGTTTGAACTTGAGTTTGTGGTGTTTGTTGAACTTGAGTTTGTGTGTGTTTGCACTTGAGTTTTGTGGTGTTTTTTGAACTTGGTGTTTGAACTGAGTTTGTTTTTGAACTTGAGTTTGTGTGTTTGTTGAACTTGAGTTTGTGGTGTTTGAACTTGAGTTTGTGGTGTTTTTGACTTGATTGTGTTGTTGAACTTGAGTTTGTGGTGTTTTTGAACTTGAGTTTGTGTTTATGTTTTTTGAACTTGAGTTTGTGGTGTTTTTGAACTTGAGTTTGTGTCGTGTTGACTTGAGTTTTGTGTTTGTTAACTTGAGGTGTATTGTTGAACTTGAGTTTGTGGTGTTTTTGAACTTGAGTTGGTGTTGTTTTGAACTTGAGTTTGTGGTGTTTTTGAACTTGAGTTTGTGAATTGATTTGTTGTTTTGAACTTGAGTTTGTGTTGTTTTTGAACTTGAGTTTGTGTGGTGTTTTTGAACTTGAGTTTGTGTGTGTTTGAACTTGAGTTTGTGGTGTTTGAACTTGAGTTTGTGTGTGTTTGAACTTGAGTTTGTGTGTTTTTGAACTTGAGGTTGTTGAATTGAGTTTTCTTTTGAGAGTTTGGGTGTTGGTTGAACTTGAGTTTGTGGTGTTTTTGAACTTGAGTTTGTTGTTTGTTTGAACTTGAGTTGTGTGTTTTTTTGAAGTTGAGGTGTGAATTTTTATGTGAGAGTTGTTGAACTTGAGTTGTGGTTTGTTGAACTTGAGTTTGTGTGTTTTTGAACTTGAGTTGTGTGTTTTTGAACTTGAGTTTGTGGTGTTTGTTGAACTTGAGTTTGTGTTGTGTTTGAACTTGAGTTTGTGGTGTTTGTTGAACTTGAGTTTGTGTTGTGTTTGAACTTGAGTTTGTGCGTGTTTTTGAACTTGAGTTTCTGTTGTTTTTGAACTTGAGGTTGTGGAAATTGTTAAACTTGAGTTTCAGGTGTTGGTTGAACTTGAGTTTGTTGTTTGTTGAATTTGAGTTTGTGATTTTTGAACTTGAGTTTGTGTGTGTTTTTGAACTTGAGTTTGGTTTTTGAACTTGAGTGTTGTTGAACTTGAGTTTGTGTTTGACTTGAGTTTGTGGTGTTTTTAACTTTTTTTGTTTGAACTTGAGTTTGGGTTTGTTGAACTTGAGTTTGGTTGTGTTTTTTGAATTTGTGTTCATGTTTGAACTTGAGTTGTGGTTTTTTGAGTTTGTGTGTTTGATTTGAGTTTGTTTTTGAACTTGAGGTTGTTGTTTTAATTGAGTTTGGTTTGTTGAACTTGAGTTTGTGTTTGTTGAACTTGAGTTTGTGGTGTTTTTGAACTTGAGTTTGTGTGTTTTTGAACTTGAGTTGAATATTTAAATTGAGAATTGGTGTTGGTTGAACTTGAGTTGTGTTGTTTTGAACTTGAGTTTGTGTTGTTTTTGAACTTGAGTTTGTGTTTTTTGAACTTGGTGTTTTTGAACTTGAGTTGTGGTGTTTTTGAACTTTGTGTGTTTTTGAACTTGAGGTTTGGAATTTTAAACTTGAGATTGGGTTTGGTTGAACTTGAGTTTTGTGTTTTTGAACTTGTAGTATTGTTTCGTGTTTGAACTTGAGTTTGTGGTGTTTGTTGAACTTGAGTTTGTGTGTTTTGAACTTGAGTTTGTGGTGTTTTTGAACTTGAGTTTGTGTGTTGGTTGAACTTGAGTTTGTGTTGTGTTTGAACTTGAGTTCGTGTTGTTTGTTGAACTTGAGTTTTTGTGTTTTTTAAACTTGAGGTTGTGAAAATTTTTAAACTTTGAGTTTGTTGAACTTGAGTTTGTGTTTGGTTGAACTTGAGTTTGTGGTGTTTTTGAACTTGAGTTTTTGTGTTGTGTTTGAACTTGAGTTGTGGTGTTTTTGTTAAACTTGAGTTTGTGGCAATTGTTGAACTTGAGTTTTGGTGTTTGTTGAACTTGAGTTTGTGGTGTTTTTGAACTTGAGTTTGTGTGTTTTTGAACTTGAGTTGTGGTGTTTGTTGAACTTGAGTTTGTGGTGTTTTGAACTTGAGTTTTTGAGTGGTTTTTGAACTTGAATTTGTGTGTTTTTGAACTTGAGTTTGTTGTTTTTGAACTTGGGGTTGTGGAATTGTTAAACTTGAGATTTGGGTGTTGGTTGAACTTGAGTTTGTGTTGTTTTTTGAACTTGAGTTTGTGTGTTGTTTGAACTTGAGTTTGTGTGTGTTTTTGAACTTGAGTTTGTGTCGTTTTAACTTGAGTTTGTGGTGTTTTTGAACTTGAGTTTGTGTGAAATTTTTGAACTTGATTTGTGTGTTGGTTGAACTTGAGTTTTGAACTTGAGTTGTGTGTTTTTGAACTTGAGTTGTGTCGTGTTTGAACTTGAGTTTGTGGTGTTTTTGAACTTGAGTTTGTGTGTTTTTGAACTTGAGGTGTGGAAATTTTTAAACTTGAGATTTGGGTGTTGGTTGAACTTGAGTTTTTGGTGTTTTTGAACTTGAGTTGTGGTGTGAACTTAAGTGTGTCGTGTTTGAACTTTGAGTTGAACTTGAGTTTTGGTGTTTTTGAATTGTTTGTGTTTGAACTTGAGTTTGTGGTGTTTTTGAACTTGAGTTGTTTTGAACAGTTTGTGGTGTTTTTTGAACTTGAGTTTGTGTCTGTTTGAACTTGAGTTTTGGTGTTTGTTTGAACTTGAGTTAGTGGTGTTTTTGAACCTGAGTTTTGTCGTGTTTGAACTTGAGTTTGTGGTGTTTGTTGAACTTGAATTTGTGTGTTTTTTAACTTGAGTTTTTGTGTGTTTTTGAACTTGAGTTTTATGTGTTGTTTGAACTTGAGTTTTTGGTGGTTTTGAACTTGAGTTTGTGTTTTGTTGAACTTGAGTTTTCTGCATTTGTTGAACTTGAGTTTGTGTCCTGTTTGAACTTGAGTTTGTGTTGTGTTTGAACTTGAGTTAGTGGTGTTTTTGAACTTGAGTTTGTTTCGTGTTTGAACTTGAGTTTGTGGCGTTTGTTGAACTTGAGTTTGTGTCGTGTTTGAACATGAGTTTGTGGTGTTTTTGAACTTGATTTGTGGTGTTTTTGAACTTGAGGTTTGGAATATGTTAAATTGAGAATTGGGTGTTGGTTGAACTTGATATGTGTTTGTCGTGTTTGAACTTGAGTTTGTGTTGTTTGGTGAACTTGAGTTTGTGTGTTTTTTGAACTTGAGGTTGTGTCGTGTTTGAACTTGAGTATGTGGTGTTTTTGAACTTGAGTCGGTGTTGTTTTTGAACTTGAGGTTGTGGAAATTTTTAAACTTGAGAATTGGGTATTGGTTGAACTTGAGTTTTTGGTGTTTTTGAATTTGAGTTTGTGTCCTGTTTGAACTTGAGTTTGTGGTGTTTTTGAACTTGAATTTGCGTGTTTGGTAAACTTGAATTCGTGTGTTGTTTGAACTTGAATTTCTGTTGGTTTGAACCTGGGGTTGTGGAATTGTTAAACTTGAGAATCAGGTGTTGGTTGAACTTGAGTTTGTGTGTTTGTAGAACTTGAGTTTGTGTTTGTTGAACTTGAGTTTGTGTTGTGTTTGAACTTGAGTTTTTGTTGTTTTTGAGCTTGAGTTTGTGTCGTGTTTTCTTGCGTGTTGCTCAATGGCTGAAACGCATCGCTCTTCCGGCAACGCCGTAAGGAGGAGCAACTTGCCATTTGGATATATCCTAGCTGTGTTTGTGCCCTCACTCATTGTCCAGAGTTTTTTTTTAAATAGGACATGTAGTTTGTCTGCAGCGAGCGTTTTGGTAGAAACTGCGCCTCCCATTCATTATAATGGGAAATGACCAAAGACAGGTGCGCACACCATCTTTGGACCTTGACTGTGACGTCACAGTTTGAGATACAAATGTTATTTGACCTCTGACCTTTTGTGGAGACCCTAACCTTTTCAACCCGTGAAAACGGCGTTTCAATAGCTCTTACGGCTTTCCTACAAATACACTTTGTTGGGCTGCTCCTACTGTCTTTCAAGCTCTGCTTCACAGATCATCAAAGAGTGTGCACGTTTGTAATGAGCGCATATTGAATGTTAATTATGTTAACTATGTTAATTATTAGAAGAAATAACAACAACAGTCTTTTTGGACAAAATTTCTTTTTATTAAAGAATTAGAATAATGGAAGCATAGTCCAATGAAACCATTCAAGTGATGTCAAACCTCATAATTTATTAAAATGTAGGCAAGTCTGGGCATTTCTTCATTCATCAGGTTTCCTGCATGCATACTAACAGAGCACATCAGTAACAGTGAATGATAAGTATGAGTATGTCATTGTGTAAGAAAAGAAAGTGGTTAACTTACACATCCATAGAAAATAGGTGGTTGAGCACAGCACGCAAACAAAGCTTTGCCACGACGGTGGAACTTCCCAAGTAGCCGATACCAAGATAACACAATCAGGGTAAGCAAAGGTCAAACCAGGCCAGGCACTCATGAGGCTGGCTGTGGCAAGTGTAAGTGAAAGCGACACACACTGGCAGGAAGAACAGCAAACGCGGATGAAGGAAAAGGATCTTTGCAGTGATGGCCGTTACCAGAGGACAGAGGACGCGTCAGAGGACGCGTCAGAGGACGCGAATGGGATGGGGAGGGGAGGCGATTGCGTTGGGGGGGCGCGCGACACAGCTCGGGCCCGACAGTGCCCCAACGGGGCCCTAGTATTATTATTATTATTATTATTATTATTATTATTATTATTATTATTATTATATATTATTGTTGTTATAAATATTATAAATATTTGTTGTTATAAAAAGTTTTCTCAACTTTGCCTTGCTTCATTCTTTAACATGCAGTCATGAAGTAACATAACTAGGTTGCAGTGCTTCAATGTATAAACTTAACTTTACCCTTGTGCACCCCTTAAAATTTAATGACACTTGTTACCCTCGTGTGGGCTAACAAATAACAATAATAATAATAATAATGATAATGATCTTGTTATATGATATAGCATGTTTTTGCAGGTGCGTAAAAACTGACCGTGTGTGTGTGTGTATCTTGCAGTACTCTGAGGAGAATGAGAAGCAGGACACAGACACAGCTATGGAGACATTCTTGTACTTTTATGTAGGACTTTTGCTCAATAGTTGTTTGTGGCGGCTCTGAAAAGAGCCATTGTGGGGGTGCAGCACACTAGATGGAATCCTGCCATGGGACCGCTCCTTCAGCTGAGAAGTGCTCGGTAAAGGTCTGCCTGACTGCGATGGCCTCCCGGGACAAGTTGTTTGACGCGAGACGTCCCAGCCCTGCCTGAGGTTCCTCACCACCCGTGATGGCACCCAACCTCATGGCAGCTTCAGGCTGAGACCTACGCAGGAAGTTATGAAGGACACAGGTGGCCTTCACACACTTCTCTGCAACGTCCGGAGAAACCCCAAGGGCACGTCGGTACATCCTCCACTGAGTGGAAAGAATGCCATAGGCATTTTCAACCACCAGCCGCGCCCTGGACAGCCGGTAGTTGAAAATGCGCTTCTCTCTGGGGAGGATGCACCCTGGATACGGCCTCATGAGGTTCCTCCGGAGAGGGAAGGCCTCATCTGCGACAAACACATAAGGTTGGGGTCCCCTGTGCTCAGCTTCAGGCAGTGATCGATCCGGAGGCAGTTGGAGGGAGCAAGAACAGAGTGCCTGACCAAACGCAGAGTTGGCCAGAATCCACCCGTCACTGGTCCTCCCGAAGCCTCCGACATCGATCACTCGGAAGCAATAATTGGCATCTACAACTGCCAAGAGAACAATAGAAAATGTTCCCTTATAGTTATAAAACTGTGATCCTGAATTGGCAGGAGCCTTCAGAAACACGTGCTTCCCATCCACAGCACCACAACACAAGGGGAAGTTCCACCGCTCCTAAAACCCTGTGCTATGGATATCCACTCATCACAGGTGGGCACAGCCATGAAGTCCTCCACCAAGCACTCCCAGATGCAGGACACAGTGTCTGCCACGATGCCTGACACGGTGGAAACTCCAACTCGAAAACTGTAGGCAATGGTCCTGAAGGAGTCTCCAGTAGCCAGGAACCTAAAGCACATAAAAATAAATTTCATTGCTATTTTTATTCAAAATATGAGGCCATATGAAATACAAACATAACCGAAGACTTGAGTGTCCATAAATCCTCTTTGACACGGACATTTATGCTAGCACCCGGTGTATAGTGTCTAGTATCTGAAGTAGTATCTGAAGTAGCATGCTACTCGCTCTGGTGGCCAATTCGGACATGCTACATACTACTTCGACTACTACTTGGCAATTTGGACGCAGCACCGGTGTGAATGAACCAGGGCGCGACGCAACGCTACGTGAGCGACCTACACGACTAGGTCACTTCAAGTCGCATTTGGTCTGAACCATAGGCTGTATATAGAATGGACAGAGTCTGCCTCCTCGCTGGGTGAAGCCACTCCGAGAACAGCACCCTCTGTTGGTGGGCTGCAGTACAGGTCATAAATCCCATGGACAAGGCAATGGCATTGGACAAACTTCAGAAATTTGTTACACAGAGCATACATTTTTCTCCCCCCTTGTTGTGATGTTGACATGTAGTTACAGTAAGACTAGTTTGTGCTCAAATCCTCTTTTTTCTGTGAAGCTCCATTTTTAAAAGTTATTAGGGGGTTCATGTTTTCTATGACTGACACCTGATACAGCCTATTGGCGTTCAGGGATTGCGTAGCTCTCCCAGGAGGGATACGCTGTTTGAGCCAAGCATCATCACAGTGACTCTCGGCGACTGCGCGGCCGAATGCGCGCATCGCTACTGCGCAGCGCTGGTTTCAGGAAATTAAGAAAAATCCCGGGAATATTGAGAGCTTTTTGGGTTCAAATCCGTATACAGGTGGTAGGTGGAACCAAGTTGTCCATAGTATATACAGTCTATGGTCTGAACGCGGCTTTAGACAATCAGTCATTTTGTGTGTGACAGAAGTGACAGGAAATCAACAATGTGTCTACAGCCCTCTGGGAAAACAGGAGGATGTGAGAGAAGGAGAGGGCAAGCTCAGAGGAAGAGGAGATGGACAAAGAGCGTGAGAAAGAGTGATGTCATTGGTTCTGCTGGGAACGAAGTAGAGGAATCAAGAAAACAGAGAAGATCGGAGGGAAAAATCTCCATGGACAAGGTTAATGGGCTGCTTCAGTTTTTAGTTTTTCAATTTTGAATGAAAAAAAGTTATCAGCTGGTCTCTGCTAAAATCCTGATAAATACCAACTCTCATGTGCCGAGCAGCTCTGCTGACTGGTCACTGATTGGTCTAATCTTATGACATCATGAGAGAGGCATGTGGGTCAGTGAATATTCACACTCATTAGCAGGACGCTCCAGTTTATGGTTTATCTGGAAGTTTCTATTGTCACTCTGAGAGACCATGAATGTGTGTGTTCATGTGAGTGTGAATGATTTCCCTGCTCGCTCTGTGTGTTTGTATTAAAATGAGATCATCCACACAGTGAAGTGAGGTGACAGAGGTGGCTAAATATACATCAGTCATCACAGACAAGAGATAACAGCGTACAGAGACCCTGAATGCAGGGGGAGACTGCAGGCTGCATATTGTGCAGGGAAGTGTGAGACCTCTCTGGCCCCTGAGCACATAGTTTTGAAAGTGCACGCTGCAGATTTTCTGTGCAACACCTTATGGACCCATGCCTTTTAGCCTCCTCTTCTTCTCTTATGGAAACGGGAGAGCAGAGGGAGGCAGAGCATACTAACTTGGCTCTGCAGTGTCTCTTTTTTTTGCTAGTTGCATGTGATGAATGCGAGAAACTAGCATGAGGTGGGATGGTTGTGGGATGCCAGATGCTCTACATTTTGCACATTCAGCATCGACTCAGAAGTTTGACAGCTAACTACGACTGTGGGAAAGAGCAGGCAAAAGAGAAAACCTGGTTTAGTGTTACAACATGCAAATTCTACAGAGAAAAGCCATCACTGGATTCAAACCCCTTGCTCTAAAGCTGCACCACTGTAGAGCCCTTGACTTCAACCAACTTGTATTTACACAGGAAGCTGAGGCAGCCACACCACACCTTTAACTTTGCATATTTTTCCATAACATATTAACTAAGAATAATATTTTGCTCTGTTTTATCTCAGAAATCTAACATTTAGACATGCCTCTGTCAGTTACTTCGCCTGGTGCCCCCCCTAAAATCTGAATTTTTACTCAGAAAGCTGTAACAACTTAAGGTAACCCAAGCTCAAAATCCAAGATGGCTGCAAATCAGCCACACTTTTGATGCAATTATTGGAAACTTATTCTGGTTTTGTGTCAATAGATCAATCACACTGTTAGTATTGTACAAGTCTTACTTGTGGGCACATTGTCATGTTGCAGTCACGCGCAAGCTATCATGTTGTGTATTGTTGTTGCCTGGTATAGTAAATGATGCTCACAACATCAGCTCAGGTGTGATATCATTCCCAGCTCCAGTATATGATTACTGAGGTTAATGGAATACATGAAATTTGATATCTGCGTAATTGTTTCAAATAGAGTAATAAGCCATACAGAAGAATGTTAGTGTTGTACATGTTGTACATCTCTGATGATAAGCATTTTTAAATGGGGGACAGCCTCAAGTGGACACTTGAGGAACTGCAATTTTGGGACCTTTTATTTTCTTGTGAACAGGGTAAAACTGGAGGTTTTAATAAATATTCTCAGCTCCAGACTTTTTCAGTTCTGTTTTTAAAATGACCAAGGCAAAGAGATAATCTTTTACTGGATCTTGATAATGTCTGTAGTTTGTTAGCAGGCCGCAGTTACAGATTTGCATCATAAAAATGCTTTACCAGAGGGAGACCTAAGATCAGTGAGCTGGCCTTATTAAAGGGGGTCATTACACCTAAAACATATTTTCCCTAAATCCCGGGTTACTGAGAGAAGAACAAAAAAACACACCCAAAATTTCCATTTTTGTCCCGAAGATGCTCCAAGGGTTAAAGAGAACTATTTTTTTAATTTTGGTTCAACAATGGACAGAGGTAGACAGGTGTTAACTACTGAAAAATAGTATTCAGACCACTCAGACAGGCAAGATGGTGTCTGTAAAGCTCAGTTTGACAGCTGGTGTGTAATACTAAGTTGTCTTATTTAACTCATCAACACACATCAATTCATAAAGCTTCTATTACAAAAACAGCCCAAATCAATGTGGGATTAACAGCAGGTTTGAAAAATACATGATTGTTATAGGGTGTGCTTTTGTTTACATTTAAATGTGAAAAATTTGAATGTAAACAAACTTCGTGATGACATCATTATGACATCATCACGGCTCTCATCTCGTGTTAGTAATTGGAAGTAGAGCAGCTGTCCAGGGTAGGATCGTTTGAACCTTTCAGCGAGTGGCTACACTTCAAGAAAGAGACAATCGGAATCTTTTAGCAGGAGCCAACACAATAGCTCTACATTGTGGGAACTCATAAATCATACCAATCATTTAGCCATTGTTTCAGGTAATTAGCTGTTTTCTTATTGTGTTTACATCATTTTGTGTGCTCATTGCGGACATGTACTGATGACTCAGATAAGAAAGTTTAAAGGTAACACGGGGGCAATTGATCACTGTGTCACAAGGTATAGAAAAGAGACTCTCAGTAAAGAAAGATTTTAGCTTATGCCTAGAAGTGCCAAGTGTGGGGAAGTATGGTTTTAAACTATTACTGCTGATTAATAGTATTCAGATGCAAAAAAAAAACTAAAAAAACGAACCTTAAAATGGGCAAAAAACCTTTGAAACAAAAAACTCTGGAAAAAAAAACAAAACACCCCAAAGTGGGTGTTTAGCACAAAAAAAAAATAGAAGAGCAATCTTTGTATTTAAATACAAAGAGCATTTTAGAGAAGTGCAAATCAGGATTTAGGAGGAACCCCAGTACTAAGACAGCCCTTTTAAAAATTTTGAATGACATCAGGTGCAATTTAGATAATGGCAACCTCACAGTCTTGGTCCTGCTGGATCTAACTGCCACCGCCTTTGATGCAGTAGACCAGCACATTTTATTAAATAGACTTCAGCACCTGGTCGGCCTCTCAGGCACTGTTTTTAACTGGTTCACCTCTTATCTCACTGATCGCCACTCTGTTTCAGATCTGTTTCAGGATTGATTTATAAGGTTCTTTTATTAGTTTTTAGATGTATTAATGGACTTGGCCCTTCTTATTTATCTGATGTACTTTTACCAAATCAACCCTCGCGGACCCTGAGGTCCTCCAGCACAGGCCTTTTAACCTTTCCCAAAGTCAAAAACAAAAACACACGGGGAGGCGGCGTTCAGTTTTTATGGTCCCCGGTTGTGGAACCATCCAACTTACCATTTTTAAGTAAAATCTTGGAAAAACTTGTTCTTCAACAAGTAAATGATTTAGAAAAAAAAAAAGAAAAAAAACCCTTATGGTTTTTCCCTCCCCCATGGGAGGGTTTTTTTCCCCTCCTCGAGCTACCACCTTACCGTGGTGGAGGGGTTTGTGTGTCCCAATGATCCCAGGAGCTATGTTGTCAGGGGCTTTATGCCTCTGAAGTGTCACCCAAGGCAAACAGGTCGTGGGGGAGGGACCAGACTGAGGCCCGAACTACACAAAGGCAGATATATTTCAAACCGCACATATTTATGTCTGATTAGGCCTCCCTACCACACCAAACCAGGAGTTTGGAGCACTCAAACTGGATAAATCTGAATCCGGAAAAACAAGCGGAGAAATAAAAAAATATCCGTATCCGCAGTGGATTCGTGTGGTCGGACTTTTACGGATCGATGACGTCAAATTGCAGCTCGCGCATTAAAAACAAAAACAACAACAACTATGGCGGACATACAGGGTATTATTTACGTTTGTTTTGCCCTTTTGGGGCTAATTTCAGCCTTGCAAGTGAACCTTATTTTATACAATTACATCCACCAGTCAGCCAGCTCACAGAGGCGTCTGTTGCGCCCAATACTATTTTTGGAGAGCAATCGTAACGTTAACGTTAGGCGTTTTAAAGTTTGCCAGAAGCGTAAGTTTTGGATCAAACCCGGTCGGACCAGCAAGTGGTGGGACAACTTCGTTAGAGGGGCTGTGCCTGCAGATGAATGGAAGCTAAACTTTCGTATGTCCTACGTGTGGACGCAGATATTTTTTTGAACTAACACGTGTGGACAGGTACATTTATTTAGACGGGAGTACAAAAATATCCAGATGAATAAATATCCGCCTTCGTGTAGTTCGGGCCTAAGAGTAGCTCATCCAGACATAGGTGCCAGGCGAGAAAAAAAAACTACAAAAAACAAACCTTAAAATGGGCAAAAAACCTTTAAAACAAAAAACTCTGAAAAAAAAACCAAAAACACCCTAAAGTGGGTGTTTGGCACAAAAAAAAAAAAAATAGAAGAGCAATCTTTGTATTTAAATACGATCGTTTAAATACAAAGAGCATTTTAGAGAAGTGCAAATCAGGATTTAGGAGGAACCCCAGTACTGAGACAGCCCTTTTAAAAATTTTGAATGACATCAGGTGCAATTTAGATAATGGCAACCTCACAGTCTTGGTCCTGCTGGATCTAACCGCCGCCGCCTTTGATGCAGTTGACCATCACATTATTAAATAGACTTCAGCACCTGGTCGGCCTCTCAGACACTGTTTTTAACTGGTTCACCTCTTATCTCACTGATCGCCACTCTGTTTCAGATCTGTTTCAGGATTGATTTATAAGGTTCTTTTATTAGTTTTTAGATGTATTAACGGACTTGGCCCTTCTTATTTATCTGATGTACTTTTACCAAATCAACCCTCGCGGACCCTGAGGTCCTCCGGCACAGGCCTTTTAACCTTACCCAAAGTCAAAAACAAAAACACACGGGGAGGCGGCGTTCAGTTTTTATGGTTCCCGGTTGTGGAACCATCCAACTTACCATTTTTAAGTAAAATCTTGGAAAAACTTGTTCTTCAACAAGTAAATGATTTTTTTTTAAAAAAGAAAAAAAAACCCTTATGGTTTTTCCTTCCCCCATGGGAGAGTTTTTTTCCCCTCCTCGAGCTACCACCTTACCGTGGTGGAGGGGTTTGTGTGTCCCAATGATCCCAGGAGGTATGTTGTCAGGGGCTTTATGCCTCTGAAGTGTCAACCAAGGCAAACAGGTTGTGGGGGAGGGACCAGACTAAGAGTAGCTCATCCAGACATTTGTGCCAGGCGAGAAAAAAAAAACTAAAAAAAACAAACCTTAAAATGGGCAAAAAACCTTTAAAACAAAAAACTTTCGTATGTCCTACGTGTGGACGCAGATATTTTTTTGAACAAACACGTGTGGACAGGTACATTTATTTAGACGGGAGTACAAATAAATATCCGCCTTCGTGTAGTTCGGGCCTAAGAGTAGCTCATCCAGACATAGGTGCCAGGCGAGAAAAAAAAACTACAAAAAACAAACCTTAAAATGGGCAAAAAACCTTTAAAACAAAAAACTCTGAAAAAAAAACCAAAAACACCCTAAAGTGGATGTTTGGCACAAAAAAAAAAAAAAAAATAGAAGAGCAATCTTTGTATTTAAATACGATCGTTTAAATACAAAGAGCATTTTAGAGAAGTGCAAATCAGGATTTAGGAGGAACCCCAGTACTGAGACAGCCCTTTTAAAAATTTTGAATGACATCAGGTGCAATTTAGATAATGGCAACCTCACAGTCTTGGTCCTGCTGGATCTAACCGCCGCCGCCTTTGATGCAGTTGACCATCACATTATTAAATAGACTTCAGCACCTGGTCGGCCTCTCAGGCACTGTTTTTAACTGGTTCACCTCTTATCTCACTGATCGCCACTCCGTTTCAGATCTGTTTCAGGATTGATTTATAAGGTTCTTTTATTAGTTTTTAGATGTATTAATGGACTTGGCCCTTCTTATTTATCTGATGTACTTTTACCAAATCAACCCTCGCGGACCCTGAGGTCCTCCAGCACAGGCCTTTTAACCTTACCCAAAGTCAAAAACAAAAACACAAGGGGAGGCGGCGTTCAGTTTTTATGGTCCCCGGTTGTGGAACCATCCAACTTACCATTTTTAAGTAAAATCTTGGAAAAACTTGTTCTTCAACAAGTAAATGATTTAGAAAAAAAAAAAGGAAAAAAACCCTTATGGTTTTTTTCCCCTCCTCGAGCTACCACCTTACCGTGGTGGAGGGGTTTGTGTGTCCCAATGATCCCAGGAGCTATGTTGTCAGGGGCTTTATGCCTCTGAAGTGTCACCCAAGGCAAACAGGTCTTGGGGGAGGGACCAGACTGAGGCCGAACTACACGAAGGCGAATATATTTCAAACCGCACATATTCATGTCCGATTAGGCTTCCCTACCACACCAAACCGGGAGTTTGGAGCACTCAAACCGGATAAATCTGAATCCGGAAAAACAAGCGGAGAAATAAAAAAATATCTGTATCCCGTATCCGCAGTGGATTCGTGTGGTCGGACTTTTATGGATCGATGACGTCAAATTGCAGCTCGCGCGTGCGCATGAAAAACAAAAACAATAACAACGATGGCGGACATACAGGGTATTATTTACGTTTGTTTTGCCCTTTTGGGGCTAATTTCAGCCTTGCAAGTGAACCTTATTTTATACAATTACATCCACCAGTCAGCCAGCTCACAGAGGCGTCTGTTGCGCCCAATACTATTTTTGGAGAGCAATCGTAACGTTAACGTTAGGCGTTTTAAAGTTTGCCAGAAGCGTAAGTTTTGGATCAAACCCGGTCGGACCAGCAAGTGGTGGGACAACTTCGTTAGAGGGGCTGTGCCTGCAGATGAATGGAAGCTAAACTTTCGTATGTCCTACGTGTGGACGCAGATATTTTTTTGAACTAACATGTGTGGACAGGTACATTTATTTAGACGGGAGTACAAAAATATCCAGATAAATAAATATCCGCCTTCGTGTAGTTCGGGCCTAAGAGTAGCTCATCCAGACTGTTTTTAACTGATTCATCTCTTATCTCACTGATCGCCACTCCGTTTCAGGTCCGTTTCAGGATTGATTGTAAGGTTCTTTTATTAGTTTTTAGATGTATTAATGGACTTGGCCCTTCTTATTTATCTGATGTACTTTTACCAAATCAACCCTTGTGGACCCTGAGGTCCTCCGGCACAGGCCTTTTAACCTTACCCAAAGTCAAAAACAAAAACTCGGGGAGGCGGCATTCAGTTTTTATGGTCCCCGGTTGTGGAACCATCCAACTTACCATTTTTAAGTAAAATCTTGGAAAAACTTGTTCTGGTTCACCTCTTATCTCACTGATCGCCACTCCGTTTCAGGTCTGTTTCAGGATTGATTGTAAGGTTCTTTTATTAGTTTTTAGATGTATTAATGGACTTGGCCCTTCTTATTTATCTGATGTACTTTTACCAAATCAACCCTTGTGGACCCTGAGGTCCTCCGGCACAGGCCTTTTAACCTTACCCAAAGTCAAAAACAAAAACTCGGGGAGGCGGCATTCAGTTTTTATGGTCCCCGGTTGTGGAACCATCCAACTTACCATTTTTAAGTAAAATCTTGGAAAAACTTGTTCTTCAACAAGTAAATGATTTTTTTTAAAAAAAGAAAAGAAAACCCTTATGGTTTTTCCTTCCCCCATGGGAGAGTTTTTTTCCCCTCCTCGAGCTACCACCTTACCGTGGTGGAGGGGTTTGTGTGTCCCAATGATCCCAGGAGGTATGTTGTCAGGGGCTTTATGCCTCTGAAGTGTCAACCAAGGCAAACAGGTTGTGGGGGAGGGACCAGACTAAGAGTAGCTCATCCAGACATTTGTGCCAGGCGAGAAAAAAAAACTAAAAAAAACAAACCTTAAAATGGGCAAAAAAACTTTAAAACAAAAAACTCTGAAAAAAAAAACAAAAACACCCTAAAGTGGATGTTTGGCACAAAAAAAAAAATAGAAGAGCAATCTTTGTATTTAAATATGATCGTTTAAATACAAAGAGCATTTTAGAGAAGTGCAAATCAGGATTTAGGAGGAACCCCAGTACTGAGACAGCCCTTTTAAAAATTTTGAATGACATCAGGTGCAATTTAGATAATGGCAACCTCACAGTCTTGGTCCTGCTGGATCTAACTGCCGCCGCCTTTGATGCAGTAGACCAGCACATTTTATTAAATAGACTTCAGCACCTGGTCGGCCTCTCAGGCACTGTTTTTAACTGATTCATCTCTTATCTCACTGATCGCCACTCCGTTTCAGGTCCGTTTCAGGATTGATTGTAAGGTTCTTTTATTAGTTTTTAGATGTATTAATGGACTTGGCCCTTCTTATTTATCTGATGTGCTTTTACCAAATCAACCCTTGTGGAACCTGAGGTCCTCCGGCACAGGCCTTTTAACCTTACCCAAAGTAAAAAACAAAAACTCGGGGAGGCGGCATTCAGTTTTTATGGTCCCCGGTTGTGGAACCATCCAACTTACCATTTTTAAGTAAAATCTTGGAAAAACTTGTTCTTCAACAAGTAAATGATTTTTTAAAAAAAAAGAAAAAAAAACCCTTATGGTTTTTCCTTCCCCCATGGGAGAGTTTTTTTCCCCTCCTCGAGCTACCACCTTACCGTGGTGGAGGGGTTTGTGTGTCCCAATGATCCCAGGAGGTATGTTGTCAGGGGCTTTATGCCTCTGAAGTGTCAACCAAGGCAAACAGGTTGTGGGGGAGGGACCAGACTAAGAGTAGCTCATCCAGACATTTGTGCCAGGCGAGAAAAAAAAAACTAAAAAAAACAAACCTTAAAATGGGCAAAAAACCTTTAAAACAAAAAACTCTGAAAAAAAAACAAAAACACCCTAAAGTGGATGTTTGGCACAAAAAAAAAAAAAAATAGAAGAGCAATCTTTGTATTTAAATACGATCGTTTAAATACAAAGAGCATTTTAGAGAAGTGCAAATCAGGATTTAGGAGGAACCCCAGTACTGAGACAGCCCTTTTAAAAATTTTGAATGACATCAGGTGCAATTTAGATAATGGCAACCTCACAGTCTTGGTCCTGCTGGATCTAACCGCCGCCGCCTTTGATGCAGTTGACCATCACATTATTAAATAGACTTCAGCACCTGGTCGGCCTCTCAGGCACTGTTTTTAACTGGTTCACCTCTTATCTCACTGATCGCCACTCCGTTTCAGATCTGTTTCAGGATTGATTTATAAGGTTCTTTTATTAGTTTTTAGATGTATTAATGGACTTGGCCCTTCTTATTTATCTGATGTACTTTTACCAAATCAACCCTCGCGGACCCTGAGGTCCTCCAGCACAGGCCTTTTAACCTTACCCAAAGTCAAAAACAAAAACACAAGGGGAGGCGGCGTTCAGTTTTTATGGTCCCCGGTTGTGGAACCATCCAACTTACCATTTTTAAGTAAAATCTTGGAAAAACTTGTTCTTCAACAAGTAAATGATTTAGAAAAAAAAAAGGAAAAAAACCCTTATGGTTTTTTTCCCCTCCTCGAGCTACCACCTTACCGTGGTGGAGGGGTTTGTGTGTCCCAATGATCCCAGGAGCTATGTTGTCAGGGGCTTTATGCCTCTGAAGTGTCACCCAAGGCAAACAGGTCTTGGGGGAGGGACCAGACTGAGGCCGAACTACACGAAGGCGAATATATTTCAAACCGCACATATTCATGTCCGATTAGGCTTCCCTACCACACCAAACCGGGAGTTTGGAGCACTCAAACCGGATAAATCTGAATCCGGAAAAACAAGCGGAGAAATAAAAAAATATCTGTATCCCGTATCCGCAGTGGATTCGTGTGGTCGGACTTTTACGGATCGATGACGTCAAATTGCAGCTCGCGCGTGCGCATGAAAAACAAAAACAATAACAACGATGGCGGACATACAGGGTATTATTTACGTTTGTTTTGCCCTTTTGGGGCTAATTTCAGCCTTGCAAGTGAACCTTATTTTATACAATTACATCCACCAGTCAGCCAGCTCACAGAGGCGTCTGTTGCGCCCAATACTATTTTTGGAGAGCAATCGTAACGTTAACGTTAGGCGTTTTAAAGTTTGCCAGAAGCGTAAGTTTTGGATCAAACCCGGTCGGACCAGCAAGTGGTGGGACAACTTCGTTAGAGGGGCTGTGCCTGCAGATGAATGGAAGCTAAACTTTCGTATGTCCTACGTGTGGACGCAGATATTTTTTTGAACTAACATGTGTGGACAGGTACATTTATTTAGACGGGAGTACAAAAATATCCAGATAAATAAATATCCGCCTTCGTGTAGTTCGGGCCTAAGAGTAGCTCATCCAGACTGTTTTTAACTGATTCATCTCTTATCTCACTGATCGCCACTCCGTTTCAGGTCCGTTTCAGGATTGATTGTAAGGTTCTTTTATTAGTTTTTAGATGTATTAATGGACTTGGCCCTTCTTATTTATCTGATGTACTTTTACCAAATCAACCCTTGTGGACCCTGAGGTCCTCCGGCACAGGCCTTTTAACCTTACCCAAAGTCAAAAACAAAAACTCGGGGAGGCGGCATTCAGTTTTTATGGTCCCCGGTTGTGGAACCATCCAACTTACCATTTTTAAGTAAAATCTTGGAAAAACTTGTTCTGGTTCACCTCTTATCTCACTGATCGCCACTCCGTTTCAGGTCTGTTTCAGGATTGATTGTAAGGTTCTTTTATTAGTTTTTAGATGTATTAATGGACTTGGCCCTTCTTATTAGGGCCCGAGCGTAGCTGCTAAGCAGCTGCGAGAGCCCTCTTGTCTTCTTATTTTTTTTGAAATCCCTTTGAACTGGAAAATGGCCCACTTCCCACTGGCGAAAACTCATGAAATTTGGCAGGATGACCGGGCCTGATGAAAAATTTGATATCCTGAAGTCGCCCAAACAATAAAATGCAAAATGGCTCCATAGCGCCCCCTAAGGTGAAAATTCACACTATTGAGTGTCACGCCTGTATGCTTTGTCATATTGACACAAAAATTGACACACATGTAGGTCTCAATAAGGTCTACGAAAAAGTCAGCGCGGGCACATCTGTGAAATGTACAGGGCTTTTTTGCATTTTTTGCCCATCCGCACACATTGGAATGTGGCTTATTCCTCCAAAGGCTTTCGTTCCACCGGCACCAAATTTGCTCAGGCCAATCTACACCCCATGGCCATTCAAAGTTGTACAAATCATGATGCTGCACGCCACGGTTTAAGTTCTAGGGGGCGCCAAAGATAACACAAAAATCCACATTCTTAAAAGTCTTATAACTTTTTATTTTTGTTCTCACTGGCCTCCAAGTTTTCTAGGATGATGCAATGTCCAGCCATCAACACATTTGTGAAGGAATTTTTACTCCCCAAAAGAGCGCCCCCCCCCCCCCATGGCAGGATAAAAAAGTCCATTTTTTCTTGTCTCCTAAGATGAAAATACACATTGTTGAGTGTCACGCCTGTACACTTTGTCATATTTACACAAAAATTGACAATCACATGTATCTACAAAAAAATCAATGCGCACGTATCTGTAAAATGTACGGCTAAAGGACTATTTCGCATTTTTTGCCAATCCGCACACATTTGAATGTGGCTTACTCTTCCTAAGGCTTTCATCCCACCGACACCAAATTTGCTCAGGCCAATCTATAGCCCATGGCCATTCAAAGTTGTACAAATCATGACGCTGCACCCCAGGGTTTACATTCTAGGGGGCGCCAAAGATGACCCAAATATCCACATTCTTAAAAGTGTTATAACTTTTTTTGTCCTCACTGGCCTCCACGTTTTCTAGGATGATGCAATGTCCAGCCATCAACACATCTGTGAAGGAAGTCCCCCCTTCCTCTTTGCCTTCGAGGACACCAGCCACTGATTCCTCATTAAATTAGTTATCTATTAAATCTAATGCTACAGAAAAAGTTAAAAGGCATCAAAGTCAATCATATTACTAATCTCTCACATATTCAAGACTTTGATGCCCTGCAAGAGATAAACAGTTTCTGATTATGTTTTATAAAAAAAAGGGTCATTTTCATTCAAATTTTTGCTATATTAGTGACTTTATGTCTTAAATGGGCTCTTAAAGGGTTTAAAAAAATTTCCATGAAACATTTGCTAATTTTGAACAGGGCAGAAGTAAAATAAGAGATGTACAAAAAAAAAATCTGGAAAAAATATTAATCCAATATGATTTTACAGCAGACAAAGTAGTTTTGGCCACTGAGTAGCGCCAAAGGGAGTTGTCTATTAACAGCAGACAAAGTAGTTATGGCCACTGAGGGGCGCCAAAGGGAGTTGTCTATTAAATCTGATGCTACAGAAAAAGTTAAAAGGCTCAAATTTTTGCTATATTAGTGACTTTACATCTTAAATGGGCTCTTAAAGGGTTGAAAAAAACTATTTTCAATGAAACATTTGCTAGTTTTGAACAGGGCAGAAGTAAAATAAGAGATGTACAAAAGAAAAATCTGGAAAAAATATTAATCCAATTTGATTTTACAGCAGACAAAGTAGTTTTGGCCACTGAGGGGCGCCAAAGGGAGTTGTCTATTAACAGCAGACAAAGTAGTTATGGCCACTGAGGGGCGCCAAAGGGAGTTGTCTATTAAATCTGATGCTACAGAAAAAGTTAAAAGGCTCAAATTTTTGCTTTATTAGTGACTTTATGTCTTGAATGGGCTCTTAAAGGGTTAAAAAACATTATTTTCAATGAAACATTTGTTAGTTTTGAACAGGGCAGAAGTAAAATAAGAGATGTACAAAAAATAAATCTGGAAAAAAATTAATCCAATTTGATTTTACAGCAGACAAAGTAGTTTTGGCCACTGAGGGGCGCCAAAGGGAGTTGTCTATTGAATCTGATGCTACAGAAAAAGTTAAAAGGCATCAAAGTCAATCATATTACTAATCTCTCACATATTCAAGACTTTGATGCCCTGCAAGAGATAACCAGTTTTTATAATGTTTGATAAAAAAAAATTGGTCATTTTCCTTACCCCCCATGGCAGGAAAAAAAGTCAAGTTTTTCCTGCCCATCGCTCAATGGCTCAAACGCATCGCTCTCCCGGCAAAACCGAAAGGAGGAGCAACTTGCCATTTGGATATATCCTAGCTGTGTTTGTGCCCTCACTCATGGTCGAGACTTTTTTAAATAGGACATGGAGTTTGTCTGCAGCGAGCATTTTGGTAGAAACTGCGCCTCCTATTCATTATAATGGTAAATGACAACAGACAAGTGTGCACACCATCTTTGGACCTTGAGTGTAACGCGATCGGGAGGGGAGGCGGTCGCGCTGGGGTCGGCGCGACATGGCTTGGGCCCAACAGTGCCCCACCGGGGCCCTAGTTTGAACTTGAAAATGAAAATTTTGAACGTGAAAATTTTTAAACTTGAGAATCAGGTGTTGGTTGAACTTGAGTTTGTGGGTTTTTTTTCAACTTGAGTTTGTGGTGTTTTTGAACTTGAGGGTTTGGAATTTGTTAAACTTGAGAATTGGGTATTGGTTGAACCTTAGTTTGTGTGTTTGTCTAACTCGAGTTTGTGTCGTGTTTGACCTTGAGTTTGTGGTGTGTTTGAACTTGAGTTTGTGTGTTTTTTGAACTTGAGATTGTGAAAATTTTTAAACATTACAATCAGGTGTTGGTTGAACTTGAGTTTGTTGTTCTTGTTGAACCTGAGTTTGTGTCTTGTTTGAACTTAAGTTTGTGTTTTTTTTTAACTTGAGTCTGTGTTGTTTTTGAAATTGAGGTTGAGAAAAATTGTTAAACTTGAGAATTGGATATTGGTTGAACTTGGGTTCTTGGTGTCTTTGAACTTAAGGTTGTGGAATTTGTTAAACTTGAGAATTGGGTATTGTTTGAACTTGAGTTTGTGTCGTGTTTGAACTTGAGTTTGTGTTGTGTTTGAACCTGAGTTTGTGGTGTTGTTGAACTTGAGTTTGTTTCGTGTTTGAACTTGAGTTTGTGCCGTTTGTTGAACTTGAGTTTGTGTCATGTTTGAACTTGAGTTTGTGGTGTTTGTTGAACTTGAGTTTGTGTTGTGTTTGAACTTGAGTTTGTGGTGTTTTTGAACTTGAGTTTGTTTCGTGTTTGAACTTGAGTTTGTGGCGTTTGTTGAACTTAAGTTTGTGTGTTTGTTGATCTTTAGGTTGTGGCAATTGTTAAACTTGAGTTTGTGTGTTTCTTTAACTTGAGTTTGTGTCATGTTTGAACTTGAGTTGTGTGTTTGTTGAACTTGAGTTTGTGTTGTGTTTGAACTTGAGTTTGTGGTGTTTTTGAACTTGAGTTTGTTTCGTGTTTGGTGAACTTGAGTTTGTGTGTTTTTTGAACTTGAGTTTCTGTTGTTTTTTTACTTGAGGTTGTGGAAATTGTTAAAGTTGAGAATCAGGTATTAGTTGAACATTAGTTACTGTGTTTGTTGAACTTGAGTTTGTGTCGTTTTTGAACTTGAGTTTGTGTGTATGTTGAACTTGATTTTGTGTTGTGTTTGAACTTAAGTTTGTGGTGTTTTTGAACTTGAGTTTGTGGTTTTTTTTGACTTGCGGTTGTGGAAATTGTTAAACTTGAGAATTGGGTATTGGTTGAACTTGAATTTTTGTTGTTTTTGAACTTGAGTGTGTGTTGTGTTTAAACTTGAGTTTGTGGTGAGTTTGAACTTGAGTTTGTGTGTTTGTTGAACTTGAGGTTGTGGTAATTTTTGAACTTGAAATTTGGGTGTTGGTTGAACTTGAGTTTGTGTCGTGTTTGAACTTGAGTTTGTGGTGTTGTTGAACTTGAGTTTGTTTCGTGTTTGAACTTGAGTTTGTGCGGTTTGTTGAACTTGAGTTTGTGTCGTGTTTGAACTTGAGTTTGTGGTCTTTTTGAACTTGAGTTTGTGTTGTGTTTGAACTTGAGTTTGTGGTGTTTTTGAACTTGAGTTTGTGGTTTTTTTTGATGTGAGGTTGTGGAAATTGTTAAACTTGAGAATTGGGTATTGGTTGAACTTGAATTTCTGTTGTTCTTGAACTTGAGTCTGTGTTGTGTTTAAACTTGAGTTTGTGGTGAGTTTGAACTTGAGTTTGTGTGTTTGTTGAACTTGAGGTTGTGGTAATTTTTGAACTTGAAATTTGGGTGTTGGTTGAACTTGAGTTTGTGTCGTGTTTGAACTTGAGTTTGTGGTCTTTTTGAACTTGAGTTTGTGTTGTGTTTGAACTTGAGTTTGTGGTGTTTTTGAACTTGAGTTTGTTTCGTGTTTGAACTTGAGTTTGTGGCATTTTGTTGAACTTAAGTTTGTGTGTTTGTTGAACTTTAGGTTGTGGCAATTGTTTAACTTGAGTTTGTGTGTTTCTTGAACTTGAGTTTGTGTCGTGTTTGAACTTGAGTTTGTGTGTTTGTTGAACTTGAGTTTGTGTTGTGTTTGAACTTGAGTTTGTGGTGTTTATGAACTTGAGTTTGTTTCGTGTTTGAACTTGAGTTTGTGGCGTTTGTTGAACTTGAGATTTGGGTGTTGGTTGAACTTGAGTTTTTGGTGTTCTTGAATTTGAGTTGGTGTCGTGTTTGACCTTGAGTTTGTGGTGTTTTTGAACTTGAGTTGCGTGTTTGGTGAACTTGAGTTTGTGTGTTTTTTGAACTTGAGTTTCTGTTGTTTTTTTACTTGAGGTTGTGGAAATTGTTAAACTTTAGAATCAGGTATTGGTTGAACATTAGTTAGTGTGTTTGTTGAACTTGAGTTCGTGTCGTTTTTGAACTTGAGTTTGTGGTGTTTTTGCACTTGAGTTTGTGTGTATGTTGAACTTGAGTTTTGTGTAGTGTATGAACTTGAGTTTGTGTGTTTGTTGAACTTGAGTTTGTGTCGTGTTTGAACTTAAGTTTGTGGTGTTTTTGAACTTGAGATTGTGGTTTTTTTTAACTTGAGGTTGTGGAAATTGTTAAACTTGAGAATTGGGTATTGGTTGAACTTAAATTTTTTGTTTTTGAACTTAAGTCTGTGTTGTGTTTAAACTTGTTTGTGGTGAGTTTGAACTTGAGTTTGTGTGTTTGTTGAACTTGAGGTTGTGGTAATTTTTTAACTTGAAATTTGGGTGTTGGTTGAACTTGAGTTTGTGTCGTGTTTGAACTTGAGTTCATGTTGTTTGTTTTGAGTTTCTGTTGTTTTTTTACTTGAGGTTGTGGAAATTGTGAAACTTGAGAATCAGGTGTTGGTTGAACTTGAGTTTGTGGTTTTTGTTGAACTTGAGTTATTGTGTTTTTTGAACTTAAGTTTGTGTTGTGTTTGAACTTGAGATTGTGTCATGTTTGCAATTGAGTTTGTGGTGTTTTTGAACTTGAGTTTGTGTGTTTGTTGAACTTAAGTTTTTGTTGTGTTTGAACTTGAGTTTGTGGTGTTTCTTGAGCTTGAGTTTGTGTCATGTTTGCACTTGAGTTTGTGGTGTTTTTGAACTTGATTTTGTTAGTTTGTTGAACTTGAGTTTGTGGTCTTTTTGAACTTGAGTTTGTGTGTTTGTTGAACTTGAGTTTTTGTTGTGTTTGAACTTGAGTTTGTGGTGTTTGTTGAACTTGAGTTTGTGTCATGTTTGAACTTGAGTTTGTGGTGATTTTGAACTTGATTTTGTTTGTTTATTGAACTTTAGTTTGTGAAATTTGTTGAACTTGAGTTGGTGGTGTTTCTGAACTTGAGTTTGTGTCGTGTTTGAACTTGTGTTTGTCATGTTTTTGAACTTGAGTTTGTGGTGTATTTGAACTTGAGGGTGTGGAATTTGTTGAACTTGAGGTTGTGGCAATTGTTAAACTTGAGTTTGTGTTTAAGTTGAACTTGAGTTTGTGTGGTTGTTGAACTTAAGGTTGTGGCAATTGTTAAACTTTAGATTTGGTTGTTGATTGAACTATAGTTTGTGTCGTGTTTGAACTTGAGTTTGTGGTTTGTTGAACTTGAGTTTGTGTCATGTTTGAACTTGATTTTTTGGTGTTTTTGAACTTGAGTTTGTGTTGTGTTTGAACTTGAGTTTGTGTTGTGTTATTGAACTTGAGTTTGTTTCGGATTTGAACTTGAGGGTGTGGAATTTGTTGAACTTGAGGTTGTGGCAATTGTTAAACTTGAGTTTGTGTTTAAGTTGAACTTAAGTTTGTATTGTTTTTGAACATGAGTTTGTTTCATGTTTTGAATTTGAGTTTGTGGCATTTGTTGAACTTGAGTTTGTGTGGTTGTTGAACTTAAGGTTGTGGCAATTGTTAAACTTTAGATTTGGTTGTTGATTGAACTATAGTTTGTGTCGTGTTTGAACTTGAGTTTGTGGTTTTTGTTGAACTTGAGTTTGTGTCATGTTTGAACTTGATTTTTTGGTGTTTTTGAACTTGAGTTTGTGTTGTGTTTGAACTTGAGTTTGTGTTGTGTTATTGAACTTGAGTTTGTTTCGGATTTGAACTTGAGGGTGTGGAATTTGTTGAACTTGAGGTTGTGGCAATTGTTAAACTTGAGTTTGTGTTTAAGTTGAACTTAAGTTTTTGTTGTTTTTGAACATGAGTTTGTTTCATGTTTTGAACTTGAGTTTGTGGCATTTGTTGAACTTGAGTTTGTGTGGTTGTTGAACTTAAGGTTGTGGCAATTGTTAAACTTTAGATTTGGTGGTTGATTGAACTATAGTTTGTATCGTGTTTGAACTTGAGTTTGTGGTTTTTGTTGAACTTGAGTTTGTGTCATGTTTGAACTTGATTTTTTGGTGTTTTTGAACTTGAGTTTATGTTGTGTTTGAACTTGAGTTTGCGGCGTTTGTTGAACTTGAGTTTGTGTGGTTTTTTAACTCAAGGTTGTGGCAATTGTTAAACTTGAGATTTGGTTGTTGATTGAACTATAGTTTGTGTCGTGTTTGAACTTGAGTTTGCTTGTATTTGGACTTGAGTTTGTGGTTTTTGTTCAACTTAAGTTTGTGTCGTGTTTGAACTTGAGTTTGTGGTTTTTGTTGAACTTGAGTTTGTGTTGTGTTATTGAACATGAGTTTGTGGTGTTTTTGAACTTGAGTTTGTTTGGTGTTTGAACTTGAGTTTGTGGCGTTTTTTGAACTTGAGTTTGTGTCATGTTTGAACTTGTGTTTGTCATTTTTTTGAACTTGAGTTTGTGGTGTTTTTGAACTTGAGGGTGTGGAATTTGTTAAACTTGAGAATTGGGTAGTGGTTGAACTTGAGTTTGTGTGTTTGTTGAACTTGAGTTTGTTTCGTTTTTGAACTTGAGTTTGTGTGAATGTTGAATTTGATTATGTGGGTTTTTTGACTTGAGTATGTTTCATGTTTTAACTTGAGTTTGTGGCGTTTGTTGAAATTGACTGTGTGTTTGTTGAACTTGAGGTTGTGGCAAATGTTAAACTTGATATTTGGGTGTTGGTTGAACTTAAGTTTGTGTCGTATTTGAACTTGAGTTTGTGTGGTTGTTGAACTTAAGGTTGTGGCAATTGTTAAACTTTAGATTTGGTTGTTGATTGAACTATAGTTTGTGTCGTGTTTGAACTTGAGTTTGTGGTTTTTGTTGAACTTGAGTTTGTGTCATGTTTGAACTTGATTTTTTTGGTGTTTTTGAACTTGAGTTTGTGTTGTGTTTGAACTTGAGTTTGTGTTGTGTTATTGAACTTGAGTTTGTTTCGGATTTGAACTTGAGGGTGTGGAATTTGTTGAACTTGAGGTTGTGGCAATTGTTAAACTTGAGTTTGTGTTTAAGTTGAACTTAAGTTTGTGTTGTTTTTGAACATGAGTTTGTTTCATGTTTTGAACTTGAGTTTGTGGCATTTGTTGAACTTGAGTTTGTGTGGTTGTTGAACTTAAGGTTGTGGCAATTGTTAAACTTTAGATTTGGTGGTTGATTGAACTATAGTTTGTATCGTGTTTGAACTTGAGTTTGTGGTTTTTGTTGAACTTGAGTTTGTGTCATGTTTGAACTTGATTTTTTGGTGTTTTTGAACTTGAGTTTATGTTGTGTTTGAACTTGAGTTTGCGGCGTTTGTTGAACTTGAGTTTGTGTGGTTTTTTAACTCAAGGTTGTGGCAATTGTTAAACTTGAGATTTGGTTGTTGATTGAACTATAGTTTGTGTCGTGTTTGAACTTGAGTTTGCTTGTATTTGGACTTGAGTTTGTGGTTTTTGTTCAACTTAAGTTTGTGTCGTGTTTGAACTTGAGTTTGTGGTGTTTGTTGAACTTGAGTTTGTGTTGTGTTATTGAACATGAGTTTGTGGTGTTTTTGAACTTGAGTTTGTTTGGTGTTTGAACTTGAGTTTGTGGCGTTTTTTGAACTTGAGTTTGTGTCATGTTTGAACTTGTGTTTGTCATTTTTTTGAACTTGAGTTTGTGGTGTTTTTGAACTTGAGGGTGTGGAATTTGTTAAACTTGAGAATTGGGTAGTGGTTGAACTTGAGTTTGTGTGTTTGTTGAACTTGAGTTTGTTTGTTTTTTGAACTTGAGTTTGTGTGAATGTTGAATTTGATTATGTGGGTTTTTTTGACTTGAGTATGTTTCATGTTTTAACTTGAGTTTGTGGCGTTTGTTGAAATTGACTGTGTGTTTGTTGAACTTGAGGTTGTGGCAAATGTTAAACTTGATATTTGGGTGTTGGTTGAACTTAAGCTTGTGTCGTATTTGAACTTGAGTTTGTGGTGTGTTTGAACTTGAGTGTGTGGCAATTGTTGAAATTGAATCTGTGGTTTTTAGTGAACTTTAATTGGTGGCAATTGTTGAACTTGAGTTTGTGGCATTTTTTGAACTTGAGTTTGTTGTGTGTTTAAACTTGAGTTTGTGTGTTTGTTGAACTTGAGGTTGTGCCAATTGTTAAACTTGAGATTTGGGTGTTGGTTGAACTTGAGTTTGTGTCATGTTTGAACTTGAGTTTGTTGTTTGTTGAACTTGAGTTTCTGTTGTTTTTGAACAAGAGGTTGTTGAATTTGTTAAACTTGAGAATCAGCTATTGGTTGAACTAGAGTTTGTGTGTTTGTTGAAATTGATTCTGTGTTGTTTCTCAACTTGAGTTTTTGGCGTTTTTGAACTTGAGTTTGTTTGTTTTTTGAACTTCAGTTTGTGTTGTGTTTGAACTTGAGTTTGTGGAATTTTTTAACTTGATTTTGTGTTTTTGTTGATCTTGAGTTTGTTTGATTGTTGACCTTGAGTTTGTGTCGTGTTTGAACTTGAGTTTGTCGTGTTTGAACTTGAGTTTTGTCATGTTTGAACTTGAGTTTGTTGTGTATTTGATCTTGAGTTTGTGGTGTTTTTGAACTTGAGGGTGTGGTTTTTGAACTTGAGGGTGTGTTTGTTGAACTTGACTTTGGGTCTTGGTTGAACTCTAGTTTGTGTTGTGTTTGAACTATAGTTTGTTGAACTTGATTTTGTGTCGTGTTTACAATTGAGTTTGTGGTGTTTTTGAACTTGAATTTGTGTGTTTGTTGAACTTGAGTTTGTGTTGTGTTTGAACTTGAGTTTGTGGTGTTTGTTGAACTTGAGTTTGTGGTGTTTTTGAACTTGAATTTGCGTGTTTGGTGAACTTGAGTTTGTGTTTTTTTGAACTTGAGTTTCTGTTGTTTTTGAACTTGAGGTTGTGGCAATTGTTAAACATGAGAGTCAGGTGTTTTTGGTTGAACTTGAGATTGTGTGTTTGTTGAACTTGAGTATGTTTCATGTTTGAACTTGAGTTTGTGGCGTTTTTGTGCTTGAGTCTGTGTTTTTTTTTAACTTGAGGTTGTGGAAATTGTTAAACTTGAGAAATGGGTATTGGTTGAACTTGAGTTTTTGGTGTTTTTCAACTTGAGTTTGTGTCGTTTTTGAACCTGAGTTGGTGTCGTTTTTGATCTTAAAGTTGTGGAAATTGTTTAACTTGAGAATTAGGAGTTGGTTGAATTTGAGTTTGTGTGTTTGTTGAATTTGAGTTTGTGTCATGTTTCAACTTGAGTTTGTGGTGTTTTTGAACTTCAGTTTGTGTGTTTGTTGAACTTCAGTGTGTGTTGTGTTTGAAGTCGAGTTTGTGGTGTTTTTGAACTTGATTTTGTGTTTTTGTTGAACTTGAGTTTGTTTGATTGTTGAACTTGAGTTTGTGTCGTGTTTGAACTTGAGTTTGTCGTGTTTGAACTTGAGATTCTTGTGTTTTTGAACTTGAGTTTGTGGTGTTTTTGAACTTGAGTATGTGGTGTTTTTGAACTTGAGGGTGTGGTGTTTTTGAACTTGAGGGTGTGGAATTTGTTAAACTTGAGATTTGGGTCTTGGTTGAACTTGAGTTTGTGGTGTGTTTGAACTTGAGTTTGTGTGTATGTTTTTACTTGAGGTTGTGGCAATTTTTAAACTTGAGATTTGGGTGTTGGTTGAACTTGAATTTGTTTCGTGTTTGAACTTGAGTTTGTGGTGTGTTTAAACTTGAGTTTGGTTAATTGTTGAACTTGAGGTTGTGGCAATTGTTAAACTTGAGATTTGGGTTCTGGTTAAACTTGAGTTTGTGTTTTTGTTGAACTTGAGGTTTTGGCAATTATTAATCTTGAATCTGTGGTTTTTAGTGAACTTTAATTGGTTGCAATTGTTAAACTTGAGTTTGTCGCGTTGGTTGAACTTGAGTTTGTTTGTTTCTTTGAACTTGAGGTTGTGGTGTTTTGGAACTTGATTTTGTTCCGTTTTTGAACTTGAGTTTGTGGTGTTTTTTGAACTTGAGTTTGTGATGTGTTTCAACTTGAGTCTGTGTGTTTGTTGAACTTGAGTTTTTTGTGTTTGAACTTGAGTTTGTGGTGATTTTGAACTTGAGTATGTTTCGCGTTTGAACTTGAGTTTGTGGTGTGTGTTGAACTTGAGTTTTGTCATGTTTGAACTTGAGTTTCTTGTGTATTTGATCTTGAGTTTGTGGTGTTTTTGAACTTGAGGGTGTGGTGTTTTTGAACTTGACTTTGTGTGTTTGTTGAACTTGACTTTGTGTGTTATTTGAACTCTAGTTTGTGTTGTGTTTGAACTTGAGTTTGTGGTGTTTGTTGAACTTGAGTTTGTGGTGTTTTTGAACTTGAATTTGCGTGTTTGGTGAACTTGAGTTTCACATTTTACATTTTTGTTGGTGTAACCAACTCCAAAAGGTTGGAAAAGAGTTCCTACAAAGGTTTTGGACAGTGATTTTAACCCTAATGCCAAAAACCTTAAACCTTACCATAGCCCCATAACCTAATACCCGGGTATTACATTCAGGAAGCCTGAACACCCCAAATATTTTTTTTTCATTTTTCTTTTTTTTTTTGTCTAACTAACTCCAAAAGGTTGGAAAAGAGTTCCTACAAAGGTTTTGGACAGTGATTTTAACCCTAACCCCAAAAAATTTAAACCTTACCATAGCCCCATAATTTAATTCCCAGGTATTACCTTCAGGAAGCCCGAACACCCCAAATATTTTTTTTTCATTTTACATTTTTGTTGGTGTAACCAACTCCAAAAGGTTGGAAAAGAGTTCCAACAAAGGTTTTGGACAGTGATTTCAACCCTAATGCCAAAAACCTTAAACCTTTCCCAAGCCCCATAACCTAATACCCGGGTATTACATTCAGGAAGCCCGAAAACCCCAAATATTTTTTTTTTCATTTTTCATTTTTTTTTTGGTCTAACTAACTCCAAAAGGTTGGAAAAGAGTTCCTACAAAGGTTTTGGACAGTGATTTTAACCCTAACGCCAAAAACCTTAAACCTTACCATAGCCCCATAATCTAAAACCGGGGATTACCTTCAGGAAGCCAGAAAACCCGAAATATATATTTTTTTCATTTTACATTTTTGTTGGTGTAACCAACTCCAAAAGGTTGGAATAGAGTTCCTACAAAGGTTTTGGACAGTGATTTTAACCCTAATGCCAAAAACCTTAAACCTTACCATAGCCCCATAACCTAATACCCGGGTATTACCTTCAGGAAGCCCGAACACCCCAAATATTTTTTTTTTTCATTTTACATTTTTGTTGGTGTAACCAACTCCAAAAGGTTGGAAAAGAGTTCCTACAAAGTTTTTGGACAGTGATTTTAACCATAATGCCAAAAACCTTAAACCTTACCATAGCCTTAAAATCTAATACCCGGGTATTACATTCAGGAAGCCCGAAAACCCTGATTATTTTTTTTACATTTTTCAATTTTTTTTTTGGTCTAACTAACTCCAAAAGTTTGGAAAAGAGTTCCTACAAAGGTTTTGGACAGTGATTTTAACCCTAACGCCAAAAACCTTAAACCTTACCCTATCCCCAAAACCTAATACCCGAGTGTTACCTTCAGGAAACCCGAACACCCCAAATATCTTTTTTTTTTCATTTTACATTTTTGTTGGTGTAACCAACTCCAAAAGGTTGGAAAAGAGTTCCTACAAAGGTTTTGGACAGTGATTTTAACCCTAACGCCAAAGACCTAAAACCTTACCATAGCCCCATAACCTAATACCCGGGTATTACCTTCAGGAAGCCTGAACACCTCAAATATTTTTTTTTTTCATTTTACATTTTTGTTGGTGTAACCAACTCCAAAGGTTGGAATAGAGTTCCTACAAAGGTTTTGGACAGTGATTTTAACCCTTATGCCAAAAACCTTAAACCTTACCATAGCCCCATAATCTAATACCCGGGTATTACATTCAGGAAGCCCGAAAACCCCAAATATTTTTTTTTCATTTTACATTTTTGTTGGTGTAACCAACTCCAAAGGTTGGAATAGAGTTCCTACAAAGGTTTTGGACAGTGATTTTAACCCTTATGCCAAAAACCTTAAACCTTACCATAGCCCCATAATCTAAAACCGGGGATTACCTTCAGGAAGCCAGAAAACCCGAAATATATATTTTTTTCATTTTACATTTTTGTTGGTGTAACTAACTCCAAAAGGTTGGAATAGAGTTCCTACAAAGGTTTTGGACAGTGATTTTAACCCTAATGCCAAAAACCTTAAACCTTACCATAGCCCCATAACCTAATACCCGGGTATTACCTTCAGGAAGCCCGAACACCCCAAATATTTTTTTTTTCATTTTACATTTTTGTTGGTGTAACCAACTCCAAAAGGTTGGAAAAGAGTTCCTACAAAGTTTTTGGACAGTGATTTTAACCATTATGCCAAAAACCTTAAACCTTACCATAGCCTTAAAATCTAATACCCGGGTATTACATTCAGGAAGCCCGAAAACCCCGATTATTTTTTTTACATTTTTCTTTTTTTTTTTTGGTCTAACTAACTCCAAAAGTTTGGAAAAGAGTTCCTACAAAGGTTTTGGACAGTGATTTTAACCCTAATGCCAAAAACCTTAAACCTTACCCTATCCCCAAAACCTAATACCCGAGTGTTACCTTCAGGAAACCCGAACACCCCAAATATCTTTTTTTTTCATTTTACATTTTTGTTGGTGTAACCAACTCCAAAGGTTGGAATAGAGTTCCTACAAAGGTTTTGGACAGTGATTTTAACCCTAATGCCAAAAACCTTAAACCTTACCATAGCCCCATAATCTAATACCCGGGTATTACTTTTAGGAAGCCTGAACACCCCAAATATATATTTTTTCATTTTTCATTTTTTTGTTGGTCTAACTAGCTCCAAAAAATTGGAAAAGAGTTCCTACAAAGGTTTTGGACAGTGATTTTAACCCTAACGCCAAAAAACTTAAACCTTACCCTAGCCTTAAAATCTAATACCCGGGTATTACATTCAGGAAGCTCGAAAACCCCAAATATTTTTTTTTTCATTTTTCATTTTTTTTTGGTCTAACTAACTCCAAAAGGTTGGAAAAGAGTTCCTACAAAGGTTTTGGACAGTGATTTTAAAACTAAAGCCAAAAACCTTAAAACTTACTCTATCTCCAAAACCTAATACCCGGGTATGACCTTCAGGAAGCCCGAACACCCCAAAAATATATTTTTTTCATTTTACATTTTTGTTGGTGTAACCAACTCCAAAAGGTTTTAAAAGAGTTCCTACAAAGGTTTTGGACAGTGATTTTAACCCTAATGCCAAAAACCTTAAACCTTACCATAGCCCCATAATCTAATACCCGGGTATTACTTTTAGGAAGCCTGAACACCCCAAATATTTTTTTTTTTCATTTTTCTTTTTTTTTGGTCTAAGTAGCTCCAAAAAATTGGAAAAGAGTTCCTACAAAGGTTTTGGACAGTGATTTTAACCCTAACGCCAAAAACCTTAAACCTTACCATAGCCCCATAACCTAATACCCGGGTATTAACTTCAGGAAGCCCGAACACCCCAAATATTTTTTTTTTCATTTTACATTTTTGTTGGTGTAACCAACTCCAAAAGGTTGGAAAAGAGTTCCTACAAAGTTTTTGGAAAGTGATTTTAACCATAATGCAAAAAACCTTAAACCTTACCATAGCCCCATAATCTAATAACCGGGTATTACTTTTAGGAAGCCCGAACACCCCAAATATTTTTTTTTATATTTTTCCTTTTTTTTTTTGGTCTAACTAGCTCCAAAAAATTGGAAACGAGTTCCTTCAAAGGTTTTGGACAGTGATTTTAACCCTAACGCCAAAAAACTTAAACCTTACCCTAGCCTTAAAATCTAATACCCGGGTATTACATTCAGGAAGTCCGAAAACCCCAATTATTTTTTTTACATTTTTCATTTTTTTTTTGGTCTAACTAACTCCAAAAGTTTGGAAAAGAGTTCCTACAAAGGTTTTGGACAGTGATTTTAACCCTAACGCCAAAAACCTTAAACCTTACCCTATCCCCAAAACCTAATACCCGAGTATTACCTTCAGGAAGCCCGAACACCCCAAATATCTTTTTTTTTCATTTTACATTTTTGTTGGTGTAACCAACTCCAAAAGGTTGGAAAAGAGTTCCTACAAAGGTTTTGGACAGTGATTTTAACCCTAACGCCAAAGACCTTAAACCTTACCATAGCCCCATAACCTAATACCAGGGTATTACTTTTAGGAAGCCCGAAAACCCCAAATATTTTTTTTTCATTTTACATTTTTGTTGGTGTAACCAACTCCAAAAGGTTGGAAAAGAGTTCCTACAAATTTTTTGGACAGTGATTTTAACCCTAACGCCAAAAAACTTAAACCTTACCCCAGCCTTAAAATCTAATACCCGGGTATTACATTCAGGAAGCCCGAAAACCCCCAATATTTTTTTTTTGATTTTTCATTTTTTTTTGGTCAAACTAGCTCCAAAAGGTTGGAAAAGAGTTCCTACAAAGGTTTTGGACAGTGATTTTAACCCTATCGCCAAAAACCTTAAACCTTACCATAGCCCCATAACTTAATACCCGGGTATTACCTTCAGGAAGCCTGAAAACCCCAAATATTTTTTTTTTCATTTTACTTTTTTTTGGTGTAACCAACTCCAAAAGGTTGGAAAAGAGTTCCTACAAAGGTTTTGGACAGTGATTTTAAAACTAAAGCCAAAAACCTTAAAACTTACTCTATCTCCAAAACCTAATACCCGGGTATGACCTTCAGGAAGCCCGAACACCCCAAAAATATATTTTTTTCATTTTACATTTTTGTTGGTGTAACCAACTCCAAAAGGTTTTAAAAGAGTTCCTACAAAGGTTTTGGACAGTGATTTTAACCCTAATGCCAAAAACCTTAAACCTTACCATAGCCCCATAATCTAATACCCGGGTATTACTTTTAGGAAGCCTGAACACCCCAAATATTTTTTTTTCATTTTTTTTTTTTTTTTTAGTCTAAGTAGCTCCAAAAAATTGGAAAAGACTTCCTACAAAAGTTTTGGACAGTGATTTTAACCCTAACGCAAAAACCTTGAACCTTACCATAGCCCCATAACCTAATACCCGGGTATTACCTTCAGGAAGCCCGAACACCCCAAATATTTTTTTTTTTCATTTTACATTTTTGTTGGTGTAACCAACTCCAAAAGGTTGGAAAAGAGTTCCTACAAAGGTTTTGGAAAGTGATTTTAACCATAATGCAAAAAACCTTAAACCTTACCATAGCCCCATAATCTAATAACCGGGTATTACTTTTAGGAAGCCCGAACACCCCAAATATTTTTTTTATATTTTTCCTTTTTTTTTTGGTCTAACTAGCTCCAAAAAATTGGAAACGAGTTCCTTCAAAGGTTTTGGACAGTGATTTTAACCCTAACGCCAAAAAACTTAAACCTTACCCTAGCCTTAAAATCTAATACCCGGGTATTACATTCAGGAAGTCCGAAAACCCCAATTATTTTTTTTACATTTTTCATTTTTTTTTTGGTCTAACTAACTCCAAAAGTTTGGAAAAGAGTTCCTACAAAGGTTTTGGACAGTGATTTTAACCCTAACGCCAAAAACCTTAAACCTTACCCTAGCCCCAAAACCTAATACCCGGGTATTACCTTCAGGAAGCCCGAACTGCCCAAATATATAAATTTTTTATTTTACATTTTTGTTGGTGTAACCAACTCCAAAAGGTTGGAAAAGAGTTCCTACAAAGGTTTTGGACAGTGATTTTAACCCTAACGCCAAAGACCTTAAACCTTACCATAGCCCCATAACCTAATACCAGGGTATTACTTTTAGGAAGCCCGAAAACCCCAAATATTTTTTTTTCATTTTACATTTTTGTTGGTGTAACCAACTCCAAAAGGTTGGAAAAGAGTTCCTACAAATTTTTTGGACAGTGATTTTAACCCTAACGCCAAAAAACTTAAACCTTACCCCAGCCTTAAAATCTAATACCCGGGTATTACATTCAGGAAGCCCGAAAACCCCAAATATTTTTTTTTTCATTTTTCATTTTTTTTTGGTCAAACTAGCTCCAAAAGGTTGGAAAAGAGTTCCTACAAAGGTTTTGGACAGTGATTTTAACCCTATCGCCAAAAACCTTAAACCTTACCATAGCCCCATAACTTAATACCCGGGTATTACCTTCAGGAAGCCTGAAAACCCCAAATATTTTTTTTTTCATTTTACTTTTTTTTGGTGTAACCAACTCCAAAAGGTTGGAAAAGAGTTCCTACAAAGGTTTTGGACAGTGATTTTCACCCTAATGTCAAAAACCTAAAACATTACCATAGCCCCATAACCTAATACCCGGGTATTACCTTCAAGAGCCCGAAAACCCCCAATTTTTTTTTTTCATTTTACATTTTTGTTGGTGTTACCAACTCCAAAAGGTTTGAAAAGAGTTCCTACAAATGTTTTGGACAGTGATTTTAAACCTAACGCCAAAAACCTTAAACCTTACCCTAGCCCCATAACCTAATACCCGGGTATTACATTCAGGAAGCCTGAACACCCCAAATATATTTTTTTTCATTTTTCTTTTTTTTTTTGGTCTAACTAGCTCCAAAGAATTGGAAAAGAGTTCCTACAAAGGTTTTGGACAGTGATTTTAACCCTAACGCCAAAAAAACTTAAACCTTACTCTAGCCTTAAAATCTAATACCCGGGTATTACATTCAGGAAGCCAGAAAACCCCAAATAATTTTTTTTTCATTTAACATTTTTGTTGGTGTAACCAACTTCAAAAGGTTGGAAAAGAGTTCCTACAAAGGTTTTGGACAGTGATTTTAACCCTAATGCAAAAAAACTTAAACCTTACCCTAGCCTTAAAATCTAATACACGGGTATTACATTCAGGAAGCCCGAAAACCCCAAATATTTTTTTTTTCTTCATTTTTCATTTTTTTTGGTCTAACTAACTCCAAAAGGTTGGAAAAGAGTTCCTACAAAGGTTTTGGACAGTGATTTTAACCCTAACACCAAAAACCTTAAACCTTACCCTATCCCCAAAACCTAATACCCGGGTATTACCTTCAGGAAGCCCGAACACCCCAAATATCTTTTTTTTCATTTTACATTTTTTTTGGTGTAACCAACTCCAAAAGGTTGGAAAAGAGTTCCTTCAAAGGTTTTGGACAGTGATTTTAACCCTAATTCCGAAAACCTTAAACCTTACCATAGCCCCATAACCTAATACCAGGGTATTACTTTTAGGAAGCCTGAACACCCCAAATATTTTTTCTTCATTTTTCATTTTTTTTGGTCTAACTAGCTCCAAAAAATTGGTAAAGAGTTCCTACATAGGTTTTGGACAGTGATTTTAACCCTAACGCCAAAAAACTTAAACCTTACCCTAGCCTTATAATCTAATACACGGGTATTACCTTCAGGAAGCCCGAAAACCTCAAATATGTTTTTTTCATTTTTAATTTTTTTTTGGTCTAACTAACTCCAAAAGGTTGGAAAAGAGTTCCTACAAAGGTTTTGGACAGTGATTTTAACCCTAGCGCCAAAAACCTTAAACCTTACCATAGCCCCATAACCTAATATAATACCTGTATAACCTTCAGGAAGCCTGAACACCCCAAATATTTTTTTTTCATTTTTCTTTTTTTTTGGTCTTACTAACTCCAAAATGTTGGAAAAGAGTTCCTACAAAGGTTTTGGACAGTGATTTTAACCCTAACGCAAAAAACCTTAAACCTTACCCTTGCCTTAAAATCTAGTACCCGGGTATTACGTTCAGGAAGCCCGAAAACCCCAAATATTTTTTCTTCATTTTTCTTTTTTTTTGGTCTTACTAACTCCAAAAGGTTGGAAAAGAGTTCCTACAAAGGTTTTGGACAGTGATTTTAACCCTAACGCCAAAAACCTTAAACCTTTCCCTAGCCCTAAAACATAATACCCGGGTAATACTTTCAGGAAGCCCGAACACTCCAAATATATATATATTGTTTTTCTTTTTTTTTCGTCTATCTAACTGCAAAAGGTTGGAAAAGAGTTCTTACAAAGGTTTTGGACAGTTATTTTAACACTGACGCCAAAAACCTTAAACCTTTACCTAGCCCCATAACCTAATACCCGGGTATTACCTTCAGGAAGCCTGAACACCCCAAATATTTTAATTTTATTTTTCTTTTTTTTTGGTCTTACTCACTCCAAAAGGTTTGAAAAGAGTTCCTAAAAAGGTTTTGGACAGTGATTTTAACCCTAACGCCAAAAAACTTAAACCCTACCCTAGCCCCATAACCTAATACCCGGGTATTACCTTCAGGAAGCCTGAAAACCCCAAATATTTTTTCTTCTTTTTTCATTTTTTTTTTTGGTCTAACTAACTCCATAGGGTTGGAAAAGAGTTCCTACAAAGGTTTTGGACAGTGATTTTGACCCTAATGCCAAAAAACTTAAACCTTACCCTAGCCCCAAAACCTAATACCTGGGTATTACCTTCAGGAAGCCCGAACACCCCAATTTTTTTTTTTTTTCATTTTACATTTTGTTTTTTGGTGTAACCAACTCCAAAAGGTCTGAAACATGTTCCCAAAAAGGTTTTGGACAGTGATTTTAACCCTAACGCCAAAAACCTTAAACCTTACCCTAGCCCAATAACCTTATACCCGGGTATTACTTTCAGGAAGCCCAAAAACCTCAATTTTTTTTTTCTTTTTTCATTTTTTTTGGTCTAACTCCAAAAGGTTGGAAAAGAGTTCCTACAAAGGTTTTGGACAGTGATTTTAACCCTAACACCAAAAAACTTAAACCTTACCCTAGCCTTAAAATCTAATGCCCGGGGAATTACCTTCAGGAAGCCCGAACACCCCAAATATTTTTTTTTTCATTTTACATTTTTGTTGTTGTAACCAACTCCAAAAGGTTGGAAAAGAGTTCCTACAAAGGTTTTGGACAGTGATTTTAACCCTAACGCCAAAAACCTTAAACCTTTCCCTAGCCCCAAAACATAATACCCGGGTAATACTTTCAGGAAGCCCGAACACTCCAAATATATATATTTTTTTTTTCTTTTTTTTTTCGTCTATCTAACTGCAAAAGGTTGGAAAAGAGTTCTTACAAAGGTTTTGGACAGTTATTTTAACCCTGACGCCAAAAACCTTAAACCTTTACCTAGCCCCATAACCTAATACCCAGGTATTACCTTCAGGAAGCCTGAACACCCCAAATATTTTAATTTTATTTTTCTTTTTTTTTGGTCTTACTCACTCCAAAAGGTTTGAAAAGAGTTCCTAAAAAGGTTTTGGACAGTGATTTTAACCCTAACGCCAAAAAACTTAAACCCTACCCTAGCCCCATAACCTAATACCCGGGTATTACCTTCAGGAAGCCCGAAAACCCCAAATATTTTTTTTTCTTTTTTCATTTTTTTTTTGGTCTAACTAACTCCATAGGGTTGAAAAGAGTTCCTACAAAGGTTTTGGACAGTGATTTTGACCCTAATGCCAAAAACCTTAAACCCTCCCCTAGCCCCATAACCTAATATAATACCTGTGTAACCTTCAGGAGGCCCGAACACCCAAAATACTTTTTTTTTTTCTTTTTTTTTTGGTCTAACTAACTCCAAAAGGTCTGAAACATGTTCCTAAAAAGGTTTTGGACAGTGATTTTAACCCTAACGCCAAAAGCCTTAAACCTTACCCTAGCCCCATATCCATATTACCAGGTATTACCTTTAGGAAGCCCGAAAAACTCAATTTTTTTTTTTTCATTTTACATTTTTTTGGTGTAACTAACTCCAAAAGGTCTGAAACATGTTCCTCAAAAGGTTTTGAACAGTGATTTTAACCCTAACGCCAAAAACCTTCAACCTTACCCTATTCCCGAACCTAATACCCGGGTATTAACTTAAGGAAGCCTTCACACCCCAAACATTTTTTTTTTTCATTTTTTTGTTTTATTTTTTGGTCTAGCTAACTCCTAAAGGTTGGAAAAGAGTTCCTACAAAGGTTTTGGACAGTGATTTTAACCCTAACGCCAAAAACCTTTAACCTTACCCTAGCCCTGTAATATAATATTTACATAATTTACAAACACATAGTCTAAAAGATAGACAGCATAGCATACTAATTTAGCTGAGTCATTAAACTTCCTACCAACACATAATTTTTACACACAGATTGAGCTTGGAGACTTGACTGGGAACATGTGATATGTCGACATGCGCCAGCCAGTGCAAGCCCTTGATCAGCCTACCCCAAACCGCCAAGTCAACTGACGAAAGCAGGGGCTATCACTGTATCTCTTTCCCACACCTAACCAGCCAGTTGCCTTCGGACAGACTTGTCACAATATCATTCCGAGAATAGTCTGAGCCCATGCTCCTTCTGTGCACACAACCTCTCACCCCCGCCCCCCCCTCCCCCCCCTTTCCCCCCCTTTATAGAATCTAAGATCTTCCAGGTTCAAGGGTGAGAGTGAATTCCAAAGAATCCTCCACCTTGGAACCTATACTAACACTACATTCCACAGATAACTAAACAAAAAACATCTAAACCCTAACAGCAATGACGAAAAGATAAATACTTTTCAAGACAAATTAACTCCTGACCCCACCCTGCCCCCCTCCTTTTCTCCCTCTCTCCTGATCTGTACCTCTCTCTCCTATCAGAGGATGAGAACCAGCAGGTGAGGAGAGTCTCAATGGCGAGTCACGGTGGCAAGATCTATCCGGCTGTTAAGCCGTGACGTAGCCGCGTTCTCTTTTTCCACTTCCGGGTCCAGCGAAGTTGTCGTTATAATGCCTCAGTGCTATGTCCCTTGCTGCTTAAACTGATCAGAGACAAAAGCAGCGACTAAACTATCATTCTACATATTTCCTCCCAACAACAAAGACAACAAAATGACTTTATCATTTCTGTATTGTATCCATAGACTGTATACAGTCTATTATCGTATCACAAACACACGGCATCACATCCATTCATTCATTGAATTCAAAGCTTTGCGCACCAAAGCCTCGGGGTGTCTTTGGTTTATCGTTTTACATTTATTGTCCACTTGATGGCGCAATAGAGCAAATGAAGCACGATCATGAAGCTTCGGCCCAGGAGGTGAGTAATTGGATGAAAAGCTTTGATGCTTCATGAGGCTTCATCTCGCCATCACTAAAATTTACGTTAATAACTCTATCCGAGTTGAAAGCTTTAAGTCCCTTTTTAACTCTGAGTGGTTCCCTTCTGAAAAAGGAGGTTATTTTAAAGAGATTCACGGGTTCCGCCATTGTTGTTTTGAATGGAGAGTGAATGGAGGCTGATTCCCCATGGACCCGGAAGCCGCTCCGCTCACAAAATGACGTCACGCTTAACAGCCGGATTCTCTTTCTATCACTCGAATCCCTGCATGAGCAGAATGGTGCCAGACGGACCACCTGCTCCCACCACAATCCTCTGTGACTTTTTGACTCTATCCACTTTTAGAACTTAAAATAGTAATCAATAATCAACTGACCAACTCAGCTCAAACCAAACCCAAAACTCTGCCTAGAGAACTCTCACTTCCACGTTTACATATCTCTTTGTATCTTGTGAGGACCGTGAGGAGAGCAGAGCCTAGATCTAGTCGGGTCGGGGGACTATGTCCCTTGCTCACTCTCCTCACATGGATGGTGAGAGCTGGGGAGCTATGGGATGTTTCATCCGCCACCAAATCCCCCTCACCAATCTTTATTTTCCACCATCTCCACCTCTCCCTTAAACCCCCCTCTCCCTCTTCCCTTCTCTCTCTCTCTCTCTCTCTCACACACACACACACACACACACACACACACACCACTCTCTCTCTCTCTCTCTCTCTCTCTCTCTCTCTCCCCCTCATCTCTCTCCCTCATCTCTCCCCCTCATCTCTCCCCCTCTCTCTAACACCCCCCCTTTCTTATTCCCTCCCCTGCCCCTTTATTTTCACCTTCACAGAGGACAAATAGGTGATCTTCAGCCTAGGCCTACCCCGGCCGGGGGGTAACCCCTGTTGGGTCACCTATATGGAGGATTAAGAGAGACCTGAAGGGGAACCGCCGTGCCCCCTAAATCCTCCCCCTCTAACATCTTTTTAACACTCTAAAATTAGCCAGCTAACCCCACTACAAACAACTTCATCAAAAATTTAAATAATAAATACTTATCAATAACTGACCATCAGTGACACCAGACTAAGTTAGCAAAAAAGAACACACACACACACACGTACAGATTTTCCCTTAGGACATTGATCAGATTTACATTTCTGTCTTTCTTTTAGGGAACTGTTCTCTGTTTTTAAGCTCACTTCTGATTTTTGCTATTTGCTCTTGACACTTCTTTTTTTCCTTTTTTCTTCCCCTTTCCCTTTTGCAATCCACTTTTGTTCTTCTTTTATTTTTTCATTGTTTTATATTATTTTATTTTATTTTAGGGTTCCTGTGCTTTTGTTTTTCTTCCCCCCTCCCCTCTTTTTTCTTAGGAAGGACTGACTCCTGAGGTTCTCATGCCAGGAAAAATGTACCTCCCTCACTCACGGTTTTACCCACAATCCTTTGCTGCAACAGGGAGATTGATTCCCAAGGCTCTCATGCCAGAAAGGAAGTACCTCACTCACTCACGGGCTGTGTCCAAAATGGCCTACTACTCCTACTAAACCCGCCTCTGAATTGAGTAGGCAGTGCGTTCACACTGTACAGTATGTGAATTTTGTGTATGCAAGAAATGCCCGGATGTATACTCAATCGGCTTCGATTTCTGAGTGTGCAACGGAGCTTGCTTCACGTACTGCTTCTGCCCCACAATGCATTGCGCACCTCAGCTGGTAATATGGCCCTCCTTCCCGAGGCTGAAAAGAAATAGATGGCACGTGATTGCAATAATATATATATATAGATAAACAATATTTAGTCAGTATACATTACACAATTTTTATCATTTTATCATATTTTGATCTTTTTACCAGATTTATTTGTATTTTAAATTAGGATTATAGGTAATGTTTTTAACTATTCGTATAAATTGACTTTATTTATTTTAGTGTCTATTAAAGATGTATTTATTACATCAAGTTTGAGCATCTTCTCATCTCTGAATGCATCATCAAAGTGGTCGCTCATATTAAGCACAGACCTCTGATTAATACAAATTATTATTGGTAGAGAGCACATGGTTCAGAATATACAAACGGGGGAGTTTCCAGTTGACAATCTATGTGAGCTTTACTAATTCTTACTTGTGGTTGAAAATCTGATGGTTTCTGAAATGATCATTGTACATGAAAAGGATGTAGTCGGGAAATTATGAATTTGCCAAGGAATAACCGAACGAGGTCATAATAATTATGTTTTGTGTTGGTCATTTTGCAGCCCTCTGCTGCTCATCACACGCCTAGCAGGTGGTGTATAGCATTATCACCATGGATACACAGATGTTTGTGTGATTTTTTCCATCCACTGCCGCCCGGTTTGTGTCGTGTAGATGGTGATGATGAAAACACTTTGCAATAATTTGGAAACGTGAAGGGGGAGCTGCTGCTGCCCGGTGTTTACTGTAAATAGACGCCAACACCCACCAAGCGGACGCTTCGGTCTCCGAAAACGCCGAGACAAATTTACAAACAGCCACTATTTCAAACAACTGGGCTCATAATCGTGATGTAAACACATACTTTCTCGCTAGAAAAATATTATTATTGAATGAATTTATATAATTTGTCCGGAATGCAGTCGTTCTGTGTTGCTTGTGGTAGGACTATTTAAATTTTCCCGGCGCTGCGTCCGGTCGGCACGAAATGCATTCTGGGGTATTTAGTATGTATGTGTGTAAACGCTCGGGCAGCCGCGGCATTCTCAAATCAGCTTTGAGTAGTCAGTAGGCAGTAGCTACTGCTTGAGTAGGTAAGTAGATAGTAGGCAGTATGCCATTTCGGACACAGCCACGGTTTTACCCACAATCCTTTGCTGTAACAGGAAGATTGATTCCTTAGGCTCTCATCCCTCAGAACTAAAATACCCACAATCCCTTGCGATTGCATACAAATTGAATGTAGCAAAACTCAATTTAAAACAATAAACTACATTAAAATTAACTTAAAACAACTTGAAGGTTTAAAATACAACCAAGAGACATCCATTCTGGAATACAAACATCGAGAAGAGAACACAACCATGTCTGAGAGGAACAGCACAAACCATGACTCGAGCCCAACTCTGGGCATGTCTTTCCCTGGGAAAAGCACATTTAAGTGCCGTGCACTAAAGAGCAATTCCTGTTCCTGTAATTGACACAAAGCACTGACCACTGGACCAAGAAGACGGACCACCATCGAGGAAGACGCCGCGGCGCCAACTGAAAGAAGACGCCGCACCTCCATCACTCCAAGCCGCCCACCACCGAGCTTCGACCCGCCGACAGCACCGAGTCCCAGCAAACCTTCCCGCGGAGTGCTGATCTTCTTTCCCCCGCCAAGGACCCCGGACTTAAGACACACCGCTGCCGCCGCGGCTGGACAGCTGGAACCTTTTCCCCCCTGCAACCGATTGTAGACTACTGGAAAAGAAACGCCTCACATCAACAACAACTCAGGACCACTAGGGTAAGTCTACAAAAAACCTCTCAAACACTTCCAAATTACTCTAAATAGTTAGTTTTGTTTGTTGAACTTGACTTTGTGTCCTTTTGAACTTGAGTTTGTGGTGTTTTTGAACTTGAGTTTGTGTCGTGTTTGAAGTTTGTGGCAACTTATGAACTTGAGTTTGTTTGGCTTGATTTTTTGGCAATTGTTGAACTTGAGTCTATGGTTTTTAGTGAACTTTAGTTGGTGGCAATTGTTGAACTTGATTTTGTGGCGTTCGTTGAACTTGAGTTTGTGGTGTTCATTGAACTTGAGTTTGTGGCATATTTGAACTTGAGTTTATAATGTTTTTTGAACTTGAGGTTCTGGTGTTTTCTAACTTAAGTTTGTGGAAATTGTTGAACTTGAGGATCGGGTGTTGCTTGAACTTGACTTGTTGTGTTTGTTGAACTTGAGTTTGTGGTGTTTGTTGAACTTGAGTTTGTGTGGTGTTTTTGAACTTGAGTTTGTGAAGTGTTTGAACTTGAGTTTGTGTTTTTTTTAACCTTGAGGTTGTGGCAATTGTTAAACTTGAGAATCGGGTGGTGGTTGAACTTGAGTTTGTGGTGTTCATTGAACTTGAGTTTGTGGCATATTTGAACTTGAGTTTATCATGTTTTTTGAACTACAGCGTCTGGTGTTTTTGAACTTAAGTTTGTGGAAATTGTTGAACTTGAGGATCGGGTGTTGCTTGAACTTGACTTGTTGTGTTTGTTGAACTTGAGTTTGTGTCGTTTTTGAACTTAAGTTTGTGGCGTGTTTGAACTTGAGTTTGTGGTGTTTTTTGAACTTGAGGTTGTGGAAATTGTTAAACCTGAGAATCGGGTGTTGATTGAACTTGAGTTTGTTTGTTTTTTGAACTTGAGTTTGTGTCGTGTATGAACTTGAGTTTGTGGTGTTTTTTGAATTGAGGTTGTGGCGTGTTTAAACTTGAGTTTGTGTGTTTTTTGAAATGGAGGTTGTAGAAATTGTTAAACTTGAGAATCGGGTGTTGTTTAAACTTGAGTTTGTGATGTTTTTTGAACTTGAGTTTGTGTCGTGTTTGAACTTGAGTTTGTGGTGTTTTTGAACTTGAGGTTGTGGCGTGTTTAAACTTGAGTTTGTGTGTTTTTTGAAATGGAGGTTGTAGAAATTGTTAAACTTGAGAATCGGGTGTTGTTTAAACTTGAGTTTGTGATGTTTTTTGAACTTGAATTTGTGTGTTTTTTTAAATTTGAGTTTGTGGCGTGTTTGAAAATGAGTTTGTGGCGTGTTTGAATTTCAGTTTGTGTGTTTTTTTTCTAAGGTTTGTGGCAATTTATGAACTTGAGTTTGTTGAACTTGAGTTTTTGGTCTTTGTTCAACTTGAGTTTGTGGTTTTTTGTGAACTGTAGTTGGTGGCATCTTTGAACTTGAGTTTGTGGCATTTGTTGAACTTGAGTTTGTGATGTGTTTGAACTTGAGTTTGTGGCATTTGTTGAACTTGAGTTTGTGTCGTGTTTGAACTTGAGTTTGTGGCAATTGTTAAACTTGAGGTTTGGGTGTTGGTTGATCTTGAGTTTGTGTCTTGTTTGAACTTTTGTTTTTGGATTTTTTGAACTAGAGTTTGTATCGTGTTTGAAATTGAGTTTGTGGTGTTTTTGAACTTCAGTTTGTGTGTTTTTTGAACTTCAGTTTGTGGCACTTTTTTAACTTGAGTTTGTTGAACTTTAGTTTTTGGCAATTGTTAAATGTGAGTTTAGGTCATTTGTTGAACTTGAAATTTTGGAATTTGTTGAACTTAAGATTGTGGTGTTTGTTGAACTTGAGTTTGTGTTGTGTTTGAACTTGAGTTTGTGGCGTGTTTGAACTTTAGTATCTGTTGTCTTTGAACTTGAGGTTGTGGCAATTGTTAAACTTGAGGTTTGGGTGTTGGTTGATCTTGAGTTTGCGTCTTGTTTGAACTTTTGTTTTTGGATTTTTTGAACTAGAGTTTGTGTGTTTTTTGAACATAAGTTTGTGGCAACTTATGAACTTGATTATGTTGAAATTAAGTTTGTGGCAAATGTTGCACTTGAGTTTGTGTGTTTTTTTTTACTTGAGTTTGTGTCGTGTTTGCACTCTAGGTTGTGGTGTTTTTGAACTTGAGTTTGTGTGTTTGTTGAACTTGAGTCTATGGTTTTTAGTGAACTTTAGTTGGTGGCAATTGTTGAACTTGATTTTTGAGTTTGTAGCTTGTTTGAATTTGAGGTTGTTGCAATTTTTAAACTTGAGATTTGGGTGTTGGTTGAATTCAAAATTTTCACATTTATTGAACTTGAGTATGTGGTGTTCGTTGAACTTGAGTTTGTGTGTTTTTTGAACTTGAGTATGTGTGTTTGTTGAACTTGAGTTTGTGTTTTTCTAGAACTTGAGTTTTTGACATGTTTTAATTTGAGGTTGTTGCAATTCTTCAACTTGAGATTTGGGTGTTGGTTGAACTTGAAACTGTGACATTTGTTGAACTTGAGTTTGTGGTGTTTGTTGAACTTGAGATTGTATCGTGTTTGAAATTGAGTTTGTGGTGTTTTTGAACTTGAGTTTGTGTGTTTTTTGAACTTCAGTTTGTGGTGTTTTTGAACTTCAGTTTGTGGCACTTTTTTAACTTGAGTTTGTTGAACTTTAGTTTTTGGCAATTGTTAAATGTGAGTTTAGGTCATTTGTTGAACTTGAAATTTTGGAATTTGTTGAACTTAAGATTGTGGTGTTTGTTGAACTTGAGTTTTTGGCAATTGTTGAACTTGAGTTTTTGCGTGTTTTAACTTGAGTTAGTGGTGTTTTTGAACTTGAGGTTTTGGCAAATGTTAAACTTGATATTTGGGTGTTGTTTGAACTTGAGTTTGTGTCGTGTTTGAACTTGAATTTGTGTCGTGTTTGAACTTGAGTTTGTGTTGTGTTTTAACTTGAGGTAGTGGCAATTGTTAAACTTGAGATTTGGGTGTTGGTTGAACTTGAGATTGTGGCTTTTTTTGAATTTGAGTTTGTGGCATGTTTGAACTTGAGTTTCTGTTGTTTTTGAACTTGAGGTTGTGGAAATTGTTAAACTTGAGATTTGGGTGTTGATTGAACTTGAGTTTTTGGTTGTGTTTGAACTTGAGTTTGTGGTGTTTTTTGAAATTGAGTTTGTGGCGTGTTTGAACTTGAATTCGTGGTGTTTTAGAACTTGAGTTTGTGTGTTTGTTGAACTTGAGTTTTTGGCGTGTTTTAACTTGAGTTTGTGGTGTTTTTGAAGTTGAGGTTGTGGCAATTGTAAAACTAGAGATTTGGGTGTTGGTTGAAATTCAGTTTGTGGCCTTATTTGAACTTAAGTTTTTGTCGTGCTTGAACTTGAGTTTGTGGCGTGTTTTTGAACTTGAGTTTGTCTGTTTGTTGAAATTGAGTTTTTGGCGTGTTTGAACTTGAGTTTGTTTTGTTTTTGAACTTGAGGTTTTTGAAATTGTTTAACTTAAGAATTGGGTATTGATTGAACTTAAGTTTTTGTGATTTTTGAACTTGAGTAGTGGTGTTTTTGAACTTGAGTTTGTAGCGTTTGTTGAACTTGAGTTTGTTGCGTGCTTTAACTTGATTTTTTTTGAGGTTTTGGCAACTGTTAAACTTTAGATTTGGGTTGGTTGTACTTGAGTTTCTTTTGTTTTTGAACTTAAGTTTTTGTGATTTTTGAACTTGAGTTTGTGGTGTTTTTGAACTTGAGTTTGTGTGTTTTTCGAACTTAAGTTTGTGGCAATTGTTAATCTTGAGTTTTTGTGATTTTTGAACTTGAGTTTGTGGTGTTTTTGAACTTGAGTTTGTGGCGTGTTTTAACTTGAATTTCTGTTGTTTTTGAACTTGAGTTTGTGGTGTTTTTGAACTTGAGTTTGTGTGTTTTTCGAACTTAAGTTTGTGGCAATTGTTAATCTTGAGTTTTTGTGATTTTTGAACTTGAGTTTGTGGTGTTTTTGAACTTGAGTTTGTGGCGTGTTTTAACTTGAATTTCTGTTGTTTTTGAACTTGAGTTTGTGTCATGTTTGAATTTGAGTTTGTGGTTTTTTTGAACTTGAGTTTGTGTGTTTTTTGAACTTGAGTTTGTGGTGTCTTTGAACTTGAGTTTGTGTTTTTCGAACTTAAGTTTGTGGCAATTGTTAAACTTGAGTTTGTGTGTTTTTTTAACTTGAGTTTGTGGTGTTTTTGAACTTGAGTTTGTGTGTTTTTTTAACTTAAGTTTGTGGCAATTGTTAAATTTGAGATATGGGTGATGGTTGAACTTGAGTTTATGGTGTTTTTGAACTTGAGTTTATGTGTTTGTTTAACTTGAGTTTGTGGCATGTTTTAACTTTAGTTTCTGTTGTTTTTGAACTTGAGGTTGTGGCAATTGTCAAACTTGAGATTTGGGATTAGGTTGAACTATAGTTTGTGTCGTGCTTGAACTTGAGTTTGTGGCTCGTTTTTGAACTTGAGTTTGTCTGTTTGTTGAAATTGAGTTTTTGGCGTGTTTGAACTTGAGTTTGTTTTGTTTTTGAACTTGAGGTTTTTGAAATTGTTTAACTTAAGAATTGGGTATTGATTGAACTTAAGTTTTTGTGATTTTTGAACTTGAGTAGTGGTGTTTTTGAACTTGAGTTTGTAGCGTTTGTTGAACTTGAGTTTGTTGCGTGCTTTAACTTGATTTTTTTTGAGGTTTTGGCAACTGTTAAACTTTAGATTTGGGTTGGTTGTACTTGAGTTTCTTTTGTTTTTGAACTTAAGTTTTTGTGATTTTTGAACTTGAGTTTGTGGTGTTTTTGAACTTGAGTTTGTGTGTTTTTCGAACTTAAGTTTGTGGCAATTGTTAATCTTGAGTTTTTGTGATTTTTGAACTTGAGTTTGTGGTGTTTTTGAACTTGAGTTTGTGGCGTGTTTTAACTTGAATTTCTGTTGTTTTTGAACTTGAGTTTGTGGTGTTTTTGAACTTGAGTTTGTGTGTTTTTCGAACTTAAGTTTGTGGCAATTGTTAATCTTGAGTTTTTGTGATTTTTGAACTTGAGTTTGTGGTGTTTTTGAACTTGAGTTTGTGGCGTGTTTTAACTTGAATTTCTGTTGTTTTTGAACTTGAGTTTGTGGTGTTTTTGAACTTGAGTTTGTGTGTTTTTCGAACTTAAGTTTGTGGCAATTGTTAATCTTGAGTTTTTGTGATTTTTGAACTTGAGTTTGTGGTGTTTTTGAACTTGAGTTTGTGGCGTGTTTTAACTTGAATTTCTGTTGTTTTTGAACTTGAGTTTGTGTCATGTTTGAATTTGAGTTTGTGGTTTTTTTGAACTTGAGTTTGTGTGTTTTTTGAACTTGAGTTTGTGGTGTCTTTGAACTTGAGTTTGTGTTTTTCGAACTTAAGTTTGTGGCAATTGTTAAACTTGAGTTTGTGTGTTTTTTTAACTTGAGTTTGTGGTGTTTTTGAACTTGAGTTTGTGTGTTTTTTTAACTTAAGTTTGTGGCAATTGTTAAATTTGAGATATGGTGATGGTTGAACTTGAGTTTATGGTGTTTTTGAACTTGAGTTTATGTGTTTGTTTAACTTGAGTTTGTGGCATGTTTTAACTTTAGTTTCTGTTGTTTTTGAACTTGAGGTTGTGGCAATTGTCAAACCTGAGATTTGGGATTAGGTTGAACTATAGTTTGTGTCATGTTTGAACTTGAGTTTGTGGTGTGTTTTAACCTCAATTTTTGTTGTTTTTCTAACTTGAGGTTTTGGCAATTGTAAAACTTTAGATTTCAGTTTTGGTTTAACTTAAAACTTTGACATTTGTCGAACTTGTGTATGTGGTGTTCATTGAACTTGAGTTTGTGTCTTGTTTGAACTTGACTTTGTGGTGTTTCTGATCTTGAGTTGGTGGTGTTTTTGAACCTGAGTTTGCGGAAATTGTTGAACTTGAGAATTTGGTGTTTGTTGAACTTGAGTTTGTGTCGTGTTTGCACTTGAGTTTGTGGTGTTTTTGAATTTGATTTTGTTTGTTTTTTGAACTTGAGTTTGTGGTCTTTTTGAACTTGAGTTGGTGGTGTTTTTGAACTTGAGTTTCGTGTTTGAACTTGAGTTTTTGGTGTTTTTTGAACTTGAGTTTGTGTCGTGTTTGCACTTGAGTTTGTGGTGTTTTTGAACTTGAGTTTTTTTGTTTGTTGAACTTGAGTTTGTGTTTTTTTTTTAACTTGAGTTTCGTGTTTGAACTTGAGTTTGTGTTTTTTGTTGAACTTGAGTTTGTGGTGTTTTTGAACTTCAGTATGAGTTTGTTTGTTTATTGAACTATAGTTTGTGGCGTGTTTGGACTTGAGTTTGTGTTATTTTTGAACTTGAGGTTGTGGAAATTGTTAAACTCGCCCTCCTGGAGCCATCATGAAGGCAGAGGTGGCGGGGGTAGAGCAGCAATGAACAGAATCCCCCCGGAACAGGAGCGCTTCAACGGTAGCGGAGCAATTAGCTGGCACAAGGGTGGAGCTGGGGTGGCAGTGTGTTGCTGGTTTGCTGTCAGAGCAGAGGAAGAGGCTGGGTTAGTGCAGTTTTAAATAAGGCACTCTATAGTCAAAGAACCAATAGGAGCTAGGTGTGAATCAGCTGATTATAATCTGGTTGAGGTGGCTACTAGCCATTGGCTTTGGATCAGCGCTTGACATTGTGTCCTGACAGAACTAACGCTATGCTTCATTTCAGTCAGGTACACTGTCAAAATTTTAAGCTTTATTGTGCAAGTTAGATTTGGCGGCATGATTCTGTTCCGGGGTCCCTGCCCTTCCACGCGCTTGTGTGGAAGCCCGAGGCAGAAAGAGCCCCTTCCTGCCCTTCACGAGCCATCATGAAAGGCGATAGCAGGAAGCGCACGCAAGGTTCTGTTCAGGGCCCCCGTTCTCCACGTTGGCAGGGGTGAAAGTGAAAGTTAGTGTGTTTGTTGAACTTTAGTTTATGTTGTGTTTGAACTTGAGTTTTTGGTGTTTTTAAACTTGACTTTGTGTGTTTGTTGAACTTGAGTTTGTGTTGTGTTTGAACTTGAGATTGTGTCATGTTTGCAATTGAGTTTCTGGTGTTTTTGAACTTGAGTTTTTGTTGTGTTTGAACTTGAGTTAGTGTTGTTTGTTGAACTTGAGTTTGTGTCATGTTTGCACTTGAGTTTGTGGTGTTTTTGAACTTGATTTTGTTGGTTTGTTGAACTTGAGTTGGTGGTGTTTCTGAACTTGAGTTGGTGGTGTTTCTGAACTTGAGTTTGTGTTTGAACTTGAGTTTGTGGTTTTTGTTGAACTTGAGTTTGTGTCGTGTTTGAACTTGAGTTTGTGGTGTTTTTGAACTTGAGCTTGTGGTTTTTTTTTAACTTGAGTGTGTGGAATTTGTTGAACTTGAGGTTGTGGCAATTGTTAAACTTTAGTTTCTGTTTTAGTTGAACTTGAGTTTGTGTCATATTTGAACTTGAGTTATTGTGTTTGTTGAACTTAAGTTTGTGTCGTTTTTGAACATGAGTTTTTTTAATGTTTGAACTTGATTTTGTGGTGTTTGTTGAACTTGAGTTTGTGTGGTTATTGAACTTGAGGTTGTGGCAACTGTAAAACTTGAGATTTGGTTGTTGGTTGAACTATAGTTTGTGTCGTGTTTGAACTTTAGTGTGTTCCGTGTTTGAACTTGAGTTTGTGTTGTGTTTGCAATTGAGTTTGTGGTGTTTTTGAACTTGAGTTAGTGTGTTTGTTGAACTTGAGATTGTGTTGTGTTTGAACTTGAGTTTGTGGTGTTTGTTGAACTTGAGTTTGTGTCGTGTTTGCACTTGAGTTTGTGGTGTTTTTGAACGTGAGTTTGTGAAATTTGTTGAACTTGAGTTGGTGGTGTTTCTGAACTTGAGTTTCGCGTTTGAACTTGAGTTTGTGGTTTTTGTTGAACTGAGTTTTGTCGTGTTTGAACTTGAGTTTGTTGTGCATTTGATCTTGAGTTTGTGGTGTTTTTGAACTTGAGGGTGTGGTGTTTTTGAACTTGACTTTGTGTGTTTGTTGAACTTGACTTTGTGTGTTATTTGAACTCTAGTTTGTGTTGTGTTTGAACTTGAGTTTGTTGAACTTGAGTTTGTGTCGTGTTTACAATTGAGTTTCTTGTGTTTTTGAACTTGAGTTTGTGTTGTGTTTGAACTTGAGTTTTTGTGTTTGTTGAACTTTAGTTTGTGTTGTGTTTGAATTTGAGTTTGTGGAATTTGTTGAACTTGAGGTTGTGGCAATTGTTAAACTTGAGTTTGTCTGTTTGTTGAACTTGAGGTTGTGGCAATTGTTAAACTTGAGAGTCAGGTGTTTTTGGTTGAACTTGAGATTGTGTTTTTTTTAACTTTAGTATGTGTTGTGTTTGAACTTGAGTTTGTGGTGTTTTTTAACTTGAGTTTGTTTCGTGTTTGAATTTGAGTTTTTGGCATTTTTTGAACTTGAGTTTGTGTCGTGTTTGAACTTGAGTTTGTGGTGTTTTTGAACTTGAGATGTGTGTTTGTTTAACTTGATTGAGTGTTGTGTTTGAACTCTAGTTTGTGGTGTTTTTTTACTTGAGTTTGTGTCGTGTTTGAACTTGAGTTTGTGGTGTTTTTGAACTTGAGATGTGTGTTTGTTTAACTTGATTGAGTGTTGTGTTTGAACTCTAGTTTGTGGTGTTTTTTTACTTGAGTTTGTTTCGTGTTTGAATTTGAGTTTTGGGCATTTGTTTAACTTTAGTTTGTGTCGTGTTTGAACTTGAGTTTGTGAAGTTTTTGAACTTGAGGGTATGGAATTGCTTGAACTTGAGGTTGTGGCAATTGTTAAACTTGAGTTTGTGTGTTTGTTGAACTTTAGTTTGTGATGTGTTTGAACTTGACTTTGTGTGTTTGTTGAACATGACTTTGTGTTGTGTTTGAACTTGAGTTTGTGGTATTTTTTAACTTGAGTTTGTTTCGTGTTTGAATATGAGTTTTTGGCATTTGTTGAACTTGAGTTTGTGTCGTGTTTGAACTTGAGTTTGTGTGTTTGTTGAACTTGAGGGTGGGGAATTGTTTGAACTTGAGGTTGTGGCAATTGTTAAACTTGAGTTTGTGTGTTTGTTGAACTTGAGTTTGTGTTGTGTTTGAACTTGAGTTTGTGTGTTTGTTGAACTTGAGTTTGTGTTGTGTTTGAACTTGAGTTTGTTTCGTGTTTGAATTTGAGTTTTTGGCATTTGTTGAACTTGAGTTTGTGTCGTTTTTGAACTTGCGTTTGTGGTGTTTTTGAACTTGAGTTTGTGGTGTTTTTTAACTTGAGTTTGTTTCGTGTTTGAATTTGAGTTTTGGGCATTTGTTGAACTTGAGTTTGTGTCGTTTTTGAACTTGCGTTTGTGGTGTTTTTGAACTTGAGGGTGTGGAATTGTTTGGACTTGAGGTTGTAGAAATTGTTAAACTTGAGTTTGTGTTTGTTGAACTTGGGTTTTTGTTACGTTTGAACTTGAATTTGTGGTGTTTTTTGAACTTGAGTCTGTTGTTTTTGAACTTGAGGTTGTGGAAATTGTTAAACTTTAGAATCAGTTGTCTGTTGAACTTGAGTTAGTGTGTTGGTTAAACTTGAGTTTGTGTTGTGTTTGAAATTGAGTTTTTGGTGTTTTTGAACTTTCGTGTTTTTTTTCGTGTTTGAATTTGAATTTGTGGCATTTGTTGAACTTGAGTTTGTGTGTTTGTTGAACTTGAGGTTGTGGCAATTGTTAATCTTGAGATTTTGGTTTGAATGAACTTGAGATTGTGTTGTGTTTGAATTTGAGTTTGTGGAATTTGTTGAACTTGAGGTTGTGGCAATTGTTAAACTTGAGTTTGTCTGTTTGTTGAACTTGAGTTTGTGTCGTGTTTGAACTTAAGTTTGTTTGTTTGTTGAACTTGAGATTGTGGCAATTGTTAAACTTGATATTTGGGTGTTAGTTGAACTTGATTTTGTGTCATGTTTGAACTTGAGTTTGTGTGTTTGTTGAACTTGAGGGTGTGGAATTTTTTTAAACTTGAGGTTTTGGCAATTGTTTATTTTGAGTTTGTGTGTTTGTTGAACTTGAGTTTGTGTCATGTTTGAACTTGAATTTGTGTGTTTGTTGAACTTGAGTTTATGTTGTGTTTGAACTTGAGTTTGTGGAGTTTTTGAACTTGAGTTTTTGTGTTTGTTGAACTTTAGTTTGTGTTGTGTTTGAATTTGAGTTTGTGGAATTTGTTGAACTTGAGGTTGTGGCAATTGTTAAACTTGAGTTTGTCTGTTTGTTGAACTTGAGTTTGTGTCGTGTTTGAACTTAAGTTTGTTTGTTTGTTGAACTTGAGATTGTGGCAATTGTTAAACTTGAGATTTGGTGTTAGTTGAACTTGAGTTTGTGTCATGTTTGAACTTGAGTTTGTGTGTTTGTTGAACTTGAGGGTGTGGAATTTATTAAACTTGAGGTTTTGGCAATTGTTTATTTTGAGTTTGTGTGTTTGTTGAACTTGAGTTTGTGTCATGTTTGAACTTGAATTTGTGTGTTTGTTGAACTTGAGTTTATGTTGTGTTTGAACTTGAGTTTGTGGAGTTTTTGAACTTGAGTTTTTGTGTTTGTTGAACTTTAGTTTGTGTTGTGTTTGAACTTGAGTTCATGGTGTTTTTGAGATTGAGTTTGTGTCGTGTTTGAACTTGAGTTTTGAACTCATGTTTTAAACATGAGAATTGGGTATTGGTTGAATTTGGGTTTTTGTTCTTTTTGAACTTGAGTTTGTGTGTTTGTTGAACTTGAGGTTGTGGCAATTGTTAAACTTGAGATTTGGGTGTTGGTTGAACTTGAGTTTGTGTCGTGTTTGAACTTGCGTTCGTGTTTTTTTTTTACTTGAGTTTGTGTGTTTTTTGAACTTGAGGCTGTGAAAATTTTTAAACTGGATTATCAGGTGTTGGTTGAACTTGAGTTTTTGGTTTTGTTGAACTTGAGTTTGTGTCTTGTTTTAACTTATGTTTGTGGGTTTTTTGAACTTGAGGTTGTGAAAATTGTTAAACTTGAGAATTGGGTATTGGTGGAACTTGAGTTTTTGGTGTTTTTTAAATTGAGTTTGTTTCGTGTTTGAACTTGAGTTTGTGGCGTTTGTTGATCCTGAGTTTGTGTCGTGTTTGAACTTGAGTTTGTGGCGTGTTTGAACTTGAGTTTTTGTGTTTGTTTAACTTGAGGTTGTGGCAATTTTTAAACTTAATATTGGGTCTTAACCCTAACGCCAAAAACCTTAAACCTTACCATAGCCCAATAACCTAATACCCGGGTATTACCTTCTGGAAGATCAAACACCCTAAAAATTTCTTTTTCATTTTTCATTTTTTTTTATCTAACTAACTCCAAAAGGTCTGAAACATGTTCCTCAAAAGGTTATGGACAGTGATTTTAACCCTAACGCCAAAAACCTTAAACCTTACCCTAGCCCCATGACCTAATACCCGGGTATTACCTTCAGGAAGCCCGAAAACCCCAAATATTTTTTTTTCATTTTTCGTTTTTTTTTTTGGTCTAACTAACTCCAAAAGGTTGGAAAAGAGTTCCTACAAAGGTTTTGGACAGTGATTTTAAACCTAACGCCAAAAACCTTAAACCTTACCATAGCCCCATAACCTAATTCCCGGGTATTACCTTCAGGAAGCCCGAACACCCCAAATATTTTTTTTTCATTTTACATTTTTGACGGTGTAACCAACTCCAAAAGGTTGGAAAATAGTTCCTACTAAGGTTTTGGACAGTGATTTTAACCCTAACGCCAAAAACCTTAAACCTTTCCCTAGCCCCAAAACTTAATACCCGGGTATTATTTTCAGGCAGACCGAAAACCCCAAATATTTTTTTTTCTTTTTTCATTTTTTTTGGTCTTACTAACTCCAAAAGGTTGGAATAGAGTTCCTACAAAGCTTTTTCGACAGTGATTTTAACCCTAACGCCAAAAACCTTAAACCTTTCCCTAGCCCCAAAACCTAATACCCGGGTATTACTTTCAGGAAGCCCGAAAACCCCCAATATTTCTTTTTCTTTTTTCATTTTTTTTGGTCTAACTAACTCCAAAAGGTTGAAAAGAGTTCCTACAAAGGTTTTGGACAGTGATTTTAACCCTAACGCCAAAAACCTTAAACCTTACAATAGCCCCATAACCTAATACCCGGGTATTACCTTCAGGAAGCCCGAAAACCCGAAATATTTTTTTTTCATTTTTCATTTTTTTTTGTCTAACTAGCTCAAAAAAATTGGAAAAGAGTTCCTACAAAGGTTTTGGACAGTGATTTTAACCCTAACGCCAAAAACCTTAAACCTTACCATAGCCCCATAACCTAATACCTGGGTATTACCTTCAGGAAGCCCGAAAACCCCAAATATCTTTTTTTTCTTTTTTCATTTTTTATTGGTCTAACTAACTCCAAAAGGTTGGAAAAAGAGTTCCTACAAAGGTTTTGGACAGTGATTTTAACCCTAATGCCAAAAACCTTTAACCTTACCATAGCCCCATAACCTAATACTTGGGTATTACTTTTAGGAAGCCTGAACACCCCAAATATTTTTTTTTCATTTTTCATTTTTCTTTTTTTTTGGTCTAACTAACTCCAAAAGATTGGAAAAGAGTTCTTACAATGGTTTTGGACAGTGATTTTAACCCTAAAGCCAAAAAACTTAAACCTTACCCTATCCCCAAAACCTAATACCCGGGATATTACCTTCAGGAAGCCCGAACCCCAATATTTTTTTCTTCATTTTACATTTTTTTTGGTGTAACCAACTCCAAAAGGTTGGAATAGAGTTCCTACAAAGGTTTTGGACAGTGATTTTAAACCTAACGCCAAAAACCTTAAACCTTACCTTATCCCCATAACCTAATACCCGGGTATTACCTTCAGGAAGCCCAAAAACCCCAAATGTTTTTTTTCTTCATTTAAAATTTTTGTTGGTGTAACCAACTCCAAAAGGTTGGAAAAGAGTTCCTACAAGGGCTTTGGACAGTGATTTTAACCCTAATGCCAAAAAACTTAAACCTTACCCTATCCCCAAAACCTAATACCCGGGTATTACCCTCAGGAAGCCCAAACCCCAAATATTTTTTTCTTCATTTTACATTTTTGTTGGTGTAACCAACTCCAAAAGGTTGGAATAGAGTTCCTACAAAGGTTTTGGACAGTGATTTTAAACCTAACGCCAAAAACCTTAAACCTTACCTTATCCCCATAACCTAATACCCGGGTATTACCTTCACGAAGCCCGAAAACCCCAAATGTTTTTTTTCTTTTTTCATTTTTTATTGGTCTAACTAACTCCAAAAGATTGGAAAAGAGTTCTTACAATGGTTTTGGACAGTGATTTTAACCCTAAAGCCAAAAACCTTAAACCTTTCCGTAGCCCCAAAACCTAATACCCGGGTATTACTTTCAGGAAGCCCGAAAACCCCAAATATTTTTTTTTCTTTTTTCATTTTTTTTGGTCTTACTAACTCCAAAAGGTTGGAATAGAGTTCCTACAAAGCTTTTTCGACAGTGATTTTAACCCTAACGCCAAAAACCTTAAACCTTTTTCTAGCCCCAAAACTTAATACTCGGGTATTACTTCCAGGAAGCCCGAAAACCCCAAATATCTTTTTTTTCTTTTTTCATTTTTTATTGGTCTAACTAACTCCAAAAGGTTGGAAAAGAGTTCCTACAAAAGGTTTTGGACAGTGATTTTAACCCTAACGCCAAAAACCTTAAACCTTACCATAGCCCCATAACCTAATACCTGAGTATTACTTTTAGGAAGCCTGAACACCCCAAATATATTTTTTTCATTTTTCTTTTTTTTTGGTCTAACTAACTCCAAAAGATTGGAAAAGAGTTCTTACAATGGTTTTGGACAGTGATTTTAACCCTAAAGCCAAAAAACCTTAAACCTTACCCTATCCCCAAAACCTAATACCCGGGTATTACCTTCAGGAAGCCCGAAAACCCCAAATATTTTTTTTTCTTTTTTCATTTTAAATTTTTGTTGGTGTAACCAACTCCAAAAGGTTGGAAAAGAGTTCCTACAAAGGTTTTGGACAGTGATTTTAAACCTAACGCCAAAAACCTTAAACCTTACCTTATCCCCATAACCTAATACCCGGGTATTACCTTCACGAAGCCCGAAAACCCCAAATGTTTTTTTTCTTCATTTAAAATTTTTGTTGGTGTAACCAACTCCAAAAGGTTGGAAAAGAGTTCCTACAAGGGCTTTGGACAGTGATTTTAACCCTAATGCCAAAAAACTTAAACCTTACCCTATCCCCAAAACCTAATACCCGGGTATTACCCTCAGGAAGCCCAAACCCCAAATATTTTTTTCTTCATTTTACATTTTTGTTGGTGTAACCAACTCCAAAAGGTTGGAATAGAGTTCCTACAAAGGTTTTGGACAGTGATTTTAAACCTAACGCCAAAAACCTTAAACCTTACCTTATCCCCATAACCTAATACCAAAAACCTTAAACCTTACCTTATCCCCATAACCTAATACCCGGGTATTACCTTCACGAAGCCCGAAAACCCCAAATGTTTTTTTTCTTTTTTCATTTTTTATTGGTCTAACTAACTCCAAAATATTGGAAAAGAGTTCTTACAATGGTTTTGAACAGTGATTTTAACCCTAAAGCCAAAAACCTTAAACCTTTCCGTAGCCCCAAAACCTAATACCCGGGTATTACTTTCAGGAAGCCCGAAAACCCCCAATATTTCTTTTTCTTTTTTCATTTTTTTTTGGTCTAACTAACTCCAAAAGGTTGGAAAAGAGTTCCTACAAAGGTTTTGGACAGTGATTTTAACCCTAACGCCAAAAACCTTAAACCTTACCATAGCCCCATAACCTAATACCTGGGTATTACCTTCAGGAAGCCCGAAAACCCCAAATATTTTTTTTTCATTTTTCTTTTTTTTTTGTTCTAACTAACTCCAAAAGGTTGGAAAAGAGTTCCTACAAAGGTTTTGGACAGTGATTTTAACCCTAACGCCAAAAACCTTAAACCTTACCATAGCCCCATAACCTAATACCCGGGTATTACCTTCAGGAAGCCCGAAAACCCCAAATATTTTTTTTTCATTTTTCATTTTTTTTTTGTCTAACTAGCTCAAAAAAATTTGAAAAGAGTTCCTACAAAGGTTTTGGACAGTGATTTTAACACTAACGCCAAAAAACTTAAACCTTTCCCTTACCCGAAAACTCAAAACCCGGGTATTACTTTCAGGAAGCCCGAAAACCCCAAATATCTTTTTTTTTTTTTTCATTTTTTATTGGTCTAACTAACTCCAAAAGGTTGGAAAAGAAATCCTACAAAGGTTTTGGACAGTGATTTTAACCCTAAAGCCAAAAAACCTAAACCTTTCCCTAACCCGAAAACTTAATACCCGGGTATTACTTTTAGGAAGCCCGAAAACCCCCAATATTTCCTTTTCTTTTTTCATTTTTTTTTTGGTCTAACTAACTCCAAAAGGTTGGAAAAGAGTTCCTACAAAGTTTTTGGACAGTGATTTTAACCCTAAAGCCAAAAAACTTAAACCTTACCCTAGCCTTAAAATCTTATTACATTCAGGAAGCCCGAAAACCCCAAATATTTTTTCTTCATTTTTCTTTTTTTTTTTTGGTCTAACTAACTCCAAAAGGTTGGAAAAGAGTTCCTACAAAGGTTTTGGACAGTGATTTTAACCCTTACGCCAAAAAACTTAAATCTTACCCTAGCCTTAAAATCTAATACCCGGGTATTACCTTCAGGAAGCCCGAAAACCAAAAAACCCCAAATATTTTTTTTTCTTTTTTCATTTTTTTATGGTCTAACTAACTCCAAAAGGTATGAAAGGAGTTCCTACAAATGTTTTGGACAGTGATTTTAACCCTAACGCCAAAAACCTTAAACCTTACCACAGCCCCAAATCCTAATACCCGGGTATTACCTTCAGGAAGCCTTGAAAACTCTAAATATTTATTTTTTTCATTTTTCTTTTTTTTTTTTTTGGTCTAACTAGCTCCAAAAAATTGGAAACGAGTTCCTACAAAGGTTTTGGACAGTGATTTTAACCCAAACACCAAAAACCTTAAACCTTACCATAGCCCCATAACCTAATACCCGGGTATTACTATTAGGAAGCCTGAAAACCCCAAATATTTTTTTTTCATTTTACATTTTTGTTGGTGTAACCAACTCCAAAAGGTTGGAAAAGAGTTCCTACAAAGGTTTTGGACAGTGATTTTAACCCTATAGCCAAAAACCTTAAACCTTATCATAGCCCCACAACCTAATACCCGTGTATTACTTTTAGGAAGCCTGAACACCCCAAATATTTTTTTTTCATTTTTCATTTTTTTTGGTGTAACTAACTCCAAAAGGTTGGAAAAGAGTTCCTACAAAGGTTTTGGACAGTGATTTTAACCCTAATGCCAAAAACCTTAAACCTTACCCTAGCCTTAAAATCTAATTCCCGGGTATTACCTTCAGGAACTCCGAAAACCCCAAAGATTTTTTTTTCATTTTTCATTTTTTTTTTGGTCTAACTAACTCCAAAAGGTATGAAAAGAGTTCCTAAAAATGTTTTGGACAGTGATTTTAACCCTAACGCCAAAAAACTTAAACCTTTCCGTAGCCAAATAACCTAATACCTGGGTATTACTTTCAGGAAGCCTGAACACTCCAAATATTTTTTTTCATTTTTCGTTTTTTTTTGGTCTAACTAACTTCAAAAGGTTGGAAAAGAGTTCCTACAAAGGTTTTGGACAGTGATTTTAACCCTAATGCCAAAAACCTATAACCTAACCATAGCCCCATAACCTAATACCCGGGTATTACTTTTAGGAAGCCCGAACACCCCAAATATTTTTTTTTCATTTTTCCTTTTTTTTTGTTCTAACTAACTCCAAAAGGTTGGAAAAGAGTTCCTACAAAGTTTTTGGACAGTGATTTTAACCCTAAAGCCAAAAAACTTAAACCTTACCCTAGCCTTAAAATCTTATTACATTCAGGAAGCCCGAAAACCCCAAATATTTTTTCTTAATTTTTCTTTTTTTTTTTGGTCTAACTAACTCCAAAAGGTTGGAAAAGAGTTCCTACAAAGGTTTTGGACAGTGATTTTAACCCTAACGCCAAAAACCTTAAACCTTACCACAGCCCCAAATCCTAATACCCGGGTATTACCTTCAGGAAGCCTTGAAAACTCTAAATATATATTTTTTTCATTTTTCCTTTTTTTTTTTGGTCTAACTAGCTCCAAAAAATTGGAAAAGAGTTCCTACAAAGGTTTTGGACAGTGATTTTAACCCTAATGCCAAAAACCTTAATCCTTACCATAGCCCCATAACCTAATACCCGGGTATTACTATTAGGAAGCCTGAAAACCCCAAATATTTTTTTTTCATTTTACATTTTTGTTGGTGTAACCAACTCCAAAAGGTTGGAAAAGAGTTCCTACAAAGGTTTTGGACAGTGATTTTAACCCTAACGCCAAAACCCTTAAACCTTTCCCTAGTCCCAAAACCTAATACACGGGTATTACTTTCAGGGAGCCCGAAAACCCCCAATAATACTTTTTTCTTTTTTCATATTTTTTGGTCTAACTAACTCCAAAAGGTTGGAAAAGAGTTCCTACAAAGGTTTTGGACAGTGATTTTAACCCTAACGCCAAAAACCTTAAACCTTACCCTAGCCTTAAAATCTAATTCCCGGGTATTACCTTCAGGAACTCCGAAAACCCCTAAGATTTTTTTTTCATTTTTCATTTTTTTTTTGGTCTAACTAACTCCAAAAGGTATGAAAAGAGTTCCTACAAATGTTTTGGACAGTGATTTTAACCCTAACGCCAAAAAACTTAAACCTTACCATAGCCCAATAACCTTATACCTGGGTATTACTTTCAGGAAGCCTGAACACTCCAAATATTTTTTTTCATTTTTCGTTTTTTTTTGGTCTAACTAACTCCAAAAGGTTGGAAAAGAGTTCCTACAAAGGTTTTGGACAGTGATTTTAACCCTAATGCCAAAAACCTTAAACCTTACCATAGCCCCATAACCTAATACCCGGGTATTACTATTAGGAAGCCTGAAAACCCCAAATATATATTTTTTTCATTTTACATTTTTGTTGGTGTAACCAACTCCAAAAGGTTGGAAAAGAGTTCCTACAAAGGTTTTGGACAGTGATTTTAACCCTAATGCCAAAAACCTTAAACCTTATCATAGCCCCATAACCTAATACCCGTGTATTACTTTTAGGAAGCCTGAACACCCCAAATATTTTTTTTTCATTTTTCTTTTTTTTTTGGTCTTACTAACTCCAAAAGGTTGGAAAAGAGTTCCTACAAAGGTTTTGGACAGTGATTTTAACCCTAATGCCAAAAACCTTAAACCTTACCCTAGCCTTAAAATCTAATTCCCGGGTATTACCTTCAGGAACTCCGAACACCCCAAATATTTTTTTTTCATTTTTCATTTTTTTTTTGGTCTAACTAACTCCAAAAGGTATGAAAAGAGTTCCTACAAATGTTTTGGACAGTGATTTTAACCCTAACGCCAAAAAACTTAAACCTTACCATAGCCCAATAACCTTATACCTGGGTATTACTTTCAGGAAGCCTGAACACTCCAAATATTTTTTTTCATTTTTCGTTTTTTTTTTGGTCTAACTAACTCCAAAAGGTTGGAAAAGAGTTCCTACAAAGGTTTTGGACAGTGATTTTAACCCTAATGCCAAAAACCTATAACCTAACCATAGCCCCATAACCTAATACCCGGGTATTACTTTTAGGAAGCCCGAACACCCCAAATATTTTTTTTTCATTTTTCTTTTTTTTTTGTTCTAACTAGCTCCAAAAAATTGGAAAAGAGTTCCAACAAAGGTTTTGGACAGTGATTTTTAACCTAATGCCAAAAACCTTAAACCTTACCATAGCCCCATAACCTAATACCCGGGTATTACATTCAGGAAGCCCGAAAACCCCAAATATTTTTTTTTCATTTTACATTTTTGTTGGTGTAACCAACTCCAAAAGGTTGGAATAGAGTTCCTACAAAGGTTCTGGACAGTGATTTTAACCCTAACGCCAAAAACCTTAAACCTAGCCCCAAAACCTAATACCCGGGTATTACTTTCAGGAAGCCCGAAAACCCCCAATATTTTTTTTTCTTTTTTCATTTTTTTATGGTCTAACTAACTCCAAAAGGTATGAAAAGAGTTCCTAAAAATGTTTTGGACAGTGATTTTAACCCTAACGCCAAAAAACTTAAACCTTACCGTAGCCAAATAACCTTATACCTGGGTATTACATTAAGGAAGCCCGGAAAACGCCAAAATTTTTTTTTCATTTTCCATTCTTTTTTTGGTCTAACTAACTCCAAAAGGTTGGAAAAGAGTTCCTACAAAGGTTTTGGAGAGTGATTTTAAACCTAACGCCAAAACGTTAAACCTTACCATAGCCCCACAACCTAATACCCGGGTATTACTTCTAGGAAGCCTGAACACCCCAAATATTTTTTTTTCATTTTTCTTATTTTTTTGGTCTAACCAACTCAAAAAGGTTGGAAAAGAGTTCCTACAAAGGTTTTGGACAGTGATTTTAACCCTAATGCCAAAAAACTTAAACCTTACCCTGGCCTTAAAATCTAATACCCGGGTAATTACATTCAGGAAGCCCGAAAACCCCAAATATTTTTTTTTTCATTTTTCATCCTTTTTTTTGTCTAACTAACTCCAAAACGTTGGAAAAGAGTTCCTACAAAGGTTTTGGACAGTGAGTTTAACCCTAACGCCAAAAACCTTAAACCTTACCATAGCCCCATAACCTAATTATTTCCTTCAGGAAGCCCGAACACCCCAAATTTCTTTTTTTCATTTTTCATTTTTTTTGTTCTAACTAACTCCAAAAGGTTGGAAAAGAGTTCCTACAAAGGTTTTGGACAGTGATTTTAACCCTAACGCCAAAAACCTTAAACCTTTCCCTAGTCCCAAAACCTAATACCCGGGTATTACTTTCAGGGAGCCTGAAAACCCCCAATTATTTTTTTTTTCTTTTTTCATTTTTTTTGGTCTAACTAACTCCAAAAGGTTGGAAAAGAGTTCCTACAAAGGTTTTGTACAGTGATTTTAACCCTAACCCCAAAAACCTTAAACCTTACCCTAGCCTTAAAATCTAATACCCGGGTATTACCTTCAGGAAGCCCGAAAACCCCAAATATTTTTTTCTTCATTTTACATTTTTGTTGGTGAAACCAACTCCAAAAGGTTAGAAAAGAGTTCCTACAAAGGTTTTGGACAGTAATTTTAACCCTAACGCCAAAAACCTCAAACCTTACCATAGCCCCATAACCTAATACCCGGGTATTACTTTTAGGAAGCCTGAAAACCCCAAATATTTTTTTTTTCATTTTTCATTTTTTTTGGTCTAACTTAATCCAAAAGGTTGGAAAAGAGTTCCTACAAAGGTTTTGGACAGTGATTTTAACCCTAACGCCAAAAAACTTAAACCTTACCCTAGCCTTAAAATGTAATACCGGGGTATTACCTTCAGGAAGCCCGAAAACCCCAAATATTTTTTTTTTCATTTTTCATTTTTTTTGGTCTAACTAACTCCAAAAGGTTGGAAAAGAGTTCCTACAAAGGTTTTGGACAGTGATTTTAACCCTAACGCCAAAAACCTTAAACCTTACCATAGCCCCATAACCTAATACCCGGGTATTACTTTTAGGAAGCCTGAACACCCCAAATATTTTTTTTTTCATTTTTCATTTTTTTTGGTCTAACTAAATCCAAAAGGTTGGAAAAGAGTTCCTACAAAGGTTTTGGACAGTGATTTTAACCCTAACGCCAAAAACCTTAAACCTTACCCTAGCCCCAAAACCTAATACCCGGGTATTACCTTCAGGAAGCCCGAAAACCCCAAATATTTTTTTTTCATTTTTCATTTTTTTTTAGTCTAACCAACTCCAAAAGGTTGGAAAAGAGTTCCTACAAAGGTTTTGGACAGGGATTTTAACCCTTATGCCAAAAACCTTAAACCTTACCCTTGCCACAAAACCTAATACCCGGGTATTACTTTTAGGAAGCCTGAACTCCCCAAATATTGTTTTTTCATTTTTCTTTTTTTTTGGTTAACTAACTCCAAAAGGTAGGAAAAGAGTTCCTACAAAGGTTTTGAACAGTGATTTTAACCCTAACGCCAAAAAACTTAAACCTTTCCCTAGTCCCAAAACCTAATACCCGGGTATTACTTTTAGGGAGCCCGAAAACCCCCAATAATTTTTTTTTTCTTTTTTCATTTTTTTTGGTCTAACTAACTCCAAAAGGTTGGAAAAGAGTTCCTACAAAGGTTTTGGACAGTGATTTGAACCCTAACGCCAAAAATCTTAAACCTTACCCTAGCCTTAAAATCTAATATCCGGGTATTACCTTCAGGAAGCCTGAACACCCCAAATATTTTTTTTCTTCATTTTACATTTTTGTTTGTGTAACCAACTCCAAAAGGTTGGAAAAGAGTTCCTACAAAGGTTTTGGACAGTGATTTTAACCCTAACGCCAAAAACCTTTAAACTTACCATAGCCCCATAACCTAATTCCCGGGTATTACCTTCAGGAAGCCTGAACACCCCAAATATATTTTTTTTCAATTTTCTTTTTTTTTTTGGTCTAACCAACTCACAAAGGTTGGAAAAGAGTTCCTACAACGGTTTTGGACAGTGATTTAAACCCTAACGCCAAAAAACTTAAACCTTACCATAGCCCCATAACGTAATACCCGGGTATTACATTCAGTAAGCCCTTAAACCCCAAATATATATTTTTTTCATTTTTCATTATTTTTTGGTCTAACTCCAAAAGGTTGGAAAAGAGTTCCTACAAAGGTTTTGGACAGTGATTTAACCCTAACGCCAAAAACCTTAAACCTTACCATAGTCCCATAACCTAATACCCGGGTATTACTTTTAGGAAGCCTGAACACCCCAAATATTCTTTTTTCATTTTTCATTTTTTTTTGGTCTTACTAACTCCAAAAGGTTGGAAAGTGTTCCTACAAAGGTTTTGGACAGTGATTTTAACCCTAATACCAAAAAACTTAAACCTTACCCTGGCCTTAAAATCTAATACCCGGGTATTACATTCAGGAAGCCCGGAAACCCCAAATATATTTTTTTTCATTTTTCATTCTTTTTTTGGTCTATCTAACTCCAAAAGGTTGGAAAAGAGTTCCTACAAAGGTTTTGGACAGTGATTTTAAACCTAACGCCAAAACCTTAAACCTTACCATAGCCCCATAACCTAATACCCGGGTATTACCTTCAGGAAGCCCGAACACCCCAAATATATTTTTTTTTCATTTTACATTTTTTTTGTTGTAACCAACTCCAAAAGGTTGGAAAAGAGTTCCTACAAAGGTTTTGGACAGTGATTTTAACCCAAACGCCAAAAACCTTAAACCTTACCATAGCCCCATAACCTAGTACCCAGGTATTACTTTAAGGGAGCCTGAACACCCCAAATTTTTTTTTTTCATTTTTCTTTTTTTTTTGGTCTAACTAACTCCAAAAGGTTGGAAAAGAGTTCCTACAAAGGTTTTGGACAGTGATTTTAACCCTAACGCCAAAAAACTTAAACCTTACCCTAGCCTTAAAATCTAATACCCGGGTATTACATTCAGGAAGCCTAAACACCCCAAATATTTTTTTTTCATTTTTCTTTTTTTTTTGGTCTAACTAACTCCAAAAGGTTGGAAAAAAGTTCCTACAAAGGTTTTGGACAGTGATTTGAACCCTAACGCCAAAAAACTTAAACCTTACCCTAGCCTTAAAATCTAATACCCAGGTATTACATTCAGGAAGCCCGTAAACCCCAAATATATATTTTTTTATTTTTCATTTTTTTTGGTCTTACTAACTCCAAAAGGTTGGAAAAGAGTTCCTACAAAGGTTTTGGACAGTGATTTTAATCCTAACGCCAAAAAACTTAAACCTTACCATAGCCCCATAACCTAATACCCGGGTATTACTTTTAGGAAGCCTGAACACCCCAAATATTTTTTTTTTCATTTTACATTTTTGTTGGTGTAACTAACTCCAAAAGGTTCGAAAAGAGTTCCTACAAAGGTTTTGGACAGTGATTTTAACCCTAACGCCAAAAAACTTAAACCTTACCATAGCCCCATAACCTAATACCGGGGTATTACTTTTAGGAAGCCTGAACACCCCAAATATTTTTTTTTTCATTTTTCATTTTTTTTTTTTGGTCTAAGTAACTCCAAAAGGTTGGAAAAGAGTTCCTACAAAGGTTTTGGACAGTGATTTTAACCCTAACGCCAAAAACTTTAAACCTTACCATAGCCCCATAACCTAATACCCGGGTATTACTTTTAGGAAGCCAGAACACCCCAAATATTTTTTTTTCATTTTTCATTTTTTTTTTGGTCTAACTAACTCCAAAAGGTTGGGAAAGAGTTCCTACAAAGGTTTTGGACAGTGATTTTAACCCTAACGCCAAAAACCTTAAACCTTACCATAGCCCCAAAACCTAATACCGGGGTATTACTTTTAGGAAGCCTGAACACCCCAAATATTTTTTTTTCATTTTTCATTTTTTTTTGGTCTAACTAACTCCAAAAGGTTAGAAAAGAGTTCCTACAAAGGTTTTGGACAGTGATTTTAACCCTAACGCCAAAAACCTTAAACTTTTCCCTAGTCCCAAAACCTAATACCCGGGTATTACTTTCAGGGAGCCCGAAAACCCCCAATAATTTTTTTTTCTTTTTTCATTTTTTTTTTGGTCTAAGTAACTCCAAAAGTTTGGAAAAGAGTTCCTACAAAGGTTTTGGACAGTGATTTTAACCCTAACGCCATTAAGCTTAAACCTTACCATAAGCTTTAAATCTAATACCCGGTTATTACCACAGGAAGCCCGAAAACCCCAAATATTTTTTTTTCCTTTTTCATATTTTTTTGGTCTAAGTAACTCCAAAAGGTTGGAAAAGAGTTCCTACAAAGGTTTTGGACAGTGATTTTAAACCTAATGCCAAAAACCTTAAACCATACCATAGCCCCATAACCTAATACCCGGGTATTACCTTCACGAAGCCCGAAAACCCCAAACATTTTTTTTTCATTTTACATTTTTTTTTGGTCTAACTAACTCCAAAAGGTTGGGAAAGAGTTCCTACAAAGGTTTTGGACAGCGATTTTAACCCTAATGCCAAAAACTTTAAACCTTACCATAACCCCATAACCTAATACCCGGGTATTACTTTTAGTAAGCCTGAACACCCCAAATATTTTTTTTTCATTTTTCTTTTTTTTTTTTGGTCTAACTAACTCCAAAAGTTTGGAAAAGAGTTCCTACAAAGGTTTTGGACAGTGATTTTAAACCTAATGCCAAAAACCTTAAACCTTACCATAGCCCCATAACCTAATACCTGGGTATTACCTTCAGGAAGCCCGAACACCCCAAATATTTTTTTTTCCTTTTTCATATTTTTTGGTCTAAGTAACTCCAAAAGGTTGGAAAAGAGTTCCTACAAAGGTTTTGGACAGTGATTTTAACCCTAACGCCAAAAACCTTAAACCTTACCATAGCCCCAAAACCTAATACCGGGGTATTACTTTTAGGAAGCCTGAACACCCCAAATATTTTTTTTTCATTTTTCATTTTTTTTTGGTCTAACTAACTCCAAAAGGTTAGAAAAGAGTTCCTACAAAGGTTTTGGACAGTGATTTTAACCCTAACGCCAAAAACCTTAAACTTTTCCCTAGTCCCAAAACCTAAAACCCGGGTATTACTTTCAGGGAGCCCGAAAACCCCCAATAATTTTTTTTTCTTTTTTCATTTTTTTTTTTGGTCTAAGTAACTCCAAAAGTTTGGAAAAGAGTTCCTACAAAGGTTTTGGACAGTGATTTTAACCCTAACGCCATTAAGCTTAAACCTTACCATAACCTTTAAATCTAATACCCGGGTATTACCACAGGAAGCCCGAAAACCCCAAATATTTTTTTTTCCTTTTTCATATTTTTTTGGTCTAAGTAACTCCAAAAGGTTGGAAAAGAGTTCCTACAAAGGTTTTGGACAGTGATTTTAACCCTAACGCCAAAAACCTTAAACCTTACCATAGCCCCATAACCTAATACCGGGGTATTACTTTTAGGAAGCCCGAAAACCCCAAATATTTGTTTTTCATTTTTCATTTTTTTTTGGTCTAAGTAACTCCAAAAGGTTCGAAAAGAGTTCCTACAAAGGTTTTGGACAGTGATTTTAACCCTAACGCCATAAAACTTAAACCTTACCCTAGCCTTAAAATCTAATACCCGGGTATTACATTCAGGAAGCCCGAAAACCCCAAACATTTTTTTTTCATTTTTCATTTTTTTTTTTGGTCTAACTAACTCCAAAAGGTTGGGAAAGAGTTTCTACAAAGGTTTTGGACAGTCATTTTAAACCTAATGCCAAAAACCTTAAACCTTACCATAGCCCCATAACCTAATACCTGGGTATTACCTTCAGGAAGCCCGAACACCCCAAATATTTTTTTTTCCTTTTTCATATTTTTTGGTCTAAGTAACTCCAAAAGGTTGGAAAAGAGTTCCTACAAAGGTTTTGGACAGTGATTTTAACCCTAACGCCAAAAACCTTAAACTTTTCCCTAGTCCCAAAACCTAATACCCGGGTATTACTTTCAGGAAGCCCGAAAACCCCCAATAATTTTTTTTTCTTTTTTCATTTTTTTTTTTGGTCTAAGTAACTCCAAAAGTTTGGAAAAGAGTTCCTACAAAGGTTTTGGACAGTGATTTTAACCCTAACGCCATTAAGCTTAAACCTTACCATAGCCTTTAAATCTAATACCCGGGTATTACCACAGGAAGCCCGAAAACCCCAAATATTTTTTTTTCCTTTTTCATATTTTTTTGGTCTAAGTAACTCCAAAAGGTTGGAAAAGAGTTCCTACAAAGGTTTTGGACAGTGATTTTAACCCTAACGCCATAAAACTTAAACCTTACCCTAGCCTTAAAATCTAATACCCGGGTATTACATTCAGGAAGCCCGAAAACCCCAAACATTTTTTTTTCATTTTTCATTTTTTTTTTTGGTCTAACTAACTCCAAAAGGTTGGGAAAGAGTTTCTACAAAGGTTTTGGACAGTGATTTTAAACCTAATGCCAAAACGTTAAACCTTACCATAGCCCCATAACCTAATACCCGGGTATTACTTTTAGGAAACCTGAACACTCCAAATGTTTTTTTTTTCATTTTTCATTTTTTTTGGTCTAACTAACTCCAAAAGGTTGGAAAAGAGTTCTTACAAAGGTTTTGGACAGTGATTTTAAACCTAATGCCAAAACGTTAAACCTTACCATAGCCCCATAACCTAATAACCGGGTATTACTTTTAGGAAGCCTGAACACCCCAAATATTTTTTTTTCATTTTTCATTTTTTTTTTGGTCTAAGTAACTTCAAAAGGTTGGAAAAGAGTTCCTACAAATGTTTTGGACAGTGATTTTAACCCTAACGCCATAAAACTTAAACCTTACCATAGCCCCATAACCTAATACCCGGGTATTACTTTTAGGAAGCCTGAACACCCCAAATATTTTTTTTTCATTTTTCTTTTTTTTTGGTCTAACTAACTCCAAAAGGATGGAAAAGAGTTCCTACAAAGGTTTTGGACAGTAATTTTAACCCTAATGCCAAAAAACTTAAACCTTACCCTGGCCTTAAAATCTAATACCCGGGTATTACATTAAGGAAGCCCGGAAACCCCAAATTTTTTTTTTTCATTTTTCATTCTTTTTTTGGTCTAACTAACTCCAAAAGGTTGGAAAGAGTTCCTACAAAGGTTTTGGACAGTGATTTTAAACCTAATGCCAAAACGTTTGTAGTGATTTGAAATGAGCCTCATACGGTCGCACCAAAATATATGTAGCGATTTGAAATGAGCCTCACAAGGCCGCACCAAAATAATACTTGTCGATTGGAATTTATAATAAATGTCTGAAGATTAATAATCTCAAATTATGACATTTATGCACTCGTTGAAAGGGGCACCACCCACCCTTAATGGTGGGAAAATAAAGAAAACAAAAGTTTAATTCAGAAATCAAACATCAAGTCAGTTTTAATTAATCAGTCTTAATTAATCAGTCTTAATTAATCAGTCTCATATCTTAAGTTGAAATTCTAATTTCAGGGACTCCACTTCTGGAAGAACACTAACAGACAGGAACTTAGAAAAATAATGATCTGTTTATTACAGGATAAATGATGGTACAACACACATGCAATAAATGATGATAAGATAATGAAGATAAATAATAATAGGTGAATAAATCAAGATTCTGAGTCAGGCTAGGAGCACTAAAGTTAATGATAGTGAGTGAATATGCGCTAACATATTAACCTACACTAACTTTAGTGTCGAGATAAACTCGGATGTGGATTTGGAGGAATCTAAGATTACCAGAATAAGAGGATATCTGAGTTGAACGCAGGAGACAGCACCAGCCCTCTTTAGAGCTCTGGAGGTTTGCATACTTAAGTGAGACTGGTCCTTGGAGAAGATGGAGCAGGTTCCGAAGGTCCGGGCTACTGGCGGTTCGAGCGGTTCAGCTCAGAAGACGACTGAAGTCAGCCGAAGGATGAGCCCGGAGTTGCAGCACTCAGGCCCGAAGCAAAAACCAGCGCCTGTGGATCCTGTGGATGCTCGTTTGGGTACTTCTTTAGTCTCACTCAAAAACTCTGGCACAGAGGATGACCTGGGCCTGTTGGATTGCGTTCGGAGGTGACTTTGAAATCACGCAGAAAACTCAGAAAAACGAGGCTCGAAGAGCAGAGAAAACTTTCAAAAATGGCTTCGCGAAATTAAAGAAAATCAATCAAAGGCTTAATCTTGAATTGCTATGTGCACAAAAAGTTGAAGTTTCAAAACTTGAACTAAGACGATGTTAAAGAAAAATCAACGTGAATCAACACGTGGCGTAAAACTTAGAAGACTAAGAAAAAGTTCTAAGAGAGAACAAAGAAAAGGAGGACCACAGAAGGGTGTGGACAGAAGAGAAGGGCCCAAGAGTAAGGGGCCTAAGAGCCGGGGACAAGAGAGTCAGCAGAAGAGCAGAAGCATAAGAGAGATAAAAGCATAAGAGAGAGTAAGAGAGTGAGCAACCCCACTCCACTGGTTTTATCTTCTCACACTGGGAGTGTCTGAGGAGAAAGAGGAGGGGTCATCGGGTCTCTGATTATTTGATCTAACTTATTCTTTTGGCTGGTAAAAGAGTCAGATCTGATACTCACTCACTATGATTAATATCATTGAATGCTTGGTTTCATGATAAATAATTTGATACTAAACACATATGAATGAAGTGTAGGATCACATCAAACATTCTCATTATGTTTTAAGTATCACATTGAACATGCTAAATTACTCTGAAATGAAACAGATAGTAACACATAGAAACTGTGAACAACAAAAGAGTAAACACATGTGAATGAACGTCATCATGATTAATAATGGATTCTAAATACTCACATTCAGATTATTCAGTGACATTATAACCACCTAATGGTTAAGATACTAAATAAACGATTAAAATATAGAACAAACATTTCTAAACCATTTCTGTTAATTAGAGCTAAGTTATGAGTCACAATCAATAAATTTAACTCTTAAAAGTTCATGAAACAGTCTGAAAAGCTGTTGGTCTAAAGAACTAAAGAATAAGGATTTATTCTGTCAGATAAGATAACTTGGCTTCTGAAGCACATAGAAAAACGGGAAACATCTCATTTTAACACAAATTTCATGATTAGACAGATTAGTACATTGCTGAATGTATAAGATGTCAGGATCAGTCATTTGTATTCTTTCACCAAAGGAATGTAGTCTTTATCAGTGTATGGTCGAGCAGGGTTTTACGACCGAGGTCTGGAGGTCAGTGTCCCCCCTTTTCCTAGGGTCCGTATGTTCACACACTTTAAGACGCTAAATCTCAAATGGGAGATCTGGGTTGAGGTTAATGTTTATTTAGATGGTCAGCAAATGGAGTCAGTTTGAAAGGTAATAAAAACTCTGTCTCTGTTCTCCGAATTGACCAATCGTGAAGAGTCGGAGGTTTAGTCAACCTCCGGTTGGGTCACTTATTTAACCTGAAAGGGCAAACACGTCTGGAAAGATTTATATCCTGTTTCCTGGGACCAGATAAGGAAACTTTCCTGTAAGGAATGTGTGGGTTTCACATCCAGGGTTGTCTTGATTGCTACAGTCCCCCCTTCGTCACGGTGGTCCTGTCCATGGAGCATCGGGACGACGAGTAGACAACCATGAAGCAGCAGCAGGTGTATGCAAATAGGACTGATGCGTCTCAGCATCACTATGTGAATCACTAGTACTGCTTTGAGATAAAATTAAGCATGTATTAAGCTATCAAATAAAATCGTCTAGTTGTTAGACTTTCTCAGTTAACTATTGGTAGACTAATGTGAAAGAAAATCTCCTAATTTTTAGTATTAATGAGATTTAGAAAAGCACTCTTTAGTCTGAATGCTAACCGGATCTAAAGCTATAGCTGTTTTTCATGCTTGCTGGAGAAGTCTGAAAGTTCAATTTCAGTTTCAAAAATGGTTAAGACTTAGGTGGAAAAGAAATGTCTGCTATAGACATATTAACCATCTGTGTATGAGCATAGTCAACCTGAATCACAAACATCAAAAGTTTACTGCACAGAGTTTCTCTTAAACTTTGTCTGTTAAACTTGGGGATGATGCTCTTATCGGTTTGACTAATTATCTGCTGTTGAGTCTGAAATTTGTCAATCTGAGTCTTAATGACAGAAATTTCAGCTTTTAATCTGTTCATGGGATATTTGACAGCTGACAAGCTGACCATATTGACAGAGGAGAGACAAATGCTAACAAAGAAAGCAGCAACTGGGATTGCAGTCATCAATGTATCACCACAGCATTTGGATATCTTATTGGAGTCATTCAGCTTTGGCTGGGTGACTTCTGCTTTCGCAGGACTCACACCTTCATGACTCCGCAGTGTTAATCTCAGTGGTTAGCTGAGTTGTCATGTTTATTCACCTTCGAAGTGGATGAAACCGATTGAGGTGGATAATAAGATCGTCGTTTCTGAGAGTGTGATTTACTCTGATTCTGCCAGTCATTCACCCCCCTTTGGCGGTGTTGATGGTTTTTCCTTTGTCTGGGATAAAACCCACCGTGACGGGAGTCTGAATAACAACAGTTGGTCTCAAAGTTTACCTGGCGTTGGTCTGTGTCAGAACTGGGCCTTGGTGTGTAACTTTGACCTTTGTGAGTTTGTTGAGGTCGAAAAGGTTTTGGGGGCCTGGTTAACCACTCATTTGGAGGCTTATCGGAGCCTGAAAATACACAGTCTGAAGCTTCATTCAGCTCCATGGGCAGTGATTTTGTCCCCATAGCCAAGAGAGTAACGGGCTCTGCTTTCTTAGCCAAAGTTTGTCGTTGTTTGGCAAAACCTTTTACAGCAAATTCACGAAGCTGTCGGCTAGTCAAAGTGTTTGGACAAGCTAAGACGCCAAGGTGATGACTGGTGGTAGGGTGGAGGTTCTGGACGAACAGCGTTTTGAAGTTCAAGTCCTCCTCCATTTCTGGTTCATTTCGGAAACCAAAGTAAGCTTCGCGTAAGCGGTTGTAATATTGTTGGGGAGATTCTGATCTCCCTTGTTTAATAGACAGAGCAGCAGAGAGGCCTGTCTGGGTCAAATAGTCAGAAAACTCTTCAATTAATGCTTGGCAGAGCAAGTCATAATTATTTCTGACATGAAAAGGCTGCCTTTCAAGGAAACTGCTAACCTCTCGACTTGACGTCGCCTTAATAAGGTAGATTTTGTCATCAATGGTTGCACCTAGAAATTTCCTCAGGTAAAAGTCAATGTCTTTCAAGTAGGTGCAGGTGTCAATAGCAGCTTGGTGCTCAGGTTCAAAGCGTGCTATGTTGCGAGCAATTTTGTCAAGATCCCTGTCTGAGGGAGATGGTAAGAAGCCATCATGAGGAGGAGAGTAGGACTCTTGGTTTAAGGATGACCTCTCAGGGTCAAGCAGGGTCCTGTCATGATGCTGAGAGAGATACTTAAGAGTTGGTTTGGAAGGAAGTGATGGCGCTCTCTCAGGAGGCTGATCACCTGTCATTTCTTCAAGAAACGTTTGCTCCATGCGTTCTCTTTGGGCTCGACCTGACTGGAGGGAGCATTGTAACTCTCTTTGGGCATCTTCAAGTTCTTTGTCTGTCTTTTCTTGCCGTTCTTGACAAAGAATTAACTGTCTTTGAGCTATCTGGAGCTGGTGCTGTAAGGTAGAAGTTTGCTTCTCCTTAACTTCAAGAGCTTCAGCACGCACTTTGACCAGTGCTTTCAAAGTTTTTACATCTTCTGTTGCTTGCTCTAGTAGGGATTCTGACTGTATCAGATCCTCTGTGGTCTTAGCAAGCTGCTTATTCGTGTCATCAAGTTCTTTCTCCTTTTTGTAAAGGGTTTCATTAAGTCTTTCAATCTTGTCTTTAAGATCAAGATTTTCTTCATGACTTATCAGTGAGGGAAGCTTTGACGCTTCACATCTGACACTGTGTTTTCCTAAAACACTTAGAGACTTCTTAGTCTCTTCTAGCGTCTTTTTCAGAGCGCTGTTTTCGTCTTTTTGCGCCTTTATCTTTGCTAAAGCGCATTCCAGCAAGTAGTCTTTATACTCAAGCTGAGAAGACATCATGACAGACATGCATCTAGTGAGCTCTTTGTCTCGAAGTGTCGTGGTTAAGGCTGTTTCCAGTAAGTCAGCCATTTCATCCTCCGGATTGGAGGGTTTGGCCTTTTGAATCTTAGTCATGTACTGAGGTATCAGCTGACTAGTCAAGTTTGCCAACACTGTGGGTATGTCCCTCAGGGGGTCTCCCTGGCTGGACTCTTTTGTGTTAGGCATGTTTGGTTTTGGTAAAGAGGTGCAGCTGGTTGGTTGATGAGTTTGAGTTGACTTAAAATAAAAGGAAGAAGCAAAATATCAAATTAAGTGGGTTAATCGACTTAATTTATCAGTGCTTGATAAAGAGGAAGAGCCTATCTGAGTAGATATCTAATGGAGAGAAAAATAACATAAAGTTAAATTCATTTCAATGAAAATTGAAAACAAAAGGTGAAATAATGTTAAATTAAATTTAACATCAGATACAGAACCATTGAATAAAGGGTTCAGTTTGTCTCCGTGTTGCAGAGATCAGCAAAGCTTAAATAAACTGCCTGGTGCAGTTGGATGAATTGGCAAAATCGATGAAATTGTCAATTTAAGGAATTAACTCTGAAGTTAATTCACAAATTGCAATAAATCCAAAGGTTCGAATACCAAATCTATCTGGAATGTTAAAAGAAATTTGAAATATTAATTAATTTGTTCGTTAATTAATTAATCTTATGAGTCGGGTTAATACATTCATGTATTATAGGGAACAGTAAAACTGCTCACTGGTGTGATAAGTAACAACAGATCAGGTGATTGATTCAAGGAGTTACTTCATCAATACATCAAAATCAATGATCAGTGATTTAGAATAAGCACATCAAACTTCATCAACCAAGTCAATCACTTGAGTTATGTCTGTAGAGTGTTACACACTGACTACAGGGAGGCAGTACAGCTGGCTGATACTGCAGGCAGATAATAGCAGTGTTAGCTCAATACCAAAAACAACCATGTGGGGCAGTATGGAGTTGGGGTAACTGCACAAGCTCAACACAAGTGGAGAAGAAGAAGAGAAGAGGAAACAGTCATCCAACTAGCCTCTTGTGGCTGTGAGGAGTTGGGAAGTCTGAAGGAAGGGGCCTTTAGACTCTGCCTCCTTGAAGGGCCTTATCTGCTTAAGGCCAAAAGGTCAGTCTCTCCACTGACAACAAAGGGTTAACATTTCACAGCAGGCTGCGTCTGCACCCTCAAACATAGAGCTTTACACCATCTGCTCAGGCAGATTGGTTCAATAAAATCATTTACAGGAACAAGAATCAAAGTGACAAATTCTTAAACAGCAGATTCAACTGCAGACTTTAAAATCACAAATGCGGCGATTTGTGATCACAAATTTTGTCTGAATTCATTCAAACAACAACCTCCCACTGTTACAGTGGTTTCCTGTGACAGGTAGTTAATCTGTCAGGGGAAAGGAGGAAATCTGAATCCCATATAGTTACTAGAACTTCGTAGCAGACTATAGAGACAAGAATCAAAGTGACAAATCCCTCAACAGCAGATTCAACTGCAGACTTTAAAATCACAAATGCGGCGATTTGTGAACACAAATTTTGTCTGAATTCAATCAAACAACAACCTCCCACTGTTACAGTGGTTTCCTGTGACAGGTAGCTAATCTGTCAGGGGAAAGGAGGAAATCTGAATCCCATATAGTTACTAGAACCTCGTAGCAGACTACAGAGACTTCAGGGGCTTGAAACCACAGCTCGGAGCATCGCGAACACTGGGTTCAGCCAAAGGCCTTAAATACAAGCGTAAGGCGACGCCACAATCGTGCACATAAATATTGGACAGTCTAGACAGAGCAGAGGAGTCAGTCTCACTGCTACTCAGAACAACATTTCACGCTGTCCAGCTCAAACACAGACTACAGGCATGTAGTACAAGAGTGTGTGAAACACAGAGCATAAAGGTTTTATGCATAGATCATGAAAACATCAGAACTTAGTCAAGCAACTTCAGCAAGCATAGCATTGATTGTGATTAAGTCTAAAATAGCCTGGAAATAAGTTTCTCGCATCAATTTGGAAGGCTAAGTTTTAGGTTGTCTGTTAGTATCCAGAAGTTTTGTTTGAAACGCCTCACGCAGGGGCACCAAAATATATGTAGTGATTTGAAATGAGCCTCATACGGTCGCACCAAAATATATGTAGCGATTTGAAATGAGCCTCACAAGGCCGCACCAAAATAATACTTGGCGATTGGAATTTATAATAAATGTCTGAAGATTAATAATCTCAAATTATGACATTTATGCACTCGTTGAAAGGGGCACCACCCACCCTTAATGGTGGGAAAATAAAGAAAACAAAAGTTTAATTCAGAAATCAAACATCAAGTCAGTTTTAATTAATCAGTCTTAATTAATCAGTCTTAATTAATCAGTCTCATATCTTAAGTTGAAATTCTAATTTCAGGGACTCCACTTCTGGAAGAACACTAACAGACAGGAACTTAGAAAAATAATGATCTGTTTATTACAGGATAAATGATGGTACAACACACATGCAATAAATGATGATAAGATAATGAAGATAAATAATAATAGGTGAATAAATCAAGATTCTGAGTCAGGCTAGGAGCACTAAAGTTAATGATAGTGAGTGAATATGCGCTAACATATTAACCTACACTAACTTTAGTGTCGAGATAAACTCGGATGTGGATTTGGAGGAATCTAAGATTACCAGAATAAGAGGATATCTGAGTTGAACGCAGGAGACAGCACCAGCCCTCTTTAGAGCTCTGGAGGTTTGCATACTTAAGTGAGACTGGTCCTTGGAGAAGATGGAGCAGGTTCCGAAGGTCCGGGCTACTGGCGGTTCGAGCGGTTCAGCTCAGAAGACGACTGAAGTCAGCCGAAGGATGAGCCCGGAGTTGCAGCACTCAGGCCCGAAGCAAAAACCAGCGCCTGTGGATCCTGTGGATGCTCGTTTGGGTACTTCTTTAGTCTCACTCAAAAACTCTGGCACAGAGGATGACCTGGGCCTGTTGGATTGCGTTCGGAGGTGACTTTGAAATCACGCAGAAAACTCAGAAAAACGAGGCTCGAAGAGCAGAGAAAACTTTCAAAAATGGCTTCGCGAAATTAAAGAAAATCAATCAAAGGCTTAATCTTGAATTGCTATGTGCACAAAAAGTTGAAGTTTCAAAACTTGAACTAAGACGATGTTAAAGAAAAATCAACGTGAATCAACACGTGGCGTAAAACTTAGAAGACTAAGAAAAAGTTCTAAGAGAGAACAAAGAAAAGGAGGACCACAGAAGGGTGTGGACAGAAGAGAAGGGCCCAAGAGTAAGGGGCCTAAGAGCCGGGGACAAGAGAGTCAGCAGAAGAGCAGAAGCATAAGAGAGATAAAAGCATAAGAGAGAGTAAGAGAGTGAGCAACCCCACTCCACTGGTTTTATCTTCTCACACTGGGAGTGTCTGAGGAGAAAGAGGAGGGGTCATCGGGTCTCTGATTATTTGATCTAACTTATTCTTTTGGCTGGTAAAAGAGTCAGATCTGATACTCACTCACTATGATTAATATCATTGAATGCTTGGTTTCATGATAAATAATTTGATACTAAACACATATGAATGAAGTGTAGGATCACATCAAACATTCTCATTATGTTTTAAGTATCACATTGAACATGCTAAATTACTCTGAAATGAAACAGATAGTAACACATAGAAACTGTGAACAACAAAAGAGTAAACACATGTGAATGAACGTCATCATGATTAATAATGGATTCTAAATACTCACATTCAGATTATTCAGTGACATTATAACCACCTAATGGTTAAGATACTAAATAAACGATTAAAATATAGAACAAACATTTCTAAACCATTTCTGTTAATTAGAGCTAAGTTATGAGTCACAATCAATAAATTTAACTCTTAAAAGTTCATGAAACAGTCTGAAAAGCTGTTGGTCTAAAGAACTAAAGAATAAGGATTTATTCTGTCAGATAAGATAACTTGGCTTCTGAAGCACATAGAAAAACGGGAAACATCTCATTTTAACACAAATTTCATGATTAGACAGATTAGTACATTGCTGAATGTATAAGATGTCAGGATCAGTCATTTGTATTCTTTCACCAAAGGAATGTAGTCTTTATCAGTGTATGGTCGAGCAGGGTTTTACGACCGAGGTCTGGAGGTCAGTGTCCCCCCTTTTCCTAGGGTCCGTATGTTCACACACTTTAAGACGCTAAATCTCAAATGGGAGATCTGGGTTGAGGTTAATGTTTATTTAGATGGTCAGCAAATGGAGTCAGTTTGAAAGGTAATAAAAACTCTGTCTCTGTTCTCCGAATTGACCAATCGTGAAGAGTCGGAGGTTTAGTCAACCTCCGGTTGGGTCACTTATTTAACCTGAAAGGGCAAACACGTCTGGAAAGATTTATATCCTGTTTCCTGGGACCAGATAAGGAAACTTTCCTGTAAGGAATGTGTGGGTTTCACATCCAGGGTTGTCTTGATTGCTACAGTCCCCCCTTCGTCACGGTGGTCCTGTCCATGGAGCATCGGGACGACGAGTAGACAACCATGAAGCAGCAGCAGGTGTATGCAAATAGGACTGATGCGTCTCAGCATCACTATGTGAATCACTAGTACTGCTTTGAGATAAAATTAAGCATGTATTAAGCTATCAAATAAAATCGTCTAGTTGTTAGACTTTCTCAGTTAACTATTGGTAGACTAATGTGAAAGAAAATCTCCTAATTTTTAGTATTAATGAGATTTAGAAAAGCACTCTTTAGTCTGAATGCTAACCGGATCTAAAGCTATAGCTGTTTTTCATGCTTGCTGGAGAAGTCTGAAAGTTCAATTTCAGTTTCAAAAATGGTTAAGACTTAGGTGGAAAAGAAATGTCTGCTATAGACATATTAACCATCTGTGTATGAGCATAGTCAACCTGAATCACAAACATCAAAAGTTTACTGCACAGAGTTTCTCTTAAACTTTGTCTGTTAAACTTGGGGATGATGCTCTTATCGGTTTGACTAATTATCTGCTGTTGAGTCTGAAATTTGTCAATCTGAGTCTTAATGACAGAAATTTCAGCTTTTAATCTGTTCATGGGATATTTGACAGCTGACAAGCTGACCATATTGACAGAGGAGAGACAAATGCTAACAAAGAAAGCAGCAACTGGGATTGCAGTCATCAATGTATCACCACAGCATTTGGATATCTTATTGGAGTCATTCAGCTTTGGCTGGGTGACTTCTGCTTTCGCAGGACTCACACCTTCATGACTCCGCAGTGTTAATCTCAGTGGTTAGCTGAGTTGTCATGTTTATTCACCTTCGAAGTGGATGAAACCGATTGAGGTGGATAATAAGATCGTCGTTTCTGAGAGTGTGATTTACTCTGATTCTGCCAGTCATTCACCCCCCTTTGGCGGTGTTGATGGTTTTTCCTTTGTCTGGGATAAAACCCACCGTGACGGGAGTCTGAATAACAACAGTTGGTCTCAAAGTTTACCTGGCGTTGGTCTGTGTCAGAACTGGGCCTTGGTGTGTAACTTTGACCTTTGTGAGTTTGTTGAGGTCGAAAAGGTTTTGGGGGCCTGGTTAACCACTCATTTGGAGGCTTATCGGAGCCTGAAAATACACAGTCTGAAGCTTCATTCAGCTCCATGGGCAGTGATTTTGTCCCCATAGCCAAGAGAGTAACGGGCTCTGCTTTCTTAGCCAAAGTTTGTCGTTGTTTGGCAAAACCTTTTACAGCAAATTCACGAAGCTGTCGGCTAGTCAAAGTGTTTGGACAAGCTAAGACGCCAAGGTGATGACTGGTGGTAGGGTGGAGGTTCTGGACGAACAGCGTTTTGAAGTTCAAGTCCTCCTCCATTTCTGGTTCATTTCGGAAACCAAAGTAAGCTTCGCGTAAGCGGTTGTAATATTGTTGGGGAGATTCTGATCTCCCTTGTTTAATAGACAGAGCAGCAGAGAGGCCTGTCTGGGTCAAATAGTCAGAAAACTCTTCAATTAATGCTTGGCAGAGCAAGTCATAATTATTTCTGACATGAAAAGGCTGTCTTTCAAGGAAACTGCTAACCTCTCGACTTGACGTCGCCTTAATAAGGTAGATTTTGTCATCAATGGTTGCACCTAGAAATTTCCTCAGGTAAAAGTCAATGTCTTTCAAGTAGGTGCAGGTGTCAATAGCAGCTTGGTGCTCAGGTTCAAAGCGTGCTATGTTGCGAGCAATTTTGTCAAGATCCCTGTCTGAGGGAGATGGTAAGAAGCCATCATGAGGAGGAGAGTAGGACTCTTGGTTTAAGGATGACCTCTCAGGGTCAAGCAGGGTCCTGTCATGATGCTGAGAGAGATACTTAAGAGTTGGTTTGGAAGGAAGTGATGGCGCTCTCTCAGGAGGCTGATCACCTGTCATTTCTTCAAGAAACGTTTGCTCCATGCGTTCTCTTTGGGCTCGACCTGACTGGAGGGAGCATTGTAACTCTCTTTGGGCATCTTCAAGTTCTTTGTCTGTCTTTTCTTGCCGTTCTTGACAAAGAATTAACTGTCTTTGAGCTATCTGGAGCTGGTGCTGTAAGGTAGAAGTTTGCTTCTCCTTAACTTCAAGAGCTTCAGCACGCACTTTGACCAGTGCTTTCAAAGTTTTTACATCTTCTGTTGCTTGCTCTAGTAGGGATTCTGACTGTATCAGATCCTCTGTGGTCTTAGCAAGCTGCTTATTCGTGTCATCAAGTTCTTTCTCCTTTTTGTAAAGGGTTTCATTAAGTCTTTCAATCTTGTCTTTAAGATCAAGATTTTCTTCATGACTTATCAGTGAGGGAAGCTTTGACGCTTCACATCTGACACTGTGTTTTCCTAAAACACTTAGAGACTTCTTAGTCTCTTCTAGCGTCTTTTTCAGAGCGCTGTTTTCGTCTTTTGCGCCTTTATCTTTGCTAAAGCGCATTCCAGCAAGTAGTCTTTATACTCAAGCTGAGAAGACATCATGACAGACATGCATCTAGTGAGCTCTTTGTCTCGAAGTGTCGTGGTTAAGGCTGTTTCCAGTAAGTCAGCCATTTCATCCTCCGGATTGGAGGGTTTGGCCTTTTGAATCTTAGTCATGTACTGAGGTATCAGCTGACTAGTCAAGTTTGCCAACACTGTGGGTATGTCCCTCAGGGGGTCTCCCTGGCTGGACTCTTTTGTGTTAGGCATGTTTGGTTTTGGTAAAGAGGTGCAGCTGGTTGGTTGATGAGTTTGAGTTGACTTAAAATAAAAGGAAGAAGCAAAATATCAAATTAAGTGGGTTAATCGACTTAATTTATCAGTGCTTGATAAAGAGGAAGAGCCTATCTGAGTAGATATCTAATGGAGAGAAAAATAACATAAAGTTAAATTCATTTCAATGAAAATTGTAAACAAAAGGTGAAATAATGTTAAATTAAATTTAACATCAGATACAGAACCATTGAATAAAGGGTTCAGTTTGTCTCCGTGTTGCAGAGATCAGCAAAGCTTAAATAAACTGCCTGGTGCAGTTGGATGAATTGGCAAAATCGATGAAATTGTCAATTTAAGGAATTAACTCTGAAGTTAATTCACAAATTGCAATAAATCCAAAGGTTCGAATACCAAATCTATCTGGAATGTTAAAAGAAATTTGAAATATTAATTAATTTGTTCGTTAATTAATTAATCTTATGAGTCGGGTTAATACATTCATGTATTATAGGGAACAGTAAAACTGCTCACTGGTGTGATAAGTAACAACAGATCAGGTGATTGATTCAAGGAGTTACTTCATCAATACATCAAAATCAATGATCAGTGATTTAGAATAAGCACATCAAACTTCATCAACCAAGTCAATCACTTGAGTTATGTCTGTAGAGTGTTACACACTGACTACAGGGAGGCAGTACAGCTGGCTGATACTGCAGGCAGATAATAGCAGTGTTAGCTCAATACCAAAAACAACCATGTGGGGCAGTATGGAGTTGGGGTAACTGCACAAGCTCAACACAAGTGGAGAAGAAGAAGAGAAGAGGAAACAGTCATCCAACTAGCCTCTTGTGGCTGTGAGGAGTTGGGAAGTCTGAAGGAAGGGGCCTTTAGACTCTGCCTCCTTGAAGGGCCTTATCTGCTTAAGGCCAAAAGGTCAGTCTCTCCACTGACAACAAAGGGTTAACATTTCACAGCAGGCTGCGTCTGCACCCTCAAACATAGAGCTTTACACCATCTGCTCAGGCAGATTGGTTCAATAAAATCATTTACAGGAACAAGAATCAAAGTGACAAATTCTTAAACAGCAGATTCAACTGCAGACTTTAAAATCACAAATGCGGCGATTTGTGATCACAAATTTTGTCTGAATTCATTCAAACAACAACCTCCCACTGTTACAGTGGTTTCCTGTGACAGGTAGTTAATCTGTCAGGGGAAAGGAGGAAATCTGAATCCCATATAGTTACTAGAACTTCGTAGCAGACTATAGAGACAAGAATCAAAGTGACAAATCCCTCAACAGCAGATTCAACTGCAGACTTTAAAATCACAAATGCGGCGATTTGTGAACACAAATTTTGTCTGAATTCAATCAAACAACAACCTCCCACTGTTACAGTGGTTTCCTGTGACAGGTAGCTAATCTGTCAGGGGAAAGGAGGAAATCTGAATCCCATATAGTTACTAGAACCTCGTAGCAGACTACAGAGACTTCAGGGGCTTGAAACCACAGCTCGGAGCATCGCGAACACTGGGTTCAGCCAAAGGCCTTAAATACAAGCGTACGGCGACGCCACAATCGTGCACATAAATATTGGACAGTCTAGACAGAGCAGAGGAGTCAGTCTCACTGCTACTCAGAACAACATTTCACGCTGTCCAGCTCAAACACAGACTACAGGCATGTAGTACAAGAGTGTGTGAAACACAGAGCATAAAGGTTTTATGCATAGATCATGAAAACATCAGAACTTAGTCAAGCAACTTCAGCAAGCATAGCATTGATTGTGATTAAGTCTAAAATAGCCTGGAAATAAGTTTCTCGCATCAATTTGGAAGGCTAAGTTTTAGGTTGTCTGTTAGTATCCAGAAGTTTTGTTTGAAACGCCTCACGCAGGGGCACCAAAATATATGTAGTGATTTGAAATGAGCCTCATACGGTCGCACCAAAATATATGTAGCGATTTGAAATGAGCCTCACAAGGCCGCACCAAAATAATACTTGGCGATTGGAATTTATAATAAATGTCTGAAGATTAATAATCTCAAATTATGACATTTATGCACTCGTTGAAAGGGGCACCACCCACCCTTAATGGTGGGAAAATAAAGAAAACAAAAGTTTAATTCAGAAATCAAACATCAAGTCAGTTTTAATTAATCAGTCTTAATTAATCAGTCTTAATTAATCAGTCTCATATCTTAAGTTGAAATTCTAATTTCAGGGACTCCACTTCTGGAAGAACACTAACAGACAGGAACTTAGAAAAATAATGATCTGTTTATTACAGGATAAATGATGGTACAACACACATGCAATAAATGATGATAAGATAATGAAGATAAATAATAATAGGTGAATAAATCAAGATTCTGAGTCAGGCTAGGAGCACTAAAGTTAATGATAGTGAGTGAATATGCGCTAACATATTAACCTACACTAACTTTAGTGTCGAGATAAACTCGGATGTGGATTTGGAGGAATCTAAGATTACCAGAATAAGAGGATATCTGAGTTGAACGCAGGAGACAGCACCAGCCCTCTTTAGAGCTCTGGAGGTTTGCATACTTAAGTGAGACTGGTCCTTGGAGAAGATGGAGCAGGTTCCGAAGGTCCGGGCTACTGGCGGTTCGAGCGGTTCAGCTCAGAAGACGACTGAAGTCAGCCGAAGGATGAGCCCGGAGTTGCAGCACTCAGGCCCGAAGCAAAAACCAGCGCCTGTGGATCCTGTGGATGCTCGTTTGGGTACTTCTTTAGTCTCACTCAAAAACTCTGGCACAGAGGATGACCTGGGCCTGTTGGATTGCGTTCGGAGGTGACTTTGAAATCACGCAGAAAACTCAGAAAAACGAGGCTCGAAGAGCAGAGAAAACTTTCAAAAATGGCTTCGCGAAATTAAAGAAAATCAATCAAAGGCTTAATCTTGAATTGCTATGTGCACAAAAAGTTGAAGTTTCAAAACTTGAACTAAGACGATGTTAAAGAAAAATCAACGTGAATCAACACGTGGCGTAAAACTTAGAAGACTAAGAAAAAGTTCTAAGAGAGAACAAAGAAAAGGAGGACCACAGAAGGGTGTGGACAGAAGAGAAGGGCCCAAGAGTAAGGGGCCTAAGAGCCGGGGACAAGAGAGTCAGCAGAAGAGCAGAAGCATAAGAGAGATAAAAGCATAAGAGAGAGTAAGAGAGTGAGCAACCCCACTCCACTGGTTTTATCTTCTCACACTGGGAGTGTCTGAGGAGAAAGAGGAGGGGTCATCGGGTCTCTGATTATTTGATCTAACTTATTCTTTTGGCTGGTAAAAGAGTCAGATCTGATACTCACTCACTATGATTAATATCATTGAATGCTTGGTTTCATGATAAATAATTTGATACTAAACACATATGAATGAAGTGTAGGATCACATCAAACATTCTCATTATGTTTTAAGTATCACATTGAACATGCTAAATTACTCTGAAATGAAACAGATAGTAACACATAGAAACTGTGAACAACAAAAGAGTAAACACATGTGAATGAACGTCATCATGATTAATAATGGATTCTAAATACTCACATTCAGATTATTCAGTGACATTATAACCACCTAATGGTTAAGATACTAAATAAACGATTAAAATATAGAACAAACATTTCTAAACCATTTCTGTTAATTAGAGCTAAGTTATGAGTCACAATCAATAAATTTAACTCTTAAAAGTTCATGAAACAGTCTGAAAAGCTGTTGGTCTAAAGAACTAAAGAATAAGGATTTATTCTGTCAGATAAGATAACTTGGCTTCTGAAGCACATAGAAAAACGGGAAACATCTCATTTTAACACAAATTTCATGATTAGACAGATTAGTACATTGCTGAATGTATAAGATGTCAGGATCAGTCATTTGTATTCTTTCACCAAAGGAATGTAGTCTTTATCAGTGTATGGTCGAGCAGGGTTTTACGACCGAGGTCTGGAGGTCAGTGTCCCCCCTTTTCCTAGGGTCCGTATGTTCACACACTTTAAGACGCTAAATCTCAAATGGGAGATCTGGGTTGAGGTTAATGTTTATTTAGATGGTCAGCAAATGGAGTCAGTTTGAAAGGTAATAAAAACTCTGTCTCTGTTCTCCGAATTGACCAATCGTGAAGAGTCGGAGGTTTAGTCAACCTCCGGTTGGGTCACTTATTTAACCTGAAAGGGCAAACACGTCTGGAAAGATTTATATCCTGTTTCCTGGGACCAGATAAGGAAACTTTCCTGTAAGGAATGTGTGGGTTTCACATCCAGGGTTGTCTTGATTGCTACAGTCCCCCCTTCGTCACGGTGGTCCTGTCCATGGAGCATCGGGACGACGAGTAGACAACCATGAAGCAGCAGCAGGTGTATGCAAATAGGACTGATGCGTCTCAGCATCACTATGTGAATCACTAGTACTGCTTTGAGATAAAATTAAGCATGTATTAAGCTATCAAATAAAATCGTCTAGTTGTTAGACTTTCTCAGTTAACTATTGGTAGACTAATGTGAAAGAAAATCTCCTAATTTTTAGTATTAATGAGATTTAGAAAAGCACTCTTTAGTCTGAATGCTAACCGGATCTAAAGCTATAGCTGTTTTTCATGCTTGCTGGAGAAGTCTGAAAGTTCAATTTCAGTTTCAAAAATGGTTAAGACTTAGGTGGAAAAGAAATGTCTGCTATAGACATATTAACCATCTGTGTATGAGCATAGTCAACCTGAATCACAAACATCAAAAGTTTACTGCACAGAGTTTCTCTTAAACTTTGTCTGTTAAACTTGGGGATGATGCTCTTATCGGTTTGACTAATTATCTGCTGTTGAGTCTGAAATTTGTCAATCTGAGTCTTAATGACAGAAATTTCAGCTTTTAATCTGTTCATGGGATATTTGACAGCTGACAAGCTGACCATATTGACAGAGGAGAGACAAATGCTAACAAAGAAAGCAGCAACTGGGATTGCAGTCATCAATGTATCACCACAGCATTTGGATATCTTATTGGAGTCATTCAGCTTTGGCTGGGTGACTTCTGCTTTCGCAGGACTCACACCTTCATGACTCCGCAGTGTTAATCTCAGTGGTTAGCTGAGTTGTCATGTTTATTCACCTTCGAAGTGGATGAAACCGATTGAGGTGGATAATAAGATCGTCGTTTCTGAGAGTGTGATTTACTCTGATTCTGCCAGTCATTCACCCCCCTTTGGCGGTGTTGATGGTTTTTCCTTTGTCTGGGATAAAACCCACCGTGACGGGAGTCTGAATAACAACAGTTGGTCTCAAAGTTTACCTGGCGTTGGTCTGTGTCAGAACTGGGCCTTGGTGTGTAACTTTGACCTTTGTGAGTTTGTTGAGGTCGAAAAGGTTTTGGGGGCCTGGTTAACCACTCATTTGGAGGCTTATCGGAGCCTGAAAATACACAGTCTGAAGCTTCATTCAGCTCCATGGGCAGTGATTTTGTCCCCATAGCCAAGAGAGTAACGGGCTCTGCTTTCTTAGCCAAAGTTTGTCGTTGTTTGGCAAAACCTTTTACAGCAAATTCACGAAGCTGTCGGCTAGTCAAAGTGTTTGGACAAGCTAAGACGCCAAGGTGATGACTGGTGGTAGGGTGGAGGTTCTGGACGAACAGCGTTTTGAAGTTCAAGTCCTCCTCCATTTCTGGTTCATTTCGGAAACCAAAGTAAGCTTCGCGTAAGCGGTTGTAATATTGTTGGGGAGATTCTGATCTCCCTTGTTTAATAGACAGAGCAGCAGAGAGGCCTGTCTGGGTCAAATAGTCAGAAAACTCTTCAATTAATGCTTGGCAGAGCAAGTCATAATTATTTCTGACATGAAAAGGCTGTCTTTCAAGGAAACTGCTAACCTCTCGACTTGACGTCGCCTTAATAAGGTAGATTTTGTCATCAATGGTTGCACCTAGAAATTTCCTCAGGTAAAAGTCAATGTCTTTCAAGTAGGTGCAGGTGTCAATAGCAGCTTGGTGCTCAGGTTCAAAGCGTGCTATGTTGCGAGCAATTTTGTCAAGATCCCTGTCTGAGGGAGATGGTAAGAAGCCATCATGAGGAGGAGAGTAGGACTCTTGGTTTAAGGATGACCTCTCAGGGTCAAGCAGGGTCCTGTCATGATGCTGAGAGAGATACTTAAGAGTTGGTTTGGAAGGAAGTGATGGCGCTCTCTCAGGAGGCTGATCACCTGTCATTTCTTCAAGAAACGTTTGCTCCATGCGTTCTCTTTGGGCTCGACCTGACTGGAGGGAGCATTGTAACTCTCTTTGGGCATCTTCAAGTTCTTTGTCTGTCTTTTCTTGCCGTTCTTGACAAAGAATTAACTGTCTTTGAGCTATCTGGAGCTGGTGCTGTAAGGTAGAAGTTTGCTTCTCCTTAACTTCAAGAGCTTCAGCACGCACTTTGACCAGTGCTTTCAAAGTTTTTACATCTTCTGTTGCTTGCTCTAGTAGGGATTCTGACTGTATCAGATCCTCTGTGGTCTTAGCAAGCTGCTTATTCGTGTCATCAAGTTCTTTCTCCTTTTTGTAAAGGGTTTCATTAAGTCTTTCAATCTTGTCTTTAAGATCAAGATTTTCTTCATGACTTATCAGTGAGGGAAGCTTTGACGCTTCACATCTGACACTGTGTTTTCCTAAAACACTTAGAGACTTCTTAGTCTCTTCTAGCGTCTTTTTCAGAGCGCTGTTTTCGTCTTTTTGCGCCTTTATCTTTGCTAAAGCGCATTCCAGCAAGTAGTCTTTATACTCAAGCTGAGAAGACATCATGACAGACATGCATCTAGTGAGCTCTTTGTCTCGAAGTGTCGTGGTTAAGGCTGTTTCCAGTAAGTCAGCCATTTCATCCTCCGGATTGGAGGGTTTGGCCTTTTGAATCTTAGTCATGTACTGAGGTATCAGCTGACTAGTCAAGTTTGCCAACACTGTGGGTATGTCCCTCAGGGGGTCTCCCTGGCTGGACTCTTTTGTGTTAGGCATGTTTGGTTTTGGTAAAGAGGTGCAGCTGGTTGGTTGATGAGTTTGAGTTGACTTAAAATAAAAGGAAGAAGCAAAATATCAAATTAAGTGGGTTAATCGACTTAATTTATCAGTGCTTGATAAAGAGGAAGAGCCTATCTGAGTAGATATCTAATGGAGAGAAAAATAACATAAAGTTAAATTCATTTCAATGAAAATTGAAAACAAAAGGTGAAATAATGTTAAATTAAATTTAACATCAGATACAGAACCATTGAATAAAGGGTTCAGTTTGTCTCCGTGTTGCAGAGATCAGCAAAGCTTAAATAAACTGCCTGGTGCAGTTGGATGAATTGGCAAAATCGATGAAATTGTCAATTTAAGGAATTAACTCTGAAGTTAATTCACAAATTGCAATAAATCCAAAGGTTCGAATACCAAATCTATCTGGAATGTTAAAAGAAATTTGAAATATTAATTAATTTGTTCGTTAATTAATTAATCTTATGAGTCGGGTTAATACATTCATGTATTATAGGGAACAGTAAAACTGCTCACTGGTGTGATAAGTAACAACAGATCAGGTGATTGATTCAAGGAGTTACTTCATCAATACATCAAAATCAATGATCAGTGATTTAGAATAAGCACATCAAACTTCATCAACCAAGTCAATCACTTGAGTTATGTCTGTAGAGTGTTACACACTGACTACAGGGAGGCAGTACAGCTGGCTGATACTGCAGGCAGATAATAGCAGTGTTAGCTCAATACCAAAAACAACCATGTGGGGCAGTATGGAGTTGGGGTAACTGCACAAGCTCAACACAAGTGGAGAAGAAGAAGAGAAGAGGAAACAGTCATCCAACTAGCCTCTTGTGGCTGTGAGGAGTTGGGAAGTCTGAAGGAAGGGGCCTTTAGACTCTGCCTCCTTGAAGGGCCTTATCTGCTTAAGGCCAAAAGGTCAGTCTCTCCACTGACAACAAAGGGTTAACATTTCACAGCAGGCTGCGTCTGCACCCTCAAACATAGAGCTTTACACCATCTGCTCAGGCAGATTGGTTCAATAAAATCATTTACAGGAACAAGAATCAAAGTGACAAATTCTTAAACAGCAGATTCAACTGCAGACTTTAAAATCACAAATGCGGCGATTTGTGATCACAAATTTTGTCTGAATTCATTCAAACAACAACCTCCCACTGTTACAGTGGTTTCCTGTGACAGGTAGTTAATCTGTCAGGGGAAAGGAGGAAATCTGAATCCCATATAGTTACTAGAACTTCGTAGCAGACTATAGAGACAAGAATCAAAGTGACAAATCCCTCAACAGCAGATTCAACTGCAGACTTTAAAATCACAAATGCGGCGATTTGTGAACACAAATTTTGTCTGAATTCAATCAAACAACAACCTCCCACTGTTACAGTGGTTTCCTGTGACAGGTAGCTAATCTGTCAGGGGAAAGGAGGAAATCTGAATCCCATATAGTTACTAGAACCTCGTAGCAGACTACAGAGACTTCAGGGGCTTGAAACCACAGCTCGGAGCATCGCGAACACTGGGTTCAGCCAAAGGCCTTAAATACAAGCGTACGGCGACGCCACAATCGTGCACATAAATATTGGACAGTCTAGACAGAGCAGAGGAGTCAGTCTCACTGCTACTCAGAACAACATTTCACGCTGTCCAGCTCAAACACAGACTACAGGCATGTAGTACAAGAGTGTGTGAAACACAGAGCATAAAGGTTTTATGCATAGATCATGAAAACATCAGAACTTAGTCAAGCAACTTCAGCAAGCATAGCATTGATTGTGATTAAGTCTAAAATAGCCTGGAAATAAGTTTCTCGCATCAATTTGGAAGGCTAAGTTTTAGGTTGTCTGTTAGTATCCAGAAGTTTTGTTTGAAACGCCTCACGCAGGGGCACCAAAATATATGTAGTGATTTGAAATGAGCCTCATACGGTCGCACCAAAATATATGTAGCGATTTGAAATGAGCCTCACAAGGCCGCACCAAAATAATACTTGGCGATTGGAATTTATAATAAATGTCTGAAGATTAATAATCTCAAATTATGACATTTATGCACTCGTTGAAAGGGGCACCACCCACCCTTAATGGTGGGAAAATAAAGAAAACAAAAGTTTAATTCAGAAATCAAACATCAAGTCAGTTTTAATTAATCAGTCTTAATTAATCAGTCTTAATTAATCAGTCTCATATCTTAAGTTGAAATTCTAATTTCAGGGACTCCACTTCTGGAAGAACACTAACAGACAGGAACTTAGAAAAATAATGATCTGTTTATTACAGGATAAATGATGGTACAACACACATGCAATAAATGATGATAAGATAATGAAGATAAATAATAATAGGTGAATAAATCAAGATTCTGAGTCAGGCTAGGAGCACTAAAGTTAATGATAATGAGTGAATATGCGCTAACATATTAACCTACACTAACTTTAGTGTCGAGATAAACTCGGATGTGGATTTGGAGGAATCTAAGATTACCAGAATAAGAGGATATCTGAGTTGAACGCAGGAGACAGCACCAGCCCTCTTTAGAGCTCTGGAGGTTTGCATACTTAAGTGAGACTGGTCCTTGGAGAAGATGGAGCAGGTTCCGAAGGTCCGGGCTACTGGCGGTTCGAGCGGTTCAGCTCAGAAGACGACTGAAGTCAGCCGAAGGATGAGCCCGGAGTTGCAGCACTCAGGCCCGAAGCAAAAACCAGCGCCTGTGGATCCTGTGGATGCTCGTTTGGGTACTTCTTTAGTCTCACTCAAAAACTCTGGCACAGAGGATGACCTGGGCCTGTTGGATTGCGTTCGGAGGTGACTTTGAAATCACGCAGAAAACTCAGAAAAACGAGGCTCGAAGAGCAGAGAAAACTTTCAAAAATGGCTTCGCGAAATTAAAGAAAATCAATCAAAGGCTTAATCTTGAATTGCTATGTGCACAAAAAGTTGAAGTTTCAAAACTTGAACTAAGACGATGTTAAAGAAAAATCAACGTGAATCAACACGTGGCGTAAAACTTAGAAGACTAAGAAAAAGTTCTAAGAGAGAACAAAGAAAAGGAGGACCACAGAAGGGTGTGGACAGAAGAGAAGGGCCCAAGAGTAAGGGGCCTAAGAGCCGGGGACAAGAGAGTCAGCAGAAGAGCAGAAGCATAAGAGAGATAAAAGCATAAGAGAGAGTAAGAGAGTGAGCAACCCCACTCCACTGGTTTTATCTTCTCACACTGGGAGTGTCTGAGGAGAAAGAGGAGGGGTCATCGGGTCTCTGATTATTTGATCTAACTTATTCTTTTGGCTGGTAAAAGAGTCAGATCTGATACTCACTCACTATGATTAATATCATTGAATGCTTGGTTTCATGATAAATAATTTGATACTAAACACATATGAATGAAGTGTAGGATCACATCAAACATTCTCATTATGTTTTAAGTATCACATTGAACATGCTAAATTACTCTGAAATGAAACAGATAGTAACACATAGAAACTGTGAACAACAAAAGAGTAAACACATGTGAATGAACGTCATCATGATTAATAATGGATTCTAAATACTCACATTCAGATTATTCAGTGACATTATAACCACCTAATGGTTAAGATACTAAATAAACGATTAAAATATAGAACAAACATTTCTAAACCATTTCTGTTAATTAGAGCTAAGTTATGAGTCACAATCAATAAATTTAACTCTTAAAAGTTCATGAAACAGTCTGAAAAGCTGTTGGTCTAAAGAACTAAAGAATAAGGATTTATTCTGTCAGATAAGATAACTTGGCTTCTGAAGCACATAGAAAAACGGGAAACATCTCATTTTAACACAAATTTCATGATTAGACAGATTAGTACATTGCTGAATGTATAAGATGTCAGGATCAGTCATTTGTATTCTTTCACCAAAGGAATGTAGTCTTTATCAGTGTATGGTCGAGCAGGGTTTTACGACCGAGGTCTGGAGGTCAGTGTCCCCCCCTTTTCCTAGGGTCCGTATGTTCACACACTTTAAGACGCTAAATCTCAAATGGGAGATCTGGGTTGAGGTTAATGTTTATTTAGATGGTCAGCAAATGGAGTCAGTTTGAAAGGTAATAAAAACTCTGTCTCTGTTCTCCGAATTGACCAATCGTGAAGAGTCGGAGGTTTAGTCAACCTCCGGTTGGGTCACTTATTTAACCTGAAAGGGCAAACACGTCTGGAAAGATTTATATCCTGTTTCCTGGGACCAGATAAGGAAACTTTCCTGTAAGGAATGTGTGGGTTTCACATCCAGGGTTGTCTTGATTGCTACACGTTAAACCTTACCATAGCCCCATAACCTAATACCCGGGTATTACTTTTAGGAAGCCTGAACACTCCAAATGTTTTTTTTTTCATTTTTCATTTTTTTTGGTCTAACTAACTCCAAAAGGTTGGAAAAGAGTTCTTACAAAGGTTTTGGACAGTGATTTTAACCCTAATGCCAAAAACCTTAAACCTTACCATAGCCCCATAACCTAATACCCGGGTATTACTTTTAGGAAGCCTGAACACCCCAAATATTTTTTTTTCATTTTTCATTTTTTTTGGTCTAACTAACTCCAAAAGGATGGAAAAGAGTTCCTACAAAGGTTTTGGACAGTAATTGTAACCCTAATGCCAAAAAACTTAAACCTTACCCTGGCCTTAAAATCTAATACCCGGGTATTACATTAAGGAAGCCCGGAAACCCCAAATTTTTTTTTTTCATTTTTCATTCTTTTTTTGGTCTAACTAACTCCAAAAGGTTGGAAAGAGTTCCTACAAAGGTTTTGGACAGTGATTTTAAACCTAATGCCAAAACGTTAAACCTTACCATAGCCCCATAACATAATACCCGGGTATTACTTTTAGGAAGCCTGAACACTCCAAATGTTTTTTTTTCATTTTTCATTTTTTTTGGTCTAACTAACTCCAAAAGGTAGGAAAAGAGTTCCTACAAAGGTTTTGGACAGTGATTTTAAACCTAATGCCAAAAACCTTAAACCTTACCATAGCCCCATAACCTAATACCCAGGAATTACCTTCAGGAAGCCCGAACACCCCAAATATTTTTTTTTTCATTTTACATTTTTGTTGGTGTAACCAACTCCAAAAGGTTGGAAAAGAGTTCCTACAAAGGTTTTGGACAGTGATTTTAACCCTAATGCCAAAAAACTTAATCCTTACCCTAGCCTCAAAATTTAATACCCGGGTATTACATTCAGGAACCCCGAAAACCCCAAACATTGTTTTTTAATTTTTCATATTTTTTTGGTCTAACTAACTCCAAAAGGTTGGAAAAGAGTTCCTACAAAGGTTTTGGACAGTGATTTTAACCCTAACGCCAAAAACCTTAAACCTTACCCTAGCCTTGAAATCTAATACCTGGGTATTACCTTCAGGAAGCCCGAAAACCCCCCAATTTTTTTTTTTCATTTTACATTTTTTTTGGTGTAACCAACTCCAAAAGGTCTGAAACATGTTCCTAAAAAGGTTTTGGACAGTGATTTTAACCCTAACGCCAAAACCCTTCAACCTTACCCTATTCCCGAACCTAACACCCGGGTATTAACTTAAGGAATCCTTCATACCCCAAACATTTTTTTTTTTCATTTTTCTTTTTTTTTTTTTTTTGGTCTAGCTAACTCCAAAAGGTTGGAAAAGAGTTCCTACAAAGGTTTTGGACAGTGATTTTAACCCTAACGCCAGAAAACTTAAACCATACACTAGCCCCAAAACCTAATACCGGGGTATTAGTTTTAGGAAGCCTGAACACCCCAAATATTTTTTTTTCATTTTTCAATATTTTTTTGGTCTAAGTAACTCCAAAAGGTTGGAAAAGAGTTCCTACAAAGGTTTTGGACAGTGATTTTAACCCTAACGCCAAAAACCTTAAACCTTACCCAAGCCCCATAACCTAATATAATACCTGTATAACCTTCAGGAGTCCTGAACACCCAAAACACTTTTTTTTTTCCTTTTTTTTTTTGGTCTAACTAACTCCAAAAGGTCTGAAACATGTTCCTAAAAAGGTTTTGGACAGTGATTTTAACCCTAACACCAAAAACCTTAAACCTTACCATAGCCCCATAACCTAATACCTGGGTATTACCTTCAGGAAGCCCGAAAACCCCCAACATTTTTTTTTCATTTTTCATTTTTTTTGGTCTAACTAACTCCAAAAGGTTGGGAAAGAGTTCCTACAAAGGTTTTGGACAGTGATTTTAACCCTAATGCCAAAAACTTTAACCTTACCATAGCCTTAAAATCTAATACCCGGGTATTACATTCAGGAAGCCCGAAAACCCCAAACATTTTTTTTTCATTTTTCATTTTTTTTTGGTCTAAGTAACTCCAAAAGGTTGGAAAAGAGTGCCTACAAAGGTTTTGGACAGTGATTTTAAACCTAATGCCAAAAACCTTAAACCATATCATAGCCCCATAACCTAATACCTGGGTATTACTTTTAGGAAGCCCGAAAACCCCAAATATTTTTTTTTTCATTTTTCATTTTTTTTGGTCTAACTAACTCCAAAAGGTTGGAAAAGAGTTCCTACAAAGGTTTTGGACAGTGATTTTAAACCTAATGCCAAAAACCTTAAACCATATCATAGCCCCATAACCTAATACCTGGGTATTACTTTTAGGAAGCCCGAAAACCCCAAATATTTTTTTTTTCATTTTTCATTTTTTTTGGTCTAAGTAACTCCAAAAGGTTGGAAAAGAGTTCCTACAAAGGTTTTGGACAGTGATTTTAACCCTAATGCCATAAACCTTAAACCTTACCATAGCCCCATAACCTAATACCTGGGTATTACCTTCAGGAAGCCCGAACACCCCAAATATTTTTTTTTCATTTTTCATTTTTTTTGGTCTAAGTAACTCCAAAAGGTTGGAAAAGAGTTCCTAAAAAGGTTTTGGACAGTGATTTTAACCCTAACACCAAAAACCTTAAACCTTACCATAGCCCCATAACCTAATACCTGGGTATTACCTTCAGGAAGCCCGAAAACCCCCAACATTTTTTTTTCATTTTTCATTTTTTTTGGTCTAACTAACTCCAAAAGGTTGGGAAAGAGTTCCTACAAAGGTTTTGGACAGTGATTTTAACACTAATGCCAAAAACTTTAACCTTACCATAGCCCCATAACCTAATACCTGGGTATTACTTTTAGGAAGCCTGAACACCCCAAATATTTTTTTTTCATTTTTCATTTTTTTTTTTTGGTCTAACTAACTCCAAAAGGTTGGGAAAGAGTTCCTACAAAGGTTTTGGACAGTGATTTTAACCCTAACGCCATAAAACTTAAACCTTACCCTAGCCTTAAAATCTAATACCCGGGTATTACATTCAGGAAGCCCGAAAACCCCAAACATTTTTTTTTCATTTTACATTTTTTTTGGTGTAACCAACTCCAAAAGGTCTGAAACATGTTCCTAAAAAGGTTTTGGACAGTGATTTTAACCCTAATGCCAAAAAACTTAATCCTTACCCTAGCCTCAAAATCTAATACCCGGGTATTACATTCAGGAACCCCGAAAACCCCAAACATTGTTTTTTAATTTTTCATATTTTTTTGGTCTAACTAACTCCAAAAGGTTGGAAAAGAGTTCCTACAAAGGTTTTGGACAGTGATTTTAACCCTAATGCCAAAAACCTTAAACCTTACCCTAGCCACAAAACCTAATACCCGGGTATTACATTCAGGAAGCCCGAAAACCCCAAATATTTTTTTTTTTCATTTTTCTTTTTTTTTTTTGGTCTAACTAACTCCAAAAGGTTGGAAAAGAGTTCCTACAAAGATTTTGGACAGTGATTTTAACCCTAACGCCAAAAACCTTAAACGTTACCCAATCCCCATAACCTAATATAATACCTGTATAACCTTCAGGAGTCCTGAACACCCAAAACATTTTTTTTTTTTTTTTTTTTTTTTTTGGTCTAACTAACTCCAAAAGGTTGGAAACATGTTCCTACAAAGGTTTTGGACAGTGATTTTAACCCTAACGCCAAAAACCTTAAACCTTACCATAGCCCCATAACCTAATACCTGGGTATTACCTTCAGGAAGCCCGAACACCCCAATTATTTTTTTTTCTTTTTACATTTTTTTTGGTCTAACTAACTCCAAAAGGTCTGAAACATGTTCCTATAAAGGTTTTGGACAGTGATTTTAACCCTAACGCCAAAAACCTTAAACCTTACCCTATTCCCGAACCTTATACCCGGGTATTAACTTAAGGAAGCCTTCACACCCCAAACATTTTTTTTTTCATTTTTCATTTTTTTTTTTTTTGGTCTAGCTTACTCCAAAAGGTTGGAAAAGAGTTCCTACAAAGGTTTTGGACAGTGATTTTAACCCTAACGCCAAAACCTTTAACCTTACCCTAGCCCTGTAATATAATATATACATAATTTACAAACACATAGTCTAAAAGATAGACAGCATGGCATACCAATTGAGTGGAGTCATTAAACTTCCTACCAACACATAATTTTTACACACAGATTGAGCTTGGAGACTTGACTGGGAACATGTGATATGTCAACATCCCCCTCACCAATCTTTATTTTCCACCATCTCCACCTCTCCCTTAAACCCCCCTCTCCCTCTTCCCTTCTCTCTCTCTCTCTCTCTCTCTCTCTCACACACACACACACACACACACCTCTCTCTCTCTCTCTCTCTCTCTCTCTCTCTCTCTCTCTCCCTCATCTCTCTCCCTCATCTCTCCCCCTCATCTCTCCCCCTCTCTCTAACACCCCCCTTTCTTATTCCCTCCCCTGCCCCTTTATTTTCACCTTCACAGAGGACAAATAGGTGATCTTCAGCCTCGGCCTACCCCGGCCGGGGGGTAACCCCTGTTGGGTCACCTATATGGAGGATTAAGAGAGACCTGAAGGGGAACCGCCGTGCCCCCTAAATCCTCCCCCTCTATCATCTTTTTTAACACTCTAAAATTAGCCAGCTAACCCCACTACAAACAACTTCATCAAAAATTTAAATAATAAATACTTATCAATAACTGACCATCAGTGACACCAGACTAAGTTAGCAAAAAAGAACACACACACACACACGTACAGATTTTCCCTTAGGACATTGATCAGATTTACATTTCTGTTTTTTTTTCATTTTTCATTTTTTTTGGTCTAACTAACTCCAAAAGGTTGGAAAATAGTTCCTATAAAGGTTTTGGACAGTGATTTTAACCCTAACGCCATAAACCTTAAACCTTACCATAGCCCCATAACCTAATACCCGGGTATTACTTTTAGGAAGCCTGAACACCCCAAATATTTTTTTTTCATTTTTCGTTTTTTTTTTTGGTCTAACTAACTCCAAAAGGTTGGAAAAGAGTTCCTACAAAGGTTTTGGACAGTGATTTTAACCCTAACGCCAAAAAACTTAAACCTTTCCCTGGCCTTAAAATCTAATACCCGGGTATTACATTCAGGAAGCCCGAAAACCCCAAATATTTTTTTTTCATTTTACATTTTTGTTGGTGTAACTAACTCCAAAAGGTTGGAAAAGAGTTCCTACAAAGGTTTTGGACAGTGATTTTAACCCTAATGCCATAAACCTTAAACCTTACCATAGCCCCATAACCTAATACCCGGGTATTACTTTTAGGAAGCCTGAACACCCCAAATATTTTTTTTTCATTTTTCGTTTTTTTTTGGTCTAACTGACTCCAAAAGGTTGGAAAAGAGTTCCTACAAAGGTTTTGGACAGTGATTTTAACCCTAACGCCAAAAAAACTTAAACCTTACCCTAGCCATAAAATCTAATTCCCGGGTATAACCTTCAGGAAGCCCGAAAGCCCCAAATATTTTTTTTTCATTTTACATTTTTGTTGGTGTAACCAACTCCAAAAGGTTGGAAAAGAGTTCCTACTAAGGTTTTGGACAGTGATTTTAACCCTAATGCCAAAAACCTTAAACCTTACCCTAGCCCCAAAACCTAATACCCGGGTATTACCTTCAGGAAGCCCGAAAACCCCAAATATATTTTTTTCCTTTTTTAATTTTTTTGGTCTAGCTAACTCCAAAAGGTTGGAAAAGAGTTCCTACAAAGGTTTTGGACAGTGATTTTAACACTAACGCCAAAAACCTTAAACCTTACCATAGCCCCATAACCTAATACCGGGGTATTACTTTTAGGAAGCCTGAACACCCCAAATATGTTTTTTTTTTCATTTTTCATTTTTTTTTTTGGTCTAACTAACTCCAAAAGGTTGGAAAAGAGTTCCTACAAAGGTTTTGGACAGTGATTTTAACCCTAACGCCATAAAACTTAAACCTTACCCTAGCCCCATAACCTAATACCTGGGTATTACCTTCAGGAAGCCCGAACACCCCAAATATTTTTTTTTCCTTTTTCATATTTTTTGGTCTAAGTAACTCCAAAAGGTTGGAAAAGAGTTCCTAAAAAGGTTTTGGACAGTGATTTTAACCCTAACACCAAAAACCTTAAACCTTACCATAGCCCCATAACCTAATACCTGGGTATTACCTTCAGGAAGCCCGAAAACCCCCAACATTTTTTTTTCATTTTTCATTTTTTTTGGTCTAACTAACTCCAAAAGGTTGGGAAAGAGTTCCTACAAAGGTTTTGGACAGTGATTTTAACACTAATGCCAAAAACTTTAACCTTACCATAGCCCCTTAACCTAATACCCGGGTATTACTTTTAGGAAGCCTGAACACCCCAAATATTTTTTTTTCATTTTTCATTTTTTTTTTTTGGTCTAACTAACTCCAAAAGGTTGGGAAAGAGTTCCTACAAAGGTTTTGGACAGTGATTTTAACCCTAACGCCATAAAACTTAAACCTTACCCTAGCCTTAAAATCTAATACCCGGGTATTACATTCAGGAAGCCCGAAAACCCCAAACATTTTTTTTTCATTTTACATTTTTTTTGGTCTAACTAACTCCAAAAGGTCTGAAACATGTTCCTAAAAAGGTTTTGGACAGTGATTTTAACCCTAATGCCAAAAAACTTAATCCTTACCCTAGCCTCAAAATCTAATACCCGGGTATTACATTCAGGAACCCCGAAAACCCCAAACATTGTTTTTTAATTTTTCATATTTTTTTGGTCTAGCTAATTCCAAAAGGTTGGAAAAGAGTTCCTACAAAGGTTTTGGACAGTGATTTTAACCCTAATGCCAAAAACCTTAAACCTTTCCCTAGCCACAAAACCTAATACCCGGGTATTACCTTCAGGAAGCCCGAAAACCCCAAATATTTTTTTTTCATTTTTCTTTTTTTTTTTGGTCTAACTAACTCCAAAAGGTTGGAAAAGAGTTCCTACAAAGATTTTGGACAGTGATTTTAACCCTAACGCCAAAAACCTTAAACGTTACCCAATCCCCATAACCTAATATAATACCTGTATAACCTTCAGGAGTCCTGAACACCCAAAACATTTTTTTTTTTTCTTTTTTTTTTTTGGTCTAACTAACTCCAAAAGGTCTGAAACATGTTCCTAAAAAGGTTTTGGACAGTGATTTTAACCCTAACGCCAAAAACCTTAAACCTTACCATAGCCCCATAACCTAATACCTGGGTATTACCTTCAGGAAGCCCGAACACCCCAATTATTTTTTTTTCATTTTACATTTTTTTTGGTGTAACCAACTCCAAAAGGTCTGAAACATGTTCCTATAAAGGTTTTGGACAGTGATTTTAACCCTAACGCCAAAAACCTTCAACCTTACCCTATTCCCGAACCTTATACCCGGGTATTAACTTAAGGAAGCCTTCACACCCCAAACATTTTTTTTTTCATTTTTCATTTTTTTTTTTTTGGTCTAGCTTACTCCAAAAGGTTGGAAAAGAGTTCCTACAAAGGTTTTGGACAGTGATTTTAACCCTAACGCCAAAAACCTTTAACCTTACCCTAGCCCTGTAATATAATATATACATAATTTACAAACACATAGTCTAAAAGATAGACAGCATGGCATACCAATTGAGTGGAGTCATTAAACTTCCTACCAACACATAATTTTTACACACAGATTGAGCTTGGAGACTTGACTGGGAACATGTGATATGTCAACATCCCCCTCACCAATCTTTATTTTCCACCATCTCCACCTCTCCCTTAAACCCCCCTCTCCCTCTTCCCTTCTCTCTCTCTCTCTCTCTCCCTCTCTCACACACACACACACACACACACACCTCTCTCTCTCTCTCTCTCTCTCTCTCTCTCTCTCTCTCTCTCTCTCTCCCTCATCTCTCTCCCTCATCTCTCCCCCTCATCTCTCCCCCTCTCTCTAACACCCCCCCTTTCTTATTCCCTCCCCTGCCCCTTTATTTTCACCTTCACAGAGGACAAATAGGTGATCTTCAGCCTCGGCCTACCCCGGCCGGGGGGTAACCCCTGTTGGGTCACCTATATGGAGGATTAAGAGAGACCTGAAGGGGAACCGCCGTGCCCCCTAAATCCTCCCCCTCTATCATCTTTTTTAACACTCTAAAATTAGCCAGCTAACCCCACTACAAACAACTTCATCAAAAATTTAAATAATAAATACTTATCAATAACTGACCATCAGTGACACCAGACTAAGTTAGCAAAAAAGAACACACACACACACGTACAGATTTTCCCTTAGGACATTGATCAGATTTACATTTCTCTTTTTTTTTTCATTTTTCATTTTTTTTGGTCTAACTAACTCCAAAAGGTTGGAAAATAGTTCCTATAAAGGTTTTGGACAGTGATTTTAACCCTAACGCCATAAACCTTAAACCTTACCATAGCCCCATAACCTAATACCCGGGTATTACTTTTAGGAAGCCTGAACACCCCAAATATTTTTTTTTCATTTTTCGTTTTTTTTTTTGGTCTAACTAACTCCAAAAGGTTGGAAAAGAGTTCCTACAAAGGTTTTGGACAGTGATTTTAACCCTAACGCCAAAAAACTTAAACCTTTCCCTGGCCTTAAAATCTAATACCCGGGTATTACATTCAGGAAGCCCGAAAACCCCAAATATTTTTTTTTCATTTTACATTTTTGTTGGTGTAACTAACTCCAAAAGGTTGGAAAAGAGTTCCTACAAAGGTTTTGGACAGTGATTTTAACCCTAATGCCATAAACCTTAAACCTTACCATAGCCCCATAACCTAATACCCGGGTATTACTTTTAGGAAGCCTGAACACCCCAAATATTTTTTTTTCATTTTTCGTTTTTTTTTGGTCTAACTGACTCCAAAAGGTTGGAAAAGAGTTCCTACAAAGGTTTTGGACAGTGATTTTAACCCTAACGCCAAAAAAACTTAAACCTTACCCTAGCCATAAAATCTAATTCCCGGGTATAACCTTCAGGAAGCCCGAAAGCCCCAAATATTTTTTTTCATTTTACATTTTTGTTGGTGTAACCAACTCCAAAAGGTTGGAAAAGAGTTCCTACTAAGGTTTTGGACAGTGATTTTAACCCTAATGCCAAAAACCTTAAACCTTACCCTAGCCCCAAAACCTAATACCCGGGTATTACCTTCAGGAAGCCCGAAAACCCCAAATATATTTTTTTCCTTTTTTAATTTTTTTGGTCTAGCTAACTCCAAAAGGTTGGAAAAGAGTTCCTACAAAGGTTTTGGACAGTGATTTTAACACTAACGCCAAAAACCTTAAACCTTACCATAGCCCCATAACCTAATACCGGGGTATTACTTTTAGGAAGCCTGAACACCCCAAATATGTTTTTTTTTTCATTTTTCATTTTTTTTTTGGTCTAACTAACTCCAAAAGGTTGGAAAAGAGTTCCTACAAAGGTTTTGGACAGTGATTTTAACCCTAACGCCATAAAACTTAAACCTTACCCTAGCCTTAAAATCTAATACCCGGGTATTACATTCAGGAAGCCCGAAAACCCCAAACATTTTTTTTTCATTTTTCATTTTTTTTTGGTCTAACTAACTCCAAAAGGTTGGGAAAGAGTTCCTACAAAGGTTTTGGACAGTGATTTTAAACCTAATGCCAAAAAACTTAAACCTTACCATAGCCCCATAACCTAATACCCGGGTATTACATTCAGGAAGCCCGAAAACCCCAAATATTTCTTTTTTCATTTTTCTTTTTTTTTTGGTCTAAGTAACTCCAAAAGGTTGGAAAAGAGTTCCTACAAAGGTTTTGGACAGTGATTTTAACCCTAATGCCAAAAACCTTAAACCTTTCCCTAGCCACAAAACCTAATACCCGGGTATTACCTTCAGGAAGCCCGAAAACCCAAAATATTTTTTTTTCATTTTTCTTTTTTTTTTTGGTCTAACTAACTCCAAAAGGTTGGAAAAGAGTTCCTACAAAGGTTTTGGACAGTGATTTTAACCCTAACGCCAAAAACCTTTAACCTTACCCAAGCCCCATAACCTAATATAATACCTGTATAACCTTCAGGAGTCCTGAACACCCAAAATATTTTTTTTTTTTCTTTTTTTTTTTGGTCTAACTAACTCCAAAAGGTCTGAAACATGTTCCAAAAAAGGTTTTGGACAGTGATTTTAACCCTAACGCCAAAAACCTTAAACCTTACCATAGCCCCATAACCTAATACCCGGGTATTACTTTTAGGAAGCCTGAACACCCCAAATATTTTTTTTTCATTTTTCTTTTTTTTTGGTCTAACTAACTCCAAAAGGTTGGAAAAGAGTTCCTACAAAGGTTTTGGACAGTGATTTTAACCCTAATGCCAAAACCCTTAAACCTTTCCCTAGTCCCAAAACCTAATACACGGGTATTACTTTCAGGGAGCCCGAAAACCCCCAATAATACTTTTTTCTTTTTTCATATTTTTTGGTCTAACTAACTCCAAAAGGTTGGAAAAGAGTTCCTACAAAGGTTTTGGACAGTGATTTTAACCCTAACGCCAAAAACCTTAAACCTTACCCTAGCCTTGAAATCTAATACCCGGGTATTACCTTCAGGAAGCCTGAACACCCCAAATATTTTTTTCTTCATTTTACATTTTTGTTGGTGTAACCAACTCCAAAAGGTTGGAAAAGAGTTCCTACAAAGGTTTTGGACAGTGATTTTAACCCTAATGCCAAAAAACTTAATCCTTACCCTAGCCTCAAAATCTAATACCCGGGTATTACATTCAGGAACCCCGAAAACCCCAAACATTGTTTTTTAATTTTTCATATTTTTTTGGTCTAACTAACTCCAAAAGGTTGGAAAAGAGTTCCTACAAAGGTTTTGGACAGTGATTTTAACCCTAACGCCAAAAACCTTAAACCTTACCCTAGCCTTGAAATCTAATACCTGGGTATTACCTTCAGGAAGCCCGAAAACCCCCCAATTTTTTTTTTTCATTTTACATTTTTTTTGGTGTAACCAACTCCAAAAGGTCTGAAACATGTTCCTAAAAAGGTTTTGGACAGTGATTTTAACCCTAACGCCAAAACCCTTCAACCTTACCCTATTCCCGAACCTAACACCCGGGTATTAACTTAAGGAATCCTTCACACCCCAAACATTTTTTTTTTTCATTTTTCTTTTTTTTTTTTTTTGGTCTAGCTAACTCCAAAAGGTTGGAAAAGAGTTCCTAAAAAGGTTTTGGACAGTGATTTTAACCCTAACGCCAAAAACCTTAAACCTTACCATAGCCCCATAACCTAATACCTGGGTATTACCTTCAGGAAGCCCGAACACCCCAATTATTTTTTTTTCTTTTTACATTTTTTTTGGTGTAACCAACTCCAAAAGGTCTGAAACATGTTCCTATAAAGGTTTTGGACAGTGATTTTAACCCTAACGCCAAAAACCTTTAACCTTACCCAAGCCCCATAACCTAATATAATACCTGTATAACCTTCAGGAGTCCTGAACACCCAAAATATTTTTTTTTTCTTTTTTTTTTTGGTCTAACTAACTCCAAAAGGTCTGAAACATGTTCCAAAAAAGGTTTTGGACAGTGATTTTAACCCTAACGCCAAAAACCTTAAACCTTACCATAGCCCCATAACCTAATACCCGGGTATTACTTTTAGGAAGCCTGAACACCCCAAATATTTTTTTTTCATTTTTCTTTTTTTTTTTGGTCTAACTAACTCCAAAAGGTTGGAAAAGAGTTCCTACAAAGGTTTTGGACAGTGATTTTAACCCTAATGCCAAAACCCTTAAACCTTTCCCTAGTCCCAAAACCTAATACACGGGTATTACTTTCAGGGAGCCCGAAAACCCCCAATAATACTTTTTTCTTTTTTCATATTTTTTGGTCTAACTAACTCCAAAAGGTTGGAAAAGAGTTCCTACAAAGGTTTTGGACAGTGATTTTAACCCTAACGCCAAAAACCTTAAACCTTACCCTAGCCTTGAAATCTAATAACCCGGGTATTACCTTCAGGAAGCCTGAACACCCCAAATATTTTTTTCTTCATTTTACATTTTTGTTGGTGTAACCAACTCCAAAAGGTTGGAAAAGAGTTCCTACAAAGGTTTTGGACAGTGATTTTAACCCTAATGCCAAAAAACTTAATCCTTACCCTAGCCTCAAAATCTAATACCCGGGTATTACATTCAGGAACCCCGAAAACCCCAAACATTGTTTTTTAATTTTTCATATTTTTTTGGTCTAACTAACTCCAAAAGGTTGGAAAAGAGTTCCTACAAAGGTTTTGGACAGTGATTTTAACCCTAACGCCAAAAACCTTAAACCTTACCCTAGCCTTGAAATCTAATACCTGGGTATTACCTTCAGGAAGCCCGAAAACCCCCCAATTTTTTTTTTTCATTTTACATTTTTTTTGGTGTAACCAACTCCAAAAGGTCTGAAACATGTTCCTAAAAAGGTTTTGGACAGTGATTTTAACCCTAACGCCAAAACCCTTCAACCTTACCCTATTCCCGAACCTAACACCCGGGTATTAACTTAAGGAATCCTTCACACCCCAAACATTTTTTTTTTCATTTTTCTTTTTTTTTTTTTTTGGTCTAGCTAACTCCAAAAGGTTGGAAAAGAGTTCCTAAAAAGGTTTTGGACAGTGATTTTAACCCTAACGCCAAAAACCTTAAACCTTACCATAGCCCCATAACCTAATACCTGGGTATTACCTTCAGGAAGCCCGAACACCCCAATTATTTTTTTTTCTTTTTACATTTTTTTTGGTGTAACCAACTCCAAAAGGTCTGAAACATGTTCCTATAAAGGTTTTGGACAGTGATTTTAACCCTAACGCCAAAAACCTTCAACCTTACCCTATTCCCGAACCTTATACCCGGGTATTAACTTAAGGAAGCCTTCACACCCCAAACATTTTTTTTTTCATTTTTCATTTTTTTTTTTTTTGGTCTAGCTTACTCCAAAAGGTTGGAAAAGAGTTCCTACAAAGGTTTTGGACAGTGATTTTAACCCTAACGCCAAAAACCTTTAACCTTACCCTAGCCCTGTAATATAATATATACATAATTTACAAACACATAGTCTAAAAGATAGACAGCATGGCATACCAATTGAGTGGAGTCATTAAACTTCCTACCAACACATAATTTTTACACACAGATTGAGCTTGGAGACTTGACTGGGAACATGTGATATGTCAACATCCCCCTCACCAATCTTTATTTTCCACCATCTCCACCTCTCCCTTAAACCCCCCTCTCCCTCTTCCCTTCTCTCTCTCTCTCTCTCTCACACACACACACACACACACACACACACACCTCTCTCTCTCTCTCTCTCTCTCTCTCTCTCCCTCATCTCTCTCCCTCATCTCTCCCCCTCATCTCTCCCCCTCTCTCTAACACCCCCCCTTTCTTATTCCCTCCCCTGCCCCTTTATTTTCACCTTCACAGAGGACAAATAGGTGATCTTCAGCCTCGGCCTACCCCGGCCGGGGGGTAACCCCTGTTGGGTCACCTATATGGAGGATTAAGAGAGACCTGAAGGGGAACCGCCGTGCCCCCTAAATCCTCCCCCTCTAACATCTTTTTTAACACTCTAAAATTAGCCAGCTAACCCCACTACAAACAACTTCATCAAAAATTTAAATAATAAATACTTATCAATAACTGACCATCAGTGACACCAGACTAAGTTAGCAAAAAAGAACACACACACACACACGTACAGATTTTCCCTTAGGACATTGATCAGATTTACATTTCTGTCTTTCTTTTAGGGAACTGTTCTCTGTTTTTAAGCTCACTTCTGATTTTTGCTATTTGCTCTTGACACTTCTTTTTTTCCTTTTTTCTTGCCCTTTCCCTTTTCAATCCACTTTTGTTCTTCTTTTATTTTTTCATTGTTTTATATTATTTTATTTTATTTTAGGGTTCCTGTGCTTTTGTTTTTCTTCCCCCTCCCCTCTTTTTTCTTAGGAAGGACTGACTCCTGAGGTTCTCATGCCAGGAAAAATGTACCTCCCTCACTCACGGTTTTACCCACAATCCTTTGCTGCAACAGGGAGATTGATTCCCAAGGCTCTCATGCCAGAAAGGAAGTACCTCACTCACTCACGGTTTTACCCACAATCCTTTGCTGTAACAGGAAGATTGATTCCTTAGGCTCTCATCCCTCAGAACTAAAATACCCACAATCCCTTGCGATTGCATACAAATTGAATGTAGCAAAACTCAATTTAAAACAATAAACTACATTAAAATTAACTTAAAACAACTTCAAGGTTTAAAATACAACCAAGAGACATCCATTCTGGAATACAAACATCGAGAAGAGAACACAACCATGTCTGAGAGGAACAGCACAAACCATGACTCGAGCCCAACTCTGGGGATGTCTTCTCGTGTGAAAAGCACATTTAAGTGCCGTGCACTAAAGAGCAATTCCTGTTCCAGTTATTCAGACAAAGCACTGACCTCTGGACCAAGAAGACGGACCACCATCGAGGAAGACGCCGCGCCGCCAACTGAAAGAAGACGCCGCACCTCCATCACTCCAAGCCGCCCACCACCGAGCTTCGACCCGCCGACAGCACCGAGTCCCAGCAAACCTTCCCGCGGAGCGCTGATCTTCTTTCCCCCGCCGAGGACCCCGGACTTCAGACACACCGCTGCCACCGCGGATGGACAGCTGGAACCTTTTCCCCCCTCCAACAGATTTTAGACTACTGGAAAAGAAACCCCTCACATCAACAACAACTTAGGACCACTAGGGTAAGTCTACAAAAAACCTCTCAAACACCTCAAAATTACTCTAAATAGTTAGTTTTGTTTGTTGAACTTGAGTTTGTGTCGTTTTTGAACTTGAGTTTGTGGTGTTTTTGAACTTGAGTTTGTGTCGTGTTTGAAGTTTGTGGCAACTTATGAACTTGAGTTTGTTTGGCTTGATTTTTTGGCAAATGTTGAACTTGAGTCTATGGTTTTTAGTGAACTTTAGTTGGTGGCAATTGTTGAACTTTTGTTTGTGGCGTTCGTTGAACTTGAGTTTGTGGTGTTCATTGAACTTGAGTTTGTGGCATATTTGAACTTGAGTTTATTATGTTTTTTGAACTTGAGGTTCTGGTGTTTTCTAACTTAAGTTTGTGGAAATTGTTGAACTTGAGGATCGGGTGTTGCTTGAACTTGACTTGTTGTGTTTGTTGAACTTGAGTTTGTGGTGTTTGTTGAACTTGAGTTTGTGTGGTGTTTTTGAACTTGAGTTTGTGAAGTGTTTGAACTTGAGTTTGTGTTTTTTTTAACCTTGAGGTTGTGGCAATTGTTAAACTTGAGAATCGGGTGGTGGTTGAACTTGAGTTTGTGGTGTTCATTGAACTTGAGTTTGTGGCATATTTGAACTTGAGTTTATCATGTTTTTTGAACTAGAGGTTCTGGTGTTTTTTAACTTAAGTTTGTGGAAATTGTTGAACTTGAGGATCGGGTGTTGCTTGAACTTGACTTGTTGTGTTTGTTGAACTTGAGTTTTAGTCCTTGAGCCAAGAACCAAAATTTCACATATCGGTACCACCTAGGTGGGCAAATTCTAGTTGTGATTTTTTTATACATCCCTACAATAAGTTTTTATTTGATAGACCTTGGTAACAGGTAGCTTTATTGTAGTTATTACTCATTGAAGTAATAGAGTGCAGCTGTTCAAAAACGAAAAATCGCCTTCCTTCAAAATGAGCTTTCTTTCATTTTAACCTCTCATTTAGGTGTGTTTGAACTATTGGCTAGCCATAGAGACTTGTATTAACCCCCTAAGTAGTATTTCAAGTAATTTATCTAATACAGGTGTGTATATATAAGCTTCAATTAGCTAATTGTCAGGTCTAAATCAAGGTCTAAATTAAGGATATTTTTTGACTTAGAAATAGAAATAAAATAAATGCAGACTAATAGCATTATAATAACACAACTTTAATATGACACTGACATATTTTAAATGTAGGCACTCAATATACAATCATCCTGGCTGGTGCAGGGCAAGAAGACATTAGCAACAAAATAAGATCTACTGATGTATACACTCTATACAATCATCTGAGAAAAACTCCAATTCCTATTCAAAGTCCTATTCTTTCCATAAGGAACAGTGACGGCAAATATGGCTTAGCACATAATTCTGTCACTGAGTCACAGTGGGTCTGCTAACATAGCTCCCTTTGGTCATCACTTATTAATCAACATCAGTAATCGACATCAGTATCTGTATCTTCTTCTACATCTGAATCTGCCGGTGTGCAAGGGGCTCTTCCTCACTGTACTGGTTGGCACAAGTTTGTAATTTGCACAGGTTTGTGCACTTCAGCCCATTGCTGAGACAGGTGCAGTCTGGTGGTTTGCATGTCCTCACACACTTCAGTTTGTGGTGTTTTTGAACTTCAGTTTGTGGCACTTTTTTAACTTTTAAGTTTTTGGCAATTGTTAAATGTGAGTTTAGGTCATTTGTTGAACTTGAAATTTTGGAATTTGTTGAACTTAAGATTGTGGTGTTTGTTGAACTTGAGTTTGTGGCAATTGTTGAACTTGAGTCTGTATTTTTCTCTGAACTTTAGTTGGTGGCAATTGTTGAACTTGAGTTTGTGGTGTTTTTGCACCTGAGTTTGTGTCGTGTTTGAACTTGAGTTTGTGTTGTTTTTGAACTAGAGGTTGTGGCAATTGTTAAACTTGAGATTTGGGTCTTGGTTGAACTTGAGTTTGTGGTGTTTTTTGGACTTGAGTTTGTGTCGTGTTTGAATTTTAGTTTGTGTGTTTTTTTATCTTAAGTTTGTGGCAATTAATGAACTTGAGTTTGTTGAACTTGAGTTTGTGGTCTTTGTTGAACTTGAGTTTGTGGTTTTTAGTGAACTGTAGTTGGTGGCATCTTTGAACTTGAGTTTGTAGCATTTGTTGAACTTGAGTTTGTGATGTGTTTGAACTTGTGTTTGTGGAATTTGTTGAACCTGAGTTTGTGTCGTGTTTGGTTTTTTGAACTTGAGGTTGTGGAAATTGTTAAACTTGAGACTTGGGATTTGGTTGAACTTGAGTTTGTGTCATGTTTGAACTTGAGTTTGTGATGTGTTTGAACTTGTGTTTGTGGAATTTGTTGAACTTGAGTTTGTGTCGTGTTTGAACTTGAGTTTGTGGTGTTTTTGAACTTGAGTTTGTGTCGTGTTTGAACTTGAGTTTGTGTCGTGTTTGAACTTGAGGTTGTGGCAATTGTTAAACTTGAGATTTGGGTGTTGGTTGAACTTGAGATTGTGCCTTTTTTTGAATTTGAGTTTGTGGCATGTTTGAACTTGAGTTTCTGTTGTTTTTGAACTTGAGGTTGTGGAAATTGTTAAACTTGAGGTTTGGGTGTTGGTTGATCTTGAGTTTGTGTCTTGTTTGAACTTTTGTTTTTGGATTTTTTGAACTAGAGTTTGTGTGTTTTTTGAACATAAGATTGTGGCAACTTATGAACTTGAGTATGTTGAAATTAAGTTTGTGGCAAATGTTGCACTTGAGTTTGTGGTTTTTTTTACTTGAGTTTGTGTCGTGTTTTTGAACTTGAGTTTGTGGTGTTTTTGAACTTGAGTTTGTTTTGTGTTTGAAATTGAGTTTGTGGTGTTTTTGAACTTGAGTTTGTGTGTTTTTGAACTTGAGTTTGTGGTGTTTTTGAACTTCAGTTTGTGGCACTTTTTTAACTTGAGTTTGTTGAACTTTAGTTTTTGGCAATTGTTAAATGTGAGTTAAGGTTGAACTTGAAATTTTGGAATTTGTTGAACTTAAGAATGTGGTGTTTGTTGAACTTGAGTTTGTGGCAATTGTTGAACTTGAGTTTTTGCGTGTTTGAACTTGAGTTAGTGGTGTTTTTGAACTTGAGGTTTTGGCAAATGTTAAACTTGATATTTGGGTGTTGTTTGAACTTGAGTTTGTGTCGTGTTTGAACTTGAATTTGTGTCGTGTTTGAACTTGAGTTTGTGTCGTGTTTGAACTTGAGGTTGTGGCAATTGTTAAACTTGAGATTTGGGTGTTGGTTGAACTTGAGATTGTGCCTTTTTTTGAATTTGAGTTTGTGGCATGTTTGAACTTGAGTTTCTGTTGTTTTTGAACTTGAGGTTGTGGAAATTGTTAAACCTGAGATTTGGGTGTTGATTGAACTTGAGTTTTTTGTTGTGTTTTAACTTGAGTTTGTGGTGTTTTTGAAATTGAGTTTGTGGCGTGTTTGAACTTGAATTCGTGGTGTTTTAGAACTTTAGTTTGTGTGTTTGTTGAACTTGAGTTTTTGGCGTGTTTTAACTTGAGTTTGTGGTGTTTTTGAAGTTGAGGTTGTGGCAATTTTAAAACTAGAGACTTGGGTGTTGGTTGAAATTCAGTTTTTGGCCTTATTTGAACTTGAGTTTTTGTCGTGCTTGAACTTGAGTTTGTGGCGTGTTTTTGAACTTGAGTTTGTCTGTATGTTGAAATTGAGTTTTTGGCGTGTTTGAACTTGAGTTTGTTTTGTTTTTGAACTTGAGGTTTTTGAAATTGTTTAACTTAAGAATTGGGTATTGATTGAACTTGAGTTTGTGTGTTTGTTGAACTTTAGTTTGTGTCATTTAGAACTTAAGTTTGTGGTGTTTTTGAACTTGAAGATCTTGAAATTGTTAAACCTGAGAATTGGGTAATGGTAAAACTTGAGATTTGGGATTAGGTTGAACTATAGTTTGTGTCCTGTTTGAACTTGAGATTGTGGTGTTTTTGAACTTGAATTTTTTTTTTTAACTTGAGTTTGTGGAGTTTTTGAATTTGAGTTTCTGTTGTCTTTGAACTTGAAGTTGTTGCAATTGTTAAACTTGAGATTTGGGTGTTGGTTGAACTTCAGATTCGGTGTTGTAGTGTTTTTGAACTTGAATTTGTGTGTTTTTTGAACTTGAGTTTGTTGCAATTTTTGAACTTGAGTTTGTTAAACGTGAGTTTTTGGCAATTGTTAAATGTGAGTTTAGGTCATTCGTTGAATTTGAAATGTTGGCATTTTTTGAACTTAAGATTGTGGTGTTTGTTGAACTTGAGTTTGTGGCGTGTTTGAACTTGAGTTTGTGTCGTGTTTGAACTTTAGTTACTGTTGTTTTTTCACTTGAGGTTGTGGCAATTGTTAAACTTAAGATTAGGGTGCTGGTTTAACTTGAGTTTGTGTCCTGTTTGAACTTGAGTTTGTTTGTTGGTCTAACTTGAGTTTTTGGCGTGTTTTAACTTGAGTTACTGTTGTTTTTTAACTTGAGGTTGTGGCAATTGTTAAACTTGAGATTTGTGTGTTTGTTTAATTGAGTTTGTGGCGTGTTTTAACTTGAGTTTCTGTTGTTTTTGAACTTAAGTTTTTGTGATTTTTTGAACTTGAGTTGTGGTGTTTTTGAACTTGAGTTTGTAGCGTTTGTTGAACTTGAGTTTGTTGCGTGCTTTAACTTGAATTTTTTTTGTTTTTTAACTTGAGGTTTTGGCAACTGTTAAACTTTAGATTTGGGTTGGTTGAACTTGAGTTTCTGTTGTATTTGAACTTAAGTTTTTGTGATTTTTGAACTTGAGTTTGTGTGTTTTTGAACTTGAGTTTTGTGTTTTTTGAACTTGAGTTTGTGGTGTTTTTGAACTTGAGTTTTGTGAACTTAAGTTTGAGTTTGTTAATCTTGAGTTTTTGTGTTTTTGAACTTGAGTTTGTGGTGTTTTTGAACGAACTTAAGTTTGTGGTAATTGTTAATCTTGAGTTTTTGTGGTTTTTTAACTTGAGTTTATGGTGTTTTTGAACTTGAGTTTGTGTGTTTTTTGAACTTGAGTTTGTGGTGTTTTTGAACTTGAGTTTGTGGGGTTTTCGAACTTAAGTTTGTGGCAATTGTTAATCTTGAGTTTTTGTGATTTTTGAACTTGAGTTTGTGGTGTTTTTGAACTTGAGTTTGTGTGTTTTTTGAACTTGAGTTTGTATGTTTTTTTGAACTTAAGTTTGTGGCAATTGTTAAACTTGAGATTTATGTGTTGGTTGAACTTGAGTTTGTACTGTTTTTGAACTTGAGTTTGTGGCGTGTTTTAACTTGAATTTCTGTTGTTTTTGAACTTGAGTTTGTGTCATGTCTGAACTTGAGTTTGTGGTGTTTTTAAACTTGAGTTTGTGTGTTTTTTGAACTTGAGTTTGTGTCGTGTTTGAACTTGAGTTTGTGTGTTTTTCGAACTTAAGTTTGTGGCAATTGTTAAACTTGAGTTTGTGTGTTTTTTAAACTTGAGTTTGTGGTGTTTTTGAACTTGAGTTTGTGTGTTTTTTTAACTTAAGTTTGTGGCAATTGTTAAATTTGAGATTTGGGTGATGGTTGAACTTGAGTTTATGGTGTTTTTGAACTTGAGTTTATGTGTTTTTTTAACTTGAGTTTGTGGCATGTTTTAACTTTAGTTTCTGTTGTTTTTGAACTTGAGCTTGTGGCAATTGTAAAACTTGAGATTTGGGATTAGGTTGAACTATAGTTTGTGTAGTGTTTGAACTTGAGTTTGTGGTGTTTCTGAACTTGAGTTGGTGGTGTTTTTGAACTTGAGTTTGCGGAAATTGTTGAACTTGAGAATTTAGTGTTTGTTGAACTTGAGTTTGTGTCGTGTTTGCACTTGAGTTTTTGGTGTTTTTCAATTTGATTTTGTTTGTTTTTTGAACTTGAGTTTGTGTGTTTTTTTAACTTAAGTATGTGTGTTTGTTGAACTTGAGTTTGTGGTGTTTTTTGAACTTGAGGTTGTGGTTTTTTCGAACTTGAGTTTGTGTTTTTCTAGAACTTGAGTTTTTGACATGTTTTCATTTGAGGTTGTTGCAATTTTTCAACTTGAGATTTGGGTGTTGGTTGAACTTGAAACTGTGACATTTGTTGAACTTGAGTTTGTGGTGTTTGTTGAACTTGAGTTTGTATTGTGTTTGAAATTGAGTTTGTGGTGTTTTTGAACTTGAGGTTGTGTGTTTTTTGAACTTGAGTTTGTGGTGTTTTTGAACTTCAGTTTGTGGCACTTTTTTAACTTGAGTTTGTTGAACTTTAGTTTTTGGCAATTGTTAAATGTGAGTTTAGGTCATTTGTTGAACTTGAAATTTTAGGATTTGTTGAACTTAAGATTGTGGTGTTTGTTGAACTTGAGTTTTTGTGTGTTTGAACTTGAGTTAGTGGAGTTTTTGAACTTGAGGTTTTGGCAAATGTTAAACTTGATATTTGGGTGTTTTTTGAACTTGAGTTTGTGTCGTGTTTGAACTTGAATTTGTGTCGTGTTTGAACTTGAGTTTGTGTTGTGTTTGAACTTGAGGTTGTGGATATTGTTAAACTTCAGATTTGGCTGTGATTGAACTTGAGTTTTTGTTGTGTTTGAACTTGAGTTTGTGGTGTTTTTTGAACTTGAGTTTGTGGCGTGTTTGAACTTAAATTCGTGGTGGTGTTTTAGAACTTGAGTTTGTGTGTTTGTTGAACTTGAGTTTGTGTCGTGTTTGAACTTGAGTTTGTGGTGTTTTTGAATTTGATTTTGTTTGTTTTTGAACTTGAGTTTGTGGTCTTTTTGAACTTGAGTTGGTGGTGTTTTTGAACTTGAGTTTTGTGTTTGAACTTGAGTTTGTGGTTTTTTTTTAACTTGAGTTTGTGGTGTTTTTGAAGTTGAGGTTGTGTGGTGTTTTCGAACTTAAGTTTGTGGTAATTGTTAATCTTGAGTTTTGTGATTTTTGAACTTGAGTTTGTGGTGTTTTTGAACTTGAGTTTATGTGTTTTTTGAACTTGAGTTTGTGGCATGTTTTTGAACTTGAGTTTGTGGGGTTTTTGAAATTGAGTTTTGTGGCAATTGTTAATCTTGAGATTTTTTGTGATTTTTGAACTTGAGTTTGTGGTGTTTTTGAACTTCAGTTTGTGTGTTTTTTGAACTTGAGTTTGTATGTTTTTCGAACTTAAGTTTGTGGCAATTGTTAAACTTGAGATTTGTGTGTTGGTTGAACTTGAGTTTGTGGTGTTTTTGAACTTAAGTTTGTGGCGTGTTTTAACTTGAATTTCTGTTGTTTTTGAACTTGAGTTTGTGTCATGTCTGAACTTGAGTTTGTGGTCTTTTTGAACTTGAGTTTGTGTGTTTTTTGATCTTGAGTTTGTGGTGTCTTTGAACTTGAGTTTGTGTGTTTTTCGAACTTAAGTTTGTGACAATTGTTGAACTCGAGTTTGTGTGTTTTTTAAACTTGAGTTTGTGGTGTTTTTGAACTTGAGTTTATGTGTTTGTTTAACTTGAGTTTGTGGCATGTTTTAACTTTATTTTCTGTTGTTTTTGAACTTGAGGTTGTGGCAATTGTAAAACTTGAGATTTGGGATTAGGTTGTACTATAGTTTGTGTCGTGTTTGAACTTGAGTTTGTGGTGTTTCTGAACTTGATTTTGTTTGTTTTTTGAACTTGAGTTTGTGTGTTTTTTGAACTTGAGTATGTGTGTTTGTTGAACTTGAGTTTGTGGTGTTTTTTTAACTTGAGGTTGTGGTTCTTTTGAACTTGAGTTTGTGTTTTTCTAGAACTTGAGTTTTTGACATGTTTTATTTTGAGGTTGTTGCAACTCTTCAACTTGAGATTTGGGTGTTGGTTGAACTTGAAACTGTGACATTTGTTGAACTTGAGTTTGTGGTGTTTGTTGAACTTGAGTTTGTATTGTGTTTGAAATTGAGTTTGTGGTGTTTTTGAACTTGAGTTTGTGTGTTTTTTGAACTTGAGTTTGTGGTGTTTTTGAACTTCAGTTTGTGGCACTTTTTTAACTTGAGTTTGTTGAACTTTAGTTTTTGGCAATTGTTAAATGTGAGTTTAGGTCATTTGTTGAACTTGAAATTTTGGAATTTGTTGAACTTAAGATTGTGGTGTTTGTTGAACTTGAGTTTGTGGCAATTGTTGAACTTGATTTTTTGCGTGTTTGAACTTGAGTCAGTGGAGTTTTTGAACTTGAGGTTTTGGCAAATGTTAAACTTGATATTTGGGTGTTGTTTGAACTTGAGTTTGTGTCGTGTTTGAACTTGAATTTGTGTCGTGTTTGAACTTGAGTTTGTGTCGTGTTTGAACTTGAGGTTGTGGCAATTGTTAAACTTGAGATTTGGGTGTTGGTTGAACTTGAGATTGTGGCTTTTTTTGAATTTGAGTTTGTGGAAATTGTTAAACTTAAGATTTGCGTGTTGATTGAACCTGAGTTTTTTGTTGTGTTTGAACTTGAGTTTGTTGTGTTTTTTGAATTTGAGTTTGTGGCGTGTTTGAACTTGAATTCGTGGTGTTTTAGAACTTGAGTTTGTGTGTTTTTTGAACTTGAGTATGTGTGTTTGTTGAACTTGAGTTTGTGGTGTTTTTTGAACTTGAGGTTGTGGTTCTTTTGAACTTGAGTTTGTGTTTTTCTAGAACTTGAGTTTTTGACATGTTTTATTTTGAGGTTGTTGCAATTCTTCAACCTGAGATCTGGGTGTTGGTTGAACTTGAAACTGTGACATTTGTTGAACTTGAGTTTGTGGTGTTTGTTGAACTTGAGTTTGTATTGTGTTTGAAATTGAGTTTGTGGTGTTTTTGAACTTGAGTTTGTGTCGTGTTTGAAATTGAGTTTGTGGTGTTTTTGAACTTGAGGTTGTGTGTTTTTTGAACTTGAGTTTGTGGTGTTTTTGAACTTCAGTTTGTGGCACTTTTTTAACTTGAGTTTGTTGAACTTTAGTTTTTGGCAATTGTTAAATGTGAGTTTAGGTCATTTGTTGAACTTGAAATTTTGGAATTTGTTGAACTTAAGATTGTGGTGTTTGTTGAACTTGAGTTTGTGGCAATTGTTGAACTTGATTTTTTGCGTGTTTGAACTTGAGTCAGTGGAGTTTTTGAACTTGAGGTTTTGGCAAATGTTAAACTTGATATTTGGGTGTTGTTTGAACTTGAGTTTGTGTCGTGTTTGAACTTGAATTTGTGTCGTGTTTGAACTTGAGTTTGTGTCGTGTTTGAACTTGAGGTTGTGGCAATTGTTAAACTTGAGATTTGGGTGTTGGTTGAACTTGAGATTGTGGCTTTTTTTGAATTTGAGTTTGTGGCATGTTTGAACTTGAGAACTTGAGGTTGTGGAAATTGTTAAACTTAAGATTTGCGTGTTGATTGAACCTGAGTTTTTTGTTGTGTTTGAACTTGAGTTTGTTGTGTTTTTTGAATTTGAGTTTGTGGCGTGTTTGAACTTGAATTCGTGGTGTTTTAGAACTTGAGTTTGTGTGTTTTTTGAACTTGAGTATGTGTGTTTGTTGAACTTGAGTTTGTGGTGTTTTTTGAACTTGAGGTTGTGGTTCTTTTGAACTTGAGTTTGTGTTTTTCTAGAACTTGAGTTTTTGACATGTTTTATTTTGAGGTTGTTGCAATTCTTCAACCTGAGATCTGGGTGTTGGTTGAACTTGAAACTGTGACATTTGTTGAACTTGAGTTTGTGGTGTTTGTTGAACTTGAGTTTGTATTGTGTTTGAAATTGAGTTTGTGGTGTTTTTGAACTTGAGTTTGTGTCGTGTTTGAACTTGAGTTTGTGTTGTTTTTGAACTAGAGGTTGTGGCAATTGTTAAACTTGAGATTTGGGTGTTGGTTGAACTTGAGTTTGTGGTGTTTTTTGATCTTGAGTTTGTGTCTTGTTTGAACTTTTGTTTTTGAGATTTTTTTTTGTTTGTTTGTTTGTTTTTTTTTCACCTAACGCCAAACAATAAAACCTTACCATAGCCCCATAACCTAATACCCGGGTATTACCTTCAGGAAGCTCGAACACCCCAAATATTTTTTTTTCATTTTACATTTTTGTTGGTGTAACCAACTCCAAAAGGTTGGAAAAGAGTTCCTGCAAAGGTTTTTGACAGTGATTTTAACCCTAACGCCAAAAAACTTAAACCTTACCCTAGCCTTAAAATCTAATACCCGGGTATTACATTCAGGAAGCCCGAAAACCCCAAATATTTTTTTTTTCATTTTTCATTTTTTTTGGTCTAACTAACTCCAAAAGGTTGGAAAAGAGTTCTTACAAAGGTTTTGGACAGTGATTTTAACCCTAACGCCAAAAAACTTAAACCTTACCATAGCCCCATAACTTATTACCCGGGTATTACTTTTAGGAAGCCCGAACAACCAAAATATATATTTTTTTCATTTTACATTTTTGTTGGTGTAACCAACTCCAAAAGGTTGGAAAAAGAGTTCCTGCAAAGGTTTTGGACAGTGATTTTAAACCTAATGCCAAAAACCTTAAACCTTACCATAGCCCCATAACCTAATACCCGGGTATTACCTTCAGGAAGCCCGGAAACCCCAAATATTTTTGTTTTCATTTTTCATTCTTTTTTTGGTCTAACTTACTCCAAAAGGTTGGAAAAGAGTTCCTACAAAGGTTTTTGACAGTGATTTTAAACCTAACGCCAAAAACCTTAAACCTTACCCTAGCCTTAAAATCTAATACCCGGGTATTACCTTCAGGAAGCCCAAACACCCCAAATATTTTTTTTTTCATTTTACTTTTTTGTTGTTGTAACCAACTCCAAAAGGTTGGAAAAGAGTTCCTACAAAGGTTTTGGACAGTGATTTTAACCCTAACGCCAAAAACCTTAAACCTTTCCCTAGTCCCAAAACCTAATACCGGGGTATTACATTCAGGAACCCCGAACACCCCAAATATTTTTTTGTTCATTTTACATTTTTGTTGGTGTAACCAACTCCAAAAGGTTGGAAAAGAGTTCCTACAAAGGTTTTGGACAGTGATTTTAACCCTAACGCCAAAAAACTTAAACCTTACCCTAGCCTTAAAATCTAATACACGGGTATTACATTCAGGAAGCCCGAAAACCCCAAATATATATTTTTTCATTTTTCATTTTTTTTTTGGTTTAACTAACTCCAAAAGGTTGGAAAAGAGTTCCTACAAAGGTTTTGGACAGTGATTTTAACCCTAACGCCAAAAAACTTAAACCTTACCATAGCCCCAAAACCTAATACCCGGGTATTACTTTCAGGGAGCCCGAAAACCCCCAATAATATTTTTTTCTTTTTTCATATTTTTTGGTCTAACTAACTCCAAAAGGTTGGAAAAGAGTTCCTACAAAGGTTTTGGACAGTGATTTTAAACCTAACGCCAAAACGTTAAACCTTACCATAGCCCCATAACCTAATACCCGGGTATTACTTTCAGGGAGCCCGAAAACCCCCAATAATATTTTTTTCTTTTTTCATACTTTTTGGTCTAACTAACTCCAAAAGGTTGGAAAAGAGTTCCTACAAAGGTTTTGGACAGTGATTTTAACCCTAACGCCAAAAAACTTAAACCTTTCCCTGGCCTTAAAATCTAATACCAGGGTATTACATTCAGGAAGCCCGTAAACCCCAAATATTTTTTTTTTCATTTTTCATTTTTTTTTTGGTCTAACTAACTACAAAGGGTTGAAAAAGAGTTCCTACAAAGGTTTTGGACAGTGATTTTAACCCTAACGCCAAAAACCTTAAACCTTACCATAGCCCCATAACCTAATACCCGGGTATTACCTTCAGGAAGCCCGAAAACCCCAAATATTTTTTTGTTCATTTTACATTTTTGTTGGTGTAACCAACTCCAAAAGGTTGGAAAAGAGTTCCTACAAAGGTTTTGGACAGTGATTTTAACCCTAACGCCAAAAAACTTAAACCTTACCCTAGCCTTAAAATCTAATACCCGGGTATTACATTCAGGAAGCCCGAAAACCCCAAATATATATTTTTTCATTTTTCATTTTTTTTTTGGTTTAACTAACTCCAAAAGGTTGGAAAAGAGTTCCTACAAAGGTTTTGGACAGTGATTTTAACCCTAACGCCAAAAAACTTAAACCTTACCATAGCCCCAAAACCTAATACCCGGGTATTACTTTCAGGGAGCCCGAAAACCCCCAATAATATTTTTTTCTTTTTTCATATTTTTTGGTCTAACTAACTCCAAAAGGTTGGAAAAGAGTTCCTACAAAGGTTTTGGACAGTGATTTTAAACCTAACGCCAAAACGTTAAACCTTACCATAGCCCCATAACCTAATACCCGGGTATTACTTTCAGGGAGCCCGAAAACCCCCAATAATATTTTTTTCTTTTTTCATACTTTTTGGTCTAACTAACTCCAAAAGGTTGGAAAAGAGTTCCTACAAAGGTTTTGGACAGTGATTTTAACCCTAACGCCAAAAAACTTAAACCTTTCCCTGGCCTTAAAATCTAATACCAGGGTATTACATTCAGGAAGCCCGTAAACCCCAAATATTTTTTTTTTCATTTTTTTTTTTGGTCTAACTAACTACAAAGGGTTGAAAAAGAGTTCCTACAAAGGTTTTGGACAGTGATTTTAACCCTAACGCCAAAAACCTTAAACCTTACCATAGCCCCATAACCTAATACCCGGGTATTACTTTTAGGAAGCCTGAACACCCCAAATATATTTTTTTTCATTTTTCATTTTTTTTTGGTCTAACTAACTCCAAAAGGTTGGAAAAGAGTTCCTACAAAGGTTTTGGACAGTGATTTTAACCCTAACGCCAAAAAACTTAAACCTTACCCTAGCCTTAAAATCTAATACCCGGGTATTAAATTCAGGAAGCCCGAACACCCCAAATATATATTTTTTCATTTTTCATTTTTTTTTGGTTTATCTAATTCCAAAAGGTTGGAAAAGTGTTCCTACAAAGGTTTTGGACAGGGATTTTAACCCTTATGCCAAAAAACTTAAACCTTACCCTAGCCACAAAACCTAATACCTGGGTATTACTTTTAGGAAGCCTGAACTCCCCAAATATTTTTTTTAATTTTTCATTTTTTTTTGGTCTAACTAAATCCAAAAGGTTGTTAAAGAGTTCCTACAAAGGTTTTGGACAGTGATTTTAAACCTAACGCCAAAACGTTAAACCTTACCATAGCCCCATAACCTAATACCCGGGTATTACTTTTAGGAAGCCTGAACACCCCAAATATTTTTTTTTCATTTTTCTTTTTTTTTGGTCTAACTAACTCCAAAAGGTTGGAAAAGAGTTCCTACAAAGGTTTTGGACAGTGATTTTAACCCTAATGCCAAAAACCTTAAACCTTTCCCTAGTCCCAAAACCTAATACACGGGTATTACTTTCAGGGAGCCCGAAAACCCCCAATAATATTTTTTTCTTTTTTCATATTTTTTGGTCTAACTAACTCCAAAAGTTTGGAAAAGAGTTCCTACAAAGGTTTTGGACAGTGATTTTAACCCTAACGCCAAAAACCTTAAACCTTACCCTAGCCTTGAAATCTAATACCCGGGTATTACCTTCAGGAAGCCTGAACACCCCAAATATTTTTTTCTTCATTTTACATTTTTGTTGGTGTAACCAACTCCAAAAGGTTGGAAAAGAGTTCCTACAAAGGTTTTGGACAGTGATTTTAACCCTAATGCCAAAAAACTTAAACCTTACCCTAGCCTCAAAATCTAATACCCGGGTATTACATTCAGGAACCCCGAAAATCCCAAATATTGTTTTTTAATTTTTCATTTTTTTTTGGTCTGACTAACTCCAAAAGGTTGGAAAAGAGTTCCTACAAAGGTTTTGGACAGTGATTTTAACCCTAACGCCAAAAAACTTAAACCTTACCATAGCCCCATAACCTAATACCTGGGTATTACTTTTAGGAAGCCTGAACACCCCAAATATTTTTTTTTCATTTTTCTTTTTTTTTTGGTCTAACCAACTCCAAAAGGTTAAAAAAGTGTTCCTACAAAGGTTTTGGACAGTGATTTTAACCCTAATGCCAAAAAACTTAAACCTTACCCTGGCCTTAAAATCTAATACCCGGGTATTACATTCAGGAAGCCCGAACACCCCAAATATTTTTTTTTCATTTTACATTTTTTTTGGTGTAACCAACTCCAAAAGGTTGGAAAAGAGTTCCTACAAAGGTTTTGGACAGTGATTTTAACCCTAACGCCAAAAAACTTAAACCTTACCATAGCCCCAAAACCTAATACCCGGGTATTACTTTCAGGAAGCCCGAAAACCCCAATAATATTTTTTTCTTTTTCAATTTTTTGGTCTAACTAACTCCAAAAGGTTGGAAAAGAGTTCCTACAAAGGTTTTGGACAGTGATTTTAACCCTAACGCCAAAAAACTTAAACCTTACCCTAGCCTTTAAATCTAATACCCGGGTATTAAATTCAGGAAGCCCGAACACCCCAAATATATATTTTTTCATTTTTCATTTTTTTTTGGTTTATCTAATTCCAAAAGGTTGGAAAAGTGTTCCTACAAAGGTTTTGGACAGGGATTTTAACCCTTATGCCAAAAAACTTAAACCTTACCCTAGCCACAAAACCTAATACCTGGGTATTACTTTTAGGAAGCCTGAACTCCCCAAATATTTTTTTTAATTTTTCATTTTTTTTTGTTCTAACTAAATCCAAAAGGTTGTTAAAGAGTTCCTACAAAGGTTTTGGACAGTGATTTTAAACCTAACGCCAAAAACGTTAAACCTTACCATAGCCCCATAACCTAATACCCGGGTATTACTTTTAGGAAGCCTGAACACCCCAAATATTTTTTTTTCATTTTTCTTTTTTTTTTGGTCTAACTAACTCCAAAAGGTTGGAAAAGAGTTCCTACAAAGGTTTTGGACAGTGATTTTAACCCTAACGCCAAAAAACTAAAACCATACCATAGCCCCAAAACCTAATACCCGGGTATTACTTTCAGGGAGCCCGAAAACCCCCAATAATATTTTTTTCTTTTTTCAATATTTTTTGGTCTAACTAACTCCAAAAGGTTGGAAAAGAGTTCCTACAAAGGTTTTGGACAGTGATTTTAACCCTAACGCCAAAAAACTTAAACCTTACCCTAGCCATAAAATCTAATACCCGGGTATTAAATTCAGGAAGCCCGAACACCCCAAATATATATTTTTTCATTTTTCATTTTTTTTTGGTTTATCTAATTCCAAAAGGTTGGAAAAGTGTTCCTACAAAGGTTTTGGACAGTGATTTTAACCCTAATGCCAAAAAACTTAAACCTTACCCTAGCCACAAAACCTAATACCTGGGTATTACTTTTAGGAAGCCTGAACTCCCCAAATATTTTTTTTAATTTTTCATTTTTTTTTGGTCTAACTAAATCCAAAAGGTTGTTAAAGAGTTCCTACAAAGGTTTTGGACAGTGATTTTAACCATAACGCCAAAAACTTAAACCTTACCATAGCCCCATAACCTAATACCCGGGTATTACTTTTAGGAAGCCTGAACACCCCAAATATTTTTTTTTCATTTTTCTTTTTTTTTGGTCTAACTAACTCCAAAAGGTTGGAAAAGAGTTCCTACAAAGGTTTTGGACAGTGATTTTAACCCTAATGCCAAAAACCTTAAACCTTTCCCTAGTCCCAAAACCTAATACACGGGTATTACTTTCAGGGAGCCCGAAAACCCCCAATAATATTTTTTTCTTTTTTCATATTTTTTGGTCTAACTAACTCCAAAAGGTTGGAAAAGAGTTCCTACAAAGGTTTTGGACAGTGATTTTAACCCTAACGCCAAAAACCTTAAACCTTACCCTAGCCTTGAAATCTAATACCCGGGTATTACCTTCAGGAAGCCTGAACACCCCAAATATTTTTTTCTTCATTTTACATTTTTGTTGGTGTAACCAACTCCAAAAGGTTGGAAAAGAGTTCCTACAAAGGTTTTGGACAGTGATTTTAACCCTAATGCCAAAAAACTTAAACCTTACCCTAGCCTCAAAATCTAATACCCGGGTATTACATTCAGGAACCCCGAAAACCCCAAATATTGTTTTTTAATTTTTCTTTTTTTTTTGGTCTAACTAACTCCAAAAGGTTGGAAAAGAGTTCCTACAAAGGTTTTGGACAGTGATTTTAACCCTAACGCCAAAAAACTTAAACCTTACCATAGCCCCATAACCTAATACCTGGGTATTACTTTTAGGAAGCCTGAACACCCCAAATATTTTTTTTTCATTTTTCTTTTTTTTTTTTTGGTCTAACCAACTCCAAAAGGTTTAAAAAGAGTTCCTACAAAGGTTTTGGACAGTGATTTTAACCCTAACGCCAAAAAACTTAAACCTTACCCTAGCCTTAAAATCTAATACCCGGGTATTACATTCAGGAAGCCTGAACACCCCAAATATTTTTTTTTTCATTTTACATTTTTTTTGGTGTAACCAACTCCAAAAGGTTGGAAAAGAGTTCCTACAAAGGTTTTGGACAGTGATTTTAACCCTAACGCCAAAAAACTTAAACCATACCATAGCCCCAAAACCTAATACCCGGGTATTACTTTCAGGGAGCCCGAAAACCCCCAATAATATTTTTTTCTTTTTTCAATATTTTTTGGTCTAACTAACTCCAAAAGGTTGGAAAAGAGTTCCTACAAAGGTTTTGGACAGTGATTTTAACCCTAACGCCAAAAAACTTAAACCTTACCATAGCCCCAAAACCTAATACCCGGGTATTACATTCAGGAAGCCCGTAAACCCCAAATATATTTTTTTTCATTTTTCATTTTTTTTTGGTCTAACTAACTCCAAAAGGTTGGAAAAGAGTTCCTACAAAGGTTTTGGACAGTGATTTTAACCCTAACGCCAAAAACCTTAAACCTTACCATAGCCCCATAACCTAATACCCGGGTATTACTTTTAGGAAGCCTGAACACCCCAAATATATTTTTTTTCATTTTTCATTTTTTTTTGGTCTAACTAAATCCAAAAGGTTGCTAAAGAGTTCCTACAAAGGTTTTGGACAGTGATTTTAACCCTAACGCCAAAAAACTTAAACCTTACCATAGCCCCATAACCTAATACCCGGGTATTACATTCAGGAAGCCCGAAAACCCCAAATATTTTTTTCTTCATTTTTCATTTTTTTTTGGTCTAACTAACTCCAAAAGGTTGGAAAAGAGTTCCTACAAAGGTTTTGGACAGTGATTTTAACCCTAACGCCAAAAACCTTAAACCTTACCATAGCCCCATAACCTAATACCTGGGTATTACTTTTAGGAAGCCTGAACAACCAAAATATATATTTTTTTCATTTTACATTTTTTTTGGTGTAACCAACTCCAAAAGGTTGGAAAAGAGTTCCTACAAAGGTTTTGGACAGTGATTTTAACCCTAACGCCAAAAACCTTAAACCTTACCATAGCCCCATAACCTAATACCCGGGTATTACCTTCAGGAAGCCCGGAAACCCCAAATATTTTTGTTTTCATTTTTCATTCTTTTTTTTGGTCTAACTAACTCCAAAAGGTTGGAAAAGAGTTCCTACAAAGGTTTTGGACAGTGATTTTAAACCTAACGCCAAAACCTTAAACCTTACCATGGCCCCATAACCTAATACCCGGGTATTACTTTTAGGAAGCCTGAACACCCCAAATATATATTTTTTTCATTTTACATTTTTGTTGGTGTAACTAACTCCAAAAGGTTGGAAAAGAGTTCCTACAAAGGTTTTGGACAGTGATTTTAACCCTAACGCCAAAAACCTTAAACCTTTCCATGGCCCCATAACCTAATACCCGGGTATTACTTTTAGGAAGCCTGAACACCCCAAATATTTTTTTTTCATTTTACATTTTTTTTTGGTGTAACCAACTCCAAAAGGTTGGAAAAGAGTTCCTACAAAGGTTTTGGACAGTGATTTTAACCCTAACGCCAAAAAACTTAAACCTTACCCTAGCCTTAAAATCTAATACCCGGGTATTACCTTCAGGAAGCCCAAACACCCCAAATATTTTTTTTTCATTTTACTTTTTTGTTGTTGTAACCAACTCCAAAAGGTTGGAAAAGAGTTCCTACAAAGGTTTTGGACAGTGATTTTAACCCTAACGCCAAAAACCTTAAACCTTTCCCTAGTCCCAAAACCTAATACCCGGGTATTACTTTCAGGGAGCCCGAAAACCCCCAATAATTTTTTTTTCTTTTTTCATTTTTTTTGGTGTAACCAACTCCAAAAGGTTGGAAAAGAGTTCCTACAAAGGTTTTGGACAGTGATTTTAACCCTAACGCCAAAAACCTTAAACCTTACCCTAGCCTTAAAATCTAATACCGGGGTATTACCTTCAGGAAGCCTGAACACCCCAAATATTTTTTTTTTTCATTTTACATTTTTGTTGGTGTAACCAACTCCAAAAGGTTGGAAAAGAGTTCCTACAAAGGTTTTGGACAGTGATTTTAACCCTAACGCCAAAAAACTTAAACCTTACCCTAGCCTTAAAATCTAATACCCGGGTATTACATTCAGGAAGCCCGAAAACCCCAAATATATATTTTTTCATTTTTCATTTTTTTTTTGGTTTAACTAACTCCAAAAGGTTGGAAAAGAGTTCCTACAAAGGTTTTGGACAGTGATTTTAACCCTAACGCCAAAAAACTTAAACCTTACCCTAGCCTTTAAATCTAATACCCGGGTATTACATTCAGGAAGCCCGAAAACCCCAAATATATATTTTTTCATTTTTCATTTTTTTTTGGTCTAACTAACTCCAAAAGGTTGGAAAAGAGTTCCTACAAAGGTTTTGGACAGTGATTTTAAACCTAACGCCAAAACGTTAAACCTTACCATAGCCCCATAACCTAATACCCGGGTATTACTTTTAGGAAGCCTGAACACCCCAAATATTTTTTTTTCATTTTACATTTTTGTTGGTGTAACTAACTCCAAAAGGTTGGAAAAGAGTTCCTACAAAGGTTTTGGACAGTGATTTTAACCCTAACACCAAAAAACTTAAACCTTACCCTGGCCTTAAAATCTAATACCCGGGTATTACATTCATTAAAATCTAATACCCGGGTATTTTTTTTTTCATTTTACATTTTTTTTTTTGGTGTAACCAACTCCAAAAGGTTGGAAAAGAGTTCCTACAAAGGTTTTGGACAGTGATTTTAAACCTAACGCCAAAACGTTAAACCTTACCATAGCCCCATAACCTAATACCCGGGTATTACTTTTAGGAAGCCTGAACACCCCAAATATTTTTTTTTCATTTTTCTTTTTTTTTTTGGTCTAACTAACTCCAAAAGGTTGGAAAAGAGTTCCTACAAAGGTTTTGGACAGTGATTTTAACCCTAACGCCAAAACCCTTAAACCTTACCCTAGTCCCAAAAACTAATATACGGGTATTACTTTCAGGGAGCCCGAAACCCCCAATAATTTTTTTTCTTTTTTCATATTTTTTGGTCTAACTAACTCCAAAAGGTTGGAAAAGAGTTCCTACAAAGGTTTTGGACAGTGATTTTAACCCTAACGCCAAAAACCTTAAACCTTACCCTAGCCTTGAAATCTAATACCCGGGTATTACCTTCAGGAAGCCTGAACACCCCAAAAATTTTTTTCTTCATTTTACATTTTTGTTGGTGTAACCAACTCCAAAAGGTTGGAAAAGAGTTCCTACAAAGGTTTTGGACAGTGATTTTAACCCTAACGCCAAAAAACTTAAACCTTACCATAGCCCCATAACCTAATACCTGGGTATTACTTTTAGGAAGCCTGAACACCCCAAATATTTTTTTTTCATTTTTCATTTTTTTTTGGTCTAACTAACTCCAAAAGGTTGGAAAAGAGTTCCTACAAAGGTTTTGGACAGTGATTTTAACCCTAATGCCAAAAAACTTAAACCTTACCCTGGCCTTAAAATCTAATACCCGGGTATTACCTTCAGGAAGCCCGAACACCCCAAATATTTTTTTTTTTTCATTTTACATTTTTTTTGGTGTAACTAACTCCAAAAGGTTGGAAAAGAGTTCCTACAAAGGTTTTGGACAGTGATTTTAACCCTAACGCCAAAAACCTTAAACCTTACCATAGCCCCATAACCTAATACCCGGGTATTACTTTTAGGAAGCCTGAACACCCCAAATATTTTTTTTTCATTTTTCTTTTTTTTTTGGTCTAACTAACTCCAAAAGGTTGGAAAAGAGTTCCTACAAAGGTTTTGGACAGTGATTTTAACCCTAACGCCAAAAACCTTAAACCTTTCCCTAGTCCCAAAACCTAATACACGGGTATTACTTTCAGGGAGCCCGAAAACCCCCAATAATATTTTTTTCTTTTTTCATTTTTTTTTGGTCTAACTAACTCCAAAAGGTTGGAAAAGAGTTCCTACAAAGGTTTTGGACAGTGATTTTAACCCTAACGCCAAAAACCTTAAACCTTACCATAGCCCCATAACCTAATACCCGGGTATTACTTTTAGGAAGCCTGAACACCCCAAATATTTTTTTTCATTTTTCTTTTTTTTTTTTGGTCTAACTAACTCCAAAAGGTTGGAAAAGAGTTCCTACAAAGGTTTTGGACAGTGATTTTAACCCTAACGCCAAAAACCTTAAACCTTACCATAGCCCCATAACCTAATACCCGGGTATTACTTTTAGGAAGCCTGAACACCCCAAATATTTTTTTTTCATTTTTCATTTTTTTTTTGGTCTAACTAACTCCAAAAGGTTGGAAAAGAGTTCCTACAAAGGTTTTGGACAGTGATTTTAACCCTAACGCCAAAAAACTTAAACCTTACCATAGCCCCAAAACCTAATACCCGGGTATTACTTTCAGGAAGCCCGAAAACCCCAAATAATATTTTTTTCTTTTTTCATATTTTTTGGTCTAACTAACTCCAAAAGGTTGGAAAAGAGTTCCTACAAAGGTTTTGGACAGTGATTTTAACCCTAACGCCAAAAAACTTAAACCTTACCATAGCCCCAAAACCTAATACACGGGTATTACTTTCAGGGAGCCCGAAAACCCCCAATTATATTTTTTTCTTTTTTCATATTTTTTGGTCTAACTAACTCCAAAAGGTTGGAAAAGAGTTCCTACAAAGGTTTTGGACAGTGATTTTAACCCTAACGCCAAAAAACTTAAACCTTACCCTAGCCAAAAAAACTAATACCAGGGTATTACATTCAGGAACCCCGAAAACCCCAAATATTGTTTTTTAATTTTTCATTTTTTTTTGGTCTAACTAACTCCAAAAGGTTGGAAAAGAGTTCCTACAAAGGTTTTGGACAGTGATTTTAACCCTAACGCCAAAAAACTTAAACCTTACCATAGCCCCATAACCTAATACCTGGGTATTACTTTTAGGAAGCCTGAACACCCCAAATATTTTTTTTTCATTTTTCTTTTTTTTTTGGTCTAACTAACTCCAAAAGGTTGGAAAAGAGTTCCTACAAAGGTTTTGGACAGTGATTTTAACCCTAACGCCAAAAACCTTAAACCTTACCCTAGCCTTGAAATCTAATACCCGGGTATTACCTTCAGGAAGCCTGAACACCCCAAATATTTTTTCTTCATTTTACATTTTTGTTGGTGTAACCAACTCCAAAAGGTTGGAAAAGAGTTCCTACAAAGGTTTTGGACAGTGATTTTAACCCTAATGCCACAAAACTTAAACCTTACCCTAGCCTCAAAATCTAATACCCGGGTATTACATTCAGGAACCCTGAAAACCCCAAATATTGTTTTTTAATTTTTCATTTTTTTTTGGTCTAACTAACTCCAAAAGGTTGGAAAAGAGTTCCTACAAAGGTTTTGGACAGTGATTTTAACCCTAACGCCAAAAAGTTAAACCTTACCATAGCCCCATAACCTAATACCCGGGTATTACTTTTAGGAAGCCTGAACACCCCAAATATATATTTTTTCATTTTTCTTTTTTTTTTTGGTCTAACTAACTCCAAAAGGTTGGAAAAGAGTTCCTACAAAGGTTTTGGACAGTGATTTTAACCCTAATGCCAAAAAACTTAAACCTTACCCTGGCCTTAAAATCTAATACCCGGGTATTACCTTCAGGAAGCCCGAACACCCCAAATATTTTTTTTTCATTTTACATTTTTTTTGGTGTAACTAACTCCAAAAGGTTGGAAAAGAGTTCCTACAAAGGTTTTGGACAGTGATTTTAACCCTAACGCCAAAAACCTTAAACCTTACCATAGCCACATAACCTAATACCCAGGTATTACTTTTAGGAAGCCTGAACACCCCAAATATTTTTTTTTCATTTTTATTTTTTTTTGGTCTAACTAACTCCAAAAGGTTGGAAAAGAGTTCCTACAAAGGTTTTGGACAGTGATTTTAACCCTAACGCCAAAAAACTTAAACCTTACCCTGGCCTTAAAATCTAATACCCGGGTATTACATTCAGGAAGCCCGTAAACCCCCAATTTTTTTTTTTTTCATTTTTCTTTTTTTTTTTGGTCTAACTAACTCCAAAAGGTTGGAAAAAGAGTTCCTACAAAGGTTTTGGACAGTGATTTTAACCCTAACGCCAAAAAACTTAAACCTTACCCTAGCCCCAAAACCTAATACCCGGGTATTACTTTTAGGAAGCCTGAACACCCCAAATATTTTTTTTTCATTTTTCTTTTTTTTTTTTGGTCTAACTAACTCCAAAAGGTTGGAAAAGAGTTCCTACAAAGGTTTTGGACAGTGATTTTAACCCTAACGCCAAAAAACTTAAACCTTTCCCTGGCCTTAAAATCTAATACCCGGGTATTACATTCAGGAAGCCCGTAAACCCCAAATATTTTTTTTTTCATTTTTCATTTTTTTTTGGTCTAACTAACTCCAAAAGGTTGAAAAAGAGTTCCTACAAAGGTTTTGGACAGTGATTTTAACCTTAACGCCAAAAACCTTAAACCTTACCATAGCCCCATAACCTAATACCCGGGTATTACTTTTAGGAAGCCTGAACACCCCAAATATATTTTTTTTAATTTTTCATTTTTTTTTGGTCTAACTAAATCCAAAAGGTTGTTAAAGAGTTCCTACAAAGGTTTTGGACAGTGATTTTAAACCTAACGCCAAAACGTTAAACCTTACCATAGCCCCATAACCTAATACCCGGGTATTACTTTTAGGAAGCCTGAACACCCCAAATATTTTTTTTTCATTTTTCTTTTTTTTTTGGTCTAACTAACTCCAAAAGGTTGGAAAAGAGTTCCTACAAAGGTTTTGGACAGTGATTTTAACCCTAACGCCAAAAACCTTAAACCTTTCCCTAGTCCCAAAACCTAATACACGGGTATTACTTTCAGGGAGCCCGAAAACCCCCAATAATACTTTTTTCTTTTTTCATATTTTTTGGTCTAACTAACTCCAAAAGGTTGGAAAAGAGTTCCTACAAAGGTTTTGGACAGTGATTTTAACCCTAACGCCAAAAACCTTAAACCTTACCATAGCCCCATAACCTAATACCCGGGTATTACTTTTAGGAAGCCTGAACACCCCAAATATATTTTTTTCATTTTTCTTTTTTTTTTTGGTCTAACTAACTCCAAAAGGTTGGAAAAGAGTTCCTACAAAGGTTTTGGACAGTGATTTTAACCCTAACGCCAAAAACCTTAAACCTTTCCCTAGTCCCAAAACCTAATACACGGGTATTACTTTCAGGGAGCCCGAAAACCCCCAATAATATTTTTTTCTTTTTTCATATTTTTTGGTCTAACTAACTCCAAAAGGTTGGAAAAGAGTTCCTACAAAGGTTTTGGACAGTGATTTTAACCCTAACGCCAAAAACCTTAAACCTTACCCTAGCCTTGAAATCTAATACCCGGGTATTACCTTCAGGAAGCCTGACACCCCAAATATTTTTTTCTTCATTTTACATTTTTGTTGGTGTAACCAACTCCAAAAGGTTGGAAAAGAGTTCCTACAAAGGTTTTGGACAGTGATTTTAACCCTAATGCCAAAAAACTTAAACCTTACCCTAGCCTCAAAATCTAATACCCGGGTATTATATTCAGGAACCCCGAAAACCCCAAATATTGTTTTTTAATTTTTCATTTTTTTTTGGTCAAACTAACACCAAAAGGTTGGAAAAGAGTTCCTACAAAGGTTTTGGACAGTGATTTTAACCCTAACGCCAAAAACCTTAAGCCTTTCTCAGTCCCAAAACCTAATACCTGGGTATTACCTTCAGGGAGCCCGAAAACCCCCAATAATATTTTTTTCTTTTTTCATATTTTTTGGTCTAACTAACTCCAAAAGGTTGGAAAAGAGTTCCTACAAAGGTTTTGGACAGTGATTTTAACCCTAACGCCAAAAAACTTAAACCTTTCCCTGGCCTTAAAATCTAATACCCGGGTATTACATTCAGGAAGCCCGTGAACCCCAAATATTTTTTTTTTCATTTTTCATTTTTTTTTGGTCTAACTAACTCCAAAAGGTTGAAAAAGAGTTCCTACAAAGGTTTTGGACAGTGATTTTAACCTTAACGCCAAAAACCTTAAACCTTACCATAGCCCCATAACCTAATACCCGGGTATTACTTTTAGGAAGCCTGAACACCCCAAATATATTTTTTTTCATTTTTCATTTTTTTTTGGTCTAACTAACTCCAAAAGGTTGGAAAAGAGTTCCTACAAAGGTTTTGGACAGTGATTTTAAACCTAACGCCAAAACGTTAAACCTTACCATAGCCCCATAACCTAATACCCGGGTATTACTTTTAGGAAGCCTGAACACCCCAAATATTTTTTTTTCATTTTTCTTTTTTTTTTGGTCTAACTAACTCACAAAGGTTGGAAAAGAGTTCCTACAAAGGTTTTGGACAGTGATTTTAACCCTAACGCCAAAACCCTTAAACCTTTCCCTAGTCCCAAAACCTAATACACGGGTATTACTTTCAGGGAGCCCGAAAACCCCCAATAATATTTTTTTCTTTTTTCATATTTTTTGGTCTAACTAACTCCAAAAGGTTGGAAAAGAGTTCCTACAAAGGTTTTGGACAGTGATTTTAACCCTAACGCCAAAAAACGTAAACCTTTCCCTGGCCTTAAAATCTAATACCCGGGTATTACATTCAGGAAGCCCGTAAACCCCAAATATTTTTTTTTCATTTTTCATTTTTTTTTTGGTCTAACTAACTCCAAAAGGTTGGAAAAGAGTTCCTACAAAGGTTTTGGACAGTGATTTTAACCTTAACGCCAAAAACCTTAAACCTTACCATAGCCCCATAACCTAATACCCGGGTATTACTTTTAGGAAGCCTGAACACCCCAAATATATTTTTTTTCATTTTTCTTTTTTTTTTGGTCTAACTAAATCCAAAAGGTTGGAAAAGAGTTCCTACAAAGGTTTTGGACAGTGATTTTAAACCTAACGCCAAAACGTTAAACCTTACCATAGCCCCATAACCTAATACCCGGGTATTACTTTTAGGAAGCCTGAACACCCCAAATATTTTTTTTTCATTTTTCTTTTTTTTTTTGGTCTAACTAACTCACAAAGGTTGGAAAAGAGTTCCTACAAAGGTTTTGGACAGTGATTTTAACCCTAACGCCAAAACCCTTAAACCTTTCCCTAGTCCCAAAACCATATACACGGGTATTACTTTCAGGGAGCCCGAAAACCCCCAATAATACTTTTTTCTTTTTTCATATTTTTTGGTCTAACTAACTCCAAAAGGTTGGAAAAGAGTTCCTACAAAGGTTTTGGACAGTGATTTTAACCCTAACGCCAAAAACCTTAAACCTTACCTTAGCCTTGAAATCTAATACCCGGGTATTACCTTCAGGAAGCCTGAACACCCCAAATATTTTTTTCTTCATTTTACATTTTTGTTGGTGTAACCAACTCCAAAAGGTTGGAAAAGAGTTCCTACAAAGGTTTTGGACAGTGATTTTAACCCTAACGCCAAAAACCTTAAACCTTACCCTAGCCCCAAAACCTAATACCCGGGTATTACATTCAGGAACCCCGAAAACCCCAAATATTGTTTTTTAATTTTTCATTTTTTTTTGGTCAAACTAACACCAAAAGGTTGGAAAAGAGTTCCTACAAAGGTTTTGGACAGTGATTTTAACCCTAACGCCAAAAACCTTAAGCCTTTCTCAGTCCCAAAACCTAATACCTGGGTATTACCTTCAGGGAGCCCGAAAACCCCCAATAATATTTTTTTCTTTTTTCATATTTTTTGGTCTAACTAACTCCAAAAGGTTGGAAAAGAGTTCCTACAAAGGTTTTGGACAGTGATTTTAACCCTAACGCCAAAAAACTTAAACCTTTCCCTGGCCTTAAAATCTAATACCCGGGTATTACATTCAGGAAGCCCGTAAAACCCCAAATATTTTTTTTTTCATTTTTCATTTTTTTTTTTGGTCTAACTAACTCCAAAAGGTTGAAAAAGAGTTCCTACAAAGGTTTTGGACAGTGATTTTAACCTTAACGCCAAAAACCTTAAACCTTACCATAGCCCCATAACCTAATACCCGGGTATTACTTTTAGGAAGCCTGAACACCCCAAATATATTTTTTTTAATTTTTCATTTTTTTTTGGTCTAACTAAATCCAAAAGGTTGGAAAAGAGTTCCTACAAAGGTTTTGGACAGTGATTTTAAACCTAACGCCAAAACGTTAAACCTTACCATAGCCCCATAACCTAATACCCGGGTATTACTTTTAGGAAGCCTGAACACCCCAAATATTTTTTTTTCATTTTTCTTTTTTTTTTGGTCTAACTAACTCACAAAGGTTGGAAAAGAGTTCCTACAAAGGTTTTGGACAGTGATTTTAACCCTAACGCCAAAACCCTTAAACCTTTCCCTAGTCCCAAAACCTAATACACGGGTATTACTTTCAGGGAGCCCGAAAACCCCCAATAATACTTTTTTCTTTTTTCATATTTTTTGGTCTAACTAACTCCAAAAGGTTGGAAAAGAGTTCCTACAAAGGTTTTGGACAGTGATTTTAACCCTAACGCCAAAAAACGTAAACCTTTCCCTGGCCTTAAAATCTAATACCCGGGTATTACATTCAGGAAGCCCGTAAACCCCAAATATTTTTTTTTTCATTTTTCATTTTTTTTTGGTCTAACTAACTCCAAAAGGTTGAAAAAGAGTTCCTACAAAGGTTTTGGACAGTGATTTTAACCTTAACGCCAAAAACCTTAAACCTTACCATAGCCCCATAACCTAATACCCGGGTATTACTTTTAGGAAGCCTGAACACCCCAAATATATTTTTTTTAATTTTTCATTTTTTTTTGGTCTAACTAAATCCAAAAGGTTGTTAAAGAGTTCCTACAAAGGTTTTGGACAGTGATTTTAAACCTAACGCCAAAACGTTAAACCTTACCATAGCCCCATAACCTAATACCCGGGTATTACTTTTAGGAAGCCTGAACACCCCAAATATTTTTTTTTCATTTTTCTTTTTTTTTTGGTCTAACTAACTCACAAAGGTTGGAAAAGAGTTCCTACAAAGGTTTTGGACAGTGATTTTAACCCTAACGCCAAAACCCTTAAACCTTTCCCTAGTCCCAAAACCATATACACGGGTATTACTTTCAGGGAGCCCGAAAACCCCCAATAATACTTTTTTCTTTTTTCATATTTTTTGGTCTAACTAACTCCAAAAGGTTGGAAAAGAGTTCCTACAAAGGTTTTGGACAGTGATTTTAACCCTAACGCCAAAAACCTTAAACCTTACCTTAGCCTTGAAATCTAATACCCGGGTATTACCTTCAGGAAGCCTGACACCCCAAATATTTTTTTCTTCATTTTACATTTTTGTTGGTGTAACCAACTCCAAAAGGTTGGAAAAGAGTTCCTACAAAGGTTTTGGACAGTGATTTTAACCCTAACGCCAAAAAACTTAAACCTTACCATAGCCCCATAACCTAATACCTGGGTATTACTTTGAGGAAGCCTGAACACCCCAAATATTTTTTTTTTCATTTTTCTTTTTTTTTTGGTCTAACCAACTCCAAAAGGTTGGAAAAGTGTTCCTACAAAGGCTTTGGACAGTGATTTTAACCCTAATGCCAAAAAACTTAAACCTTACCCTGGCCTTAAAATCTAATACAATATTACATTCAGGAAGCCCGAACACCCCAAATATTTTTTTTTTTTCATTTTACATTTTTTTTGGTGTAACCAACTCCAAAAGGTTGGAAAAGAGTTCCTACAAAGGTTTTGGACAGTGATTTTAACCCTAACGCCAAAAACCTTAAACCTTACCATAGCCCCATAACCTAATACCCAGGTATTACTTTTAGGAAGCCTGAACACCCCAAATATTTTTTTTTCATTTTTCTTTTTTTTTTGGTCTAACTAACTCCAAAAGGTTGGAAAAGAGTTCCTACAAAGGTTTTGGACAGTGATTTTAACCCTAACGCCAAAAAACTTAAACCTTACCCTGGCCTTAAAATTTAATACCCGGGTATTACATTCAGGAAGCCCGTAAACCCCAAATATTTTTTTTTTTTCATTTTACATTTTTTTTGGTGTAACCAACTCCAAAAGGTTGGAAAAGAGTTCCTACAAAGGTTTTGGACAGTGATTTTAACCCTAACGCCAAAACCCTTAAACCTTACCCTGGCCTTAAAATCTAATACCCGGGTATTACATTCAGGAAGCCCGAACACCCCAAATATTTTTTTTTTTTCATTTTACATTTTTTTTGGTCTAACTAACTCCAAAAGGTTGGAAAAGAGTTCCTACAAAGGTTTTGGACAGTGATTTTAACCCTAACGCCAAAAACCTTAAACCTTACCATAGCCCCATAACCTAATACCCAGGTATTACTTTTAGGAAGCCTGAACACCCCAAATATTTTTTTTTCATTTTTCTTTTTTTTTTGGTCTAACTAACTCACAAAGGTTGGAAAAGAGTTCCTACAAAGGTTTTGGACAGTGATTTTAACCCTAACGCCAAAAACCTTAAACCTTACCATAGCCCCATAACCTAATACCCAGGTATTACTTTTAGGAAGCCTGAACACCCCAAATATTTTTTTTTCATTTTTCTTTTTTTTTTTGGTCTAACTAACTCCAAAAGGTTGGAAAAGAGTTCCTACAAAGGTTTTGGACAGTGATTTTAACCCTAACGCCAAAAAACTTAAACCTTACCCTGGCCTTAAAATCTAATACCCGGGTATTACATTCAGGAAGCCCGTAAACCCCAAATATTTTTTTTTTTCATTTTACATTTTTTTTGGTGTAACCAACTCCAAAAGGTTGGAAAAGAGTTCCTACAAAGGTTTTGGACAGTGATTTTAACCCTAACGCCAAAAACCTTAAACCTTACCATAGCCCCATAACCTAATACCCAGGTATTACTTTTAGGAAGCCTGAACACCCCAAATATTTTTTTTTCATTTTTCTTTTTTTTTTGGTCTAACTAACTCACAAAGGTTGGAAAAGAGTTCCTACAAAGGTTTTGGACAGTGATTTTAACCCTAACGCCAAAACCCTTAAACCTTACCCTGGCCTTAAAATCTAATACAATATTACATTCAGGAAGCCCGAACACCCCAAATATTTTTTTTTTTTCATTTTACATTTTTTTTGGTGTAACCAACTCCAAAAGGTTGGAAAAGAGTTCCTACAAAGGTTTTGGACAGTGATTTTAACCCTAACGCCAAAAACCTTAAACCTTACCATAGCCCCATAACCTAATACCCAGGTATTACTTTTAGGAAGCCTGAACACCCCAAATATTTTTTTTTTCATTTTACATTTTTTTTGGTCTAACCAACTCCAAAAGGTTGGAAAAGAGTTCCTACAAAGGTTTTGGACAGTGATTTTAACCCTAACGCCAAAAACCTTAAACCTTACCATAGCCCCATAACCTAATACCCGGGTATTACTTTTAGGAAGCCTGAACACCCCAAATATTTTTTTTTTCATTTTTCTTTTTTTTTTGGTCTAACTAACTCCAAAAGGTTGGAAAAGAGTTCCTACAAAGGTTTTGGACAGTGATTTTAACCCTAACGCCAAAAAACTTAAACCTTACCCTAGCCTTAAAATTTAATACCCGGGTATTACATTCAGGAAGCCCGTAAACCCCAAATATTTTTTTTTTCATTTTTCATTTTTTTTGGTGTAACTAACTCCAAAAGGTTGGAAAAGAGTTCCTACAAAGGTTTTGGACAGTGATTTTAACCCTAACGCCAAAAACCTTAAACCTTACCATAGCCCCATAACCTAATACCCAGGTATTACTTTTAGGAAGCCTGAACACCCCAAATATTTTTTTTTCATTTTTCTTTTTTTTTTGGTCTAACTAACTCACAAAGGTTGGAAAAGAGTTCCTACAAAGGTTTTGGACAGTGATTTTAACCCTAACGCCAAAACCCTTAAACCTTACCCTGGCCTTAAAATCTAATACCCGGGTATTACATTCAGGAAGCCCGAACACCCCAAATATTTTTTTTTTTTCATTTTACATTTTTTTTGGTGTAACCAACTCCAAAAGGTTGGAAAAGAGTTCCTACAAAGGTTTTGGACAGTGATTTTAACCCTAACGCCAAAAAACTTAAACCTTACCATAGCCCCAAAACCTAATACCCGGGTATTACTTTCAGGAAGCCCGAAAACCCCCAATAATATTTTTTTTCTTTTTCATTTTTTTGGTCTAACTAACTCCAAAAGGTTGGAAAAGAGTTCCTACAAAGGTTTTGGACAGTGATTTTAACCCTAACGCCAAAAACTTAAACCTTACCATAGCCCCATAACCTAATACCCGGGTATTACTTTTAGGAAGCCTGAACACCCCAAATATTTTTTTTCATTTTTCTTTTTTTTTTGGTCTAACTAACTCCAAAAGGTTGGAAAAGAGTTCCTACAAAGGTTTTGGACAGTGATTTTAACCCTAACGCCAAAAACCTTAAACCTTTCCCTAGTCCCAAAACCTAATACACGGGTATTACTTTCAGGAAGCCCGAAAACCCCCAATAATATTTTTTTCTTTTTTCATATTTTTTGGTCTAACTAACTCCAAAAGGTTGGAAAAGAGTTCCTACAAAGGTTTTGGACAGTGATTTTAACCCTAACGCCAAAACCCTTAAACCTTTCCCTAGTCCCAAAACCTAATACACGGGTATTACTTTCAGGGAGCCCGAAAACCCCCAATAATACTTTTTTCTTTTTTCATATTTTTTGGTCTAACTAACTCCAAAAGGTTGGAAAAGAGTTCCTACAAAGGTTTTGGACAGTGATTTTAACCCTAACGCCAAAAACCTTAAACCTTACCCTAGCCTTGAAATCTAATACCCGGGTATTACCTTCAGGAAGCCTGAACACCCCAAATATTTTTTTCTTCATTTTACATTTTTGTTGGTGTAACCAACTCCAAAAGGTTGGAAAAGAGTTCCTACAAAGGTTTTGGACAGTGATTTTAACCCTAACACCAAAAAACTTAAACCTTACCATAGCCCCATAACCTAATACCTGGGTATTACTTTTAGGAAGCCTGAACACCCCAAATATTGTTTTTTAATTTTTCATTTTTTTTTGGTCTAACTAACTCCAAAAGGTTGGAAAAGAGTTCCTACAAAGGTTTTGGACAGTGATTTTAACCCTAATGCCAAAAAACTTAAACCTTACCCTGGCCTTAAAATCTAATACCCGGGTATTACATTCAGGAAGCCCGAACACCCCAAATATTTTTTTTTTTTCATTTTACATTTTTTTTGGTGTAACCAACTCCAAAAGGTTGGAAAAGAGTTCCTACAAAGGTTTTGGACAGTGATTTTAACCCTAACGCCAAAAACCTTAAACCTTACCATAGCCCCATAACCTAATACCTGGGTATTACTTTTAGGAAGCCTGAACACCCCAAATATTTTTTTTTTCATTTTACATTTTTGTTGGTGTAACCAACTCCAAAAGGTTGGAAAAGAGTTCCTACAAAGGTTTTGGACAGTGATTTTAACCCTAATGCCACAAAACTTAAACCTTACCCTAGCCTCAAAATCTAATACCCGGGTATTACATTCAGGAACCCCGAAAACCCCAAATATTGTTTTTTAATTTTTCATTTTTTTTTGGTCTAACTAACTCCAAAAGGTTGGAAAAGAGTTCCTACAAAGGTTTTGGACAGTGATTTTAACCCTAACGCCAAAAAACTTAAACCTTACCATAGCCCCATAACCTAATACCTGGGTATTACTTTTAGGAAGCCTGAACACCCCAAATATATTTTTTTTCATTTTTCTTTTTTTTTTGGTCTAACCAACTCCAAAAGGTTGGAAAAGTGTTCCTACAAAGGTTTTGGACAGTGATTTTAACCCTAATGCCAAAAAACTTAAACCTTACCCTGGCCTTAAAATCTAATACCCGGGTATTACATTCAGGAAGCCCGAACACCCCAAATATTTTTTTTTTTCATTTTACATTTTTTTTGGTGTAACCAACTCCAAAAGGTTGGAAAAGAGTTCCTACAAAGGTTTTGGACAGTGATTTTAACCCTAACGCCAAAAACCTTAAACCTTACCATAGCCCCATAACCTAATACCCAGGTATTACTTTTAGGAAGCCTGAACACCCCAAATATTTTTTTTTCATTTTTCTTTTTTTTTTGGTCTAACTAACTCCAAAAGGTTGGAAAAGAGTTCCTACAAAGGTTTTGGACAGTGATTTTAACCCTAACGCCAAAAAACTTAAACCTTACCCTGGCCTTGAAATTTAATACCCGGGTATTACATTCAGGAAGCCCGTAAACCCCAAATATTTTTTTTTTCATTTTTCTTTTTTTTTTTGGTCTAACTAACTCCAAAAGGTTGAAAAAGCGTTCCTACAAAGGTTTTGGACAGTGATTTCAACCCTAACGCCAAAAACCTTAAACCTTACCCTAGCCCCATAACCTAATACCCGGGTATTACTTTTAGGAAGCCTGAACACCCCAAATATTTTTTTTTCATTTTTCTTTTTTTTTTTGGTCTAACTAACTCCAAAAGGTTGGAAAAGAGTTCCTACAAAGGTTTTGGACAGTGATTTTAACCCTAACGCCAAAAACCTTAAACCTTTCCCTAGTCCCAAAACCTAATACACGGGTATTACTTTCAGGGAGCCCGAAAACCCCCAATAATATTTTTTTCTTTTTTCATATTTTTTGGTCTAACTAACTCCAAAAGGTTGGAAAAGAGTTCCTACAAAGGTTTTGGACAGTGATTTTAACCCTAACGCCAAAAAACTTAAACCTTACCATAGCCCCATAACCTAATACCTGGGTATTACTTTTAGGAAGCCTGAACACCCCAAATATTTTTTTTTCATTTTTCTTTTTTTTTTGGTCTAACCAACTCCAAAAGGTTGGAAAAGTGTTCCTACAAAGGTTTTGGACAGTGATTTTAACCCTAATGCCAAAAAACTTAAACCTTACCCTGGCCTTAAAATCTAATACCCGGGTATTACATTCAGGAAGCCCGAACACCCCAAATATTTTTTTTTTTCATTTTACATTTTTTTTGGTGTAACCAACTCCAAAAGGTTGGAAAAGAGTTCCTACAAAGGTTTTGGACAGTGATTTTAACCCTAACGCCAAAAAACTTAAACCTTACCATAGCCCCAAAACCTAATACCCGGGTATTACTTTCAGGGAGCCCGAAAACCCCCAATAATATTTTTTTCTTTTTTCATATTTTTTGGTCTAACTAACTCCAAAAGGTTGGAAAAGAGTTCCTACAAAGGTTTTGGACAGTGATTTTAAACCTAACGCCAAAACGTTAAACCTTACCATAGCCCCATAACCTAATACCCGGGTATTACTTTTAGGAAGCCTGAACACCCCAAATATTTTTTTTTTCATTTTTCTTTTTTTTTTGGTCTAACTAACTCCAAAAGGTTGGAAAAGAGTTCCTACAAAGGTTTTGGACAGTGATTTTAACCCTAACGCCAAAAACCTTAAACCTTTCCCTAGTCCCAAAACCTAATACACGGGTATTACTTTCAGGGAGCCCGAAAACCCCCGATAATATTTTTTTCTTTTTTCATATTTTTTGGTCTAACTAACTCCAAAAGGTTGGAAAAGAGTTCCTACAAAGGTTTTGGACAGTGATTTTAACCCTAACGCCAAAACCCTTAAACCTTTCCCTAGTCCCAAAACCTAATACACGGGTATTACTTTCAGGGAGCCCGAAAACCCCCAATAATACTTTTTTCTTTTTTCATATTTTTTGGTCTAACTAACTCCAAAAGGTTGGAAAAGAGTTCCTACAAAGGTTTTGGACAGTGATTTTAACCCTAACGCCAAAAACCTTAAACCTTACCCTAGCCTTGAAATCTAATACCCGGGTATTACCTTCAGGAAGCCTGAACACCCCAAATATTTTTTTCTTCATTTTACATTTTTGTTGGTGTAACCAACTCCAAAAGGTTGGAAAAGAGTTCCTACAAAGGTTTTGGACAGTGATTTTAACCCTAACGCCAAAAAACTTAAACCTTACCATAGCCCCATAACCTAATACCTGGGTATTACTTTTAGGACGCCTGAACACCCCAAATATTGTTTTTTAATTTTTCATTTTTTTTTGGTCTAACTAACTCCAAAAGGTTAGAAAAGAGTTCCTACAAAGGTTTTGGACAGTGATTTTAACCCTAATGCCAAAAAACTTAAACCTTACCCTGGCCTTAAAATCTAATACCCGGGTATTACATTCAGGAAGCCCGAACACCCCAAATATTTTTTTTTTTTCATTTTACATTTTTTTTGGTGTAACCAACTCCAAAAGGTTGGAAAAAAGTTCCTACAAAGGTTTTGTACAGTGATTTTAACCCTAACGCCAAAAACCTTAAACCTTACCATAGCCCCATAACCTAATACCTGGGTATTACTTTTAGGAAGCCTGAACACCCCAAATATTTTTTTTTTCATTTTACATTTTTGTTGGTGTAACCAACTCCAAAAGGTTGGAAAAGAGTTCCTACAAAGGTTTTGGACAGTGATTTTAACCCTAATGCCACAAAACTTAAACCTTACCCTAGCCTCAAAATCTAATACCCGGGTATTACATTCAGGAACCCCGAAAACCCCAAATATTGTTTTTTAATTTTTCATTTTTTTTTGGTCTAACTAACTCCAAAAGGTTGGAAAAGAGTTCCTACAAAGGTTTTGGACAGTGATTTTAACCCTAACGCCAAAAAACTTAAACCTTACCATAGCCCCATAACCTAATACCTGGGTATTACTTTTAGGAAGCCTGAACACCCCAAATATTTTTTTTTCATTTTTCTTTTTTTTTGGTCTAACCAACTCCAAAAGGTTGGAAAAGTGTTCCTACAAAGGTTTTGGACAGTGATTTTAACCCTAATGCCAAAAAACTTAAACCTTACCCTGGCCTTAAAATCTAATACCCGGGTATTACATTCAGGAAGCCCGAACACCCCAAATATTTTTTTTTTTTCATTTTACATTTTTTTTGGTGTAACCAACTCCAAAAGGTTGGAAAAGAGTTCCTACAAAGGTTTTGTACAGTGATTTTAACCCTAACGCCAAAAACCTTAAACCTTACCATAGCCCCATAACCTAATACCCAGGTATTACTTTTAGGAAGCCTGAACACCCCAAATATTTTTTTTTCATTTTTATTTTTTTTTTGGTCTAACTAACTCCAAAAGGTTGGAAAAGAGTTTCTACAAAGGTTTTGGACAGTGATTTTAACCCTAACGCCAAAAAACTTAAACCTTACCCTGGCCTTAAAATCTAATACCCGGGTATTACATTCAGGAAGCCCGTAAACCCCAAATATTTTTTTTTTCATTTTTCTTTTTTTTTTGGTCTAACTAACTCCAAAAGGTTGAAAAAGAGTTCCTACAAAGGTTTTGGACAGTGATTTTAAACCTAAGGCAAA